TTCTTGGCAATTTTACACGAGCTTCTCGGCTAGGATTCCCACCGTCCGCATGGTTGACTACTTTCGTAAAATATACTAAGTCATCTCTTACACCTTCTCAGGGTCATTAATGCCGCCGTTGGTGATCACGTATGTCGCCTCACGCTCAGGACAGTCTGTCTACTGGTCAGTACACTTGGCTGCCCTGTCGAAGGCTTCCAAAGGCAGAGGCCGCTTACCTGGCGAATCTTGGATCTTTGCAACCCGTTCGTCCCCTCGACCTTTGCGCAGCAGTACCCGAGTCGTCGACGCGTGCGCAAGGATATGCCCGCCAACCGGTTTGCGGCCGTCGGCACCGGCAAACAGGGCACTCGCGCCAGGATCACTCTGGACTTGGTTTGTCTGATACCCCACAAACAAGTTAGATAGAATTCATCATTCCATGTTGTTGTTTGTTAGCCCTACCATCAACACGCAAACATTGAACTCTTGATACACCATAGCAGGTTAGTTCGCTTTTTACAAGTGCAGGGCTTCGGCTTCCAGGGTCCATACCTTCCGCCATATGTGCCAGCTTCATGAGAAACTGGTTAAGCTTCTGCTGTCGATCCGCAAGCTCACCGCGGCCACAGTAGTCTACCCGGAAACAGTTCATGATGCTATCAATGATAAGCAATCGGTACTCTCCACTCGCGAACTCCTTGGCCAGCGTGTTGAGCAGCTCCAGCTGGTGCTCGCTGTTCAGTGCACGAGCATACGCAATGTTCTCTAGCGCAGAGTCGGGGTCAACACCAAATCGTTCCGCAATCTGTGCAATCCTCTCGGGGCGAAAGGTGCCCTCAGTGTCGATGTAGGCGGCTTTCCCTTCAGCACCACCCATGTCCTTGGGCAGCTGGGCAATGACCGACATCGTATGCGACAGCTGCGTTTTGCCGCAGCGGAACTCGCCATATACCTCGCTGATGCTCATACTCTGGAATCCCCTGTTCAAGTTATTCAGCTTTTACCCTTCCCCTTTTTTAGTTTCAAAGGAAAAGAGTTGGGTTGGTTCATACCCCCCTAAGATTGAATCAAATTGCTTACTACCTGTTGATATCTTCACAACTCTCTTCCGCTGATGTCCAAGTTCCATGGCGGTTATGAATCCAGAAGCAGAGGGCTATCATGACATGGCCAATCAATAAAAATCCCAGAAAATACCATTAACACATCTTTACCTACCTGGCATTTTTGGATGGCCTCCTTGATTTTTTCGACCTTCACCTCACTGAACCCCTTGATCTTAAGCAGGGTCTTGCGTGTGGCTCCATGGACAGACTGGATACCCAATATCTTGTATGTTAGTTTTGATCGTAAGAATAGCATGGCCGAAGAGGGCTGAGAGATGATGCTGTACTGCAACGGTATAGAACCCATTAATCTTCAACTTGGTGATATCAGCCGCTCCAACGCCTTTCTATTATTAGCATGCGTCATGAACCCGTAAGTAACCAAGGACAGGGCACCAGACCGTGAGCTTGAATACCGTCAATGTCAACAATGAAGTCCTAATAGAGGCCAGGGCTGTCAGGAATCACCATAGGATGGCTTATCGGAACGCGAAAGAGCCACGGAGTCTGCTCACATCCTCGTCTGCGTTGTCACTGGTCGTTGATGCTGGCATGTTGCTCTTGCACTCTTCCACGCGTCTTACGAGTATAATATCTTTTCTTCTGATTGCTGTACTCGATTTATGACGAGAAAGAAACTCTACGCAAAAAGGATGAGAGGAAGTTCGTTTCATGAGGGGGAAAAGTCACGGTCACCGCCATCCTAATCGGGATATCGAGACAACCTCTTGAAAAATGCCTACAGCTTACACCCAGGAATGAAGGGGCATATACGAGCAGCAGATGGTCAGTCGGAGTGATATCAATAGTCAGCCTTGTAGTTGGACTGGGTAGGTAAATGAGCTTTCTCATCCTGTGGTATTATACATATACGGCGCGGAAAGAAGCATAGCATCGTAGAGGAAAAGGAGAATTAAGAAAGTTTCCAATATAAGACCGGGAGTATAGTGACAAATCTTGGTAATGATAGAACCAAAAGTAGATGCGAAGGAGAATGGAAACGAAATGAATGAGCTTGCCGCGCCATGTAACCAGTTTTTGTGTGCTTTCCCAGAAAGAACGAAAAGTGAAGAATCTCAAATTCAACCGCCCGGCAATCCTCAGAACATCGTCCAAGCCTATCCAACTCAATTATACACATATCGTCTTTGCTTGCTGGCCTCACTTTCCGCCTCTTTCTCTTTCTGGTTCGACTCCTTGATTGCCCACCCCCGCTATCACCATTCTTCACCCAGGAGCGTACTTCCGATTTGAACACATTTCTCTCCTACCCAATAGCACGAAACATGAAACCACGAATACCTTGATAGACAAATTGACGCCGTTCGTAAGGGGTGTGTGTATTTGTTTTTCTGTGAGCATGAGGGAATAATTTGGTAAATCCAAGTCGTTAGAATCTAGGACGTCATGAAACTTTTGTTCGGTCGTATACATGATAAAAAAAGGGAACGAGCGGGATAAAACAAGGAGATAAAATGAAAATAATTAAGAAAAAGGCAAAGGAAAATAAGGATGATGATTGTGCTGCACCACGATGATGCTTGAAGTAATTGCAAAGTAAACCAAAGTTAGGAAGAAGCAATTGGAAGAATGATGCAGGGGATAAGATGATTAGGCTGGGAAGGATATAACCAAACGTAAGACATAACGAAAATCAGGTAGAGTCTTCCCGAGTTAACTCAACCTGTGTCCTCTTTTTCCGTCTCTGCAGTCTGGCTTAGACAGCAGCGGCGGTAGGAACCGATCCCGCTGCGACGGGTGGAGCCTCTGCGGGGGTTTCTGTAGGTGGGTTAACTGTTGATGTAGTTTCAGTAGTGACGGTAGGTTGTGCCTTCGCATCCGTGTTGTTGGTAGGACAGTCGCGGGAAATGTGACCGGCTTGAGAGCACTTATAACAGACCTTTCCAACTGTGCTCAGGGGTCCGCCGTTAGGGGCAGTGCAGTCACGGGAAATATGGCCCTGGAACATATGGTTAGGCAAAACAGAGCCTGTGCAGGAGCAATGGAAAAATTCAGACATACCAACTTTCCGCAGGCATAACATTTCATAGCCTGGGCTTGACAATCTCGTGCAAAATGGTTCGGGCCTCCGCATTTGTAGCACGTTGCTGCCCTGGGGTAACCGGCAGGGCCTCCCCGAAAGCCAGCATTAAACCCTCCACGAGCTGGGCCTGCATTTCGGGCACCCTGGGGGGCCTGCTGCATACTGCCGGATGGGCAATTTCGCTAATTGAGAAAGAGAACAACACTTAGAAAACCCAATTCTTAATGGCTTGCATGGATATATTTGACCGGCAACTTACAGCCAGATGTCCTGGTATGTTGCAGTTATAGCAGCGGGCGTTGGAGGCACCACCGTTCAAGCGGAGGGTAGGACAGTCGGCCTGGACATGACCTAGACCCTGACAGTGGTAGCATTGTTTTGCTACAGCGTGTTAGACGCTGCTCTTTTTCATATTTTTTCTTTCCTTCTTTTATTGGTATATATTTTTTATTACTGGATAATATGCTTACTTTCTGTCGTTCGGGGTCGCGGGCAACCATTGGACTCGTGTCCTAGAGACGCTCTGTCAGGTCAAATCAAATGTCGAGGAGTTCGCAAGGTCTTAGAACCAACCGGGTTGCTTGCCTACGGGGAGATCCAACCTATTAGCCACGGAGCAGGAACAGGAACTATACTTTATCGCACAAACTCACAGTTGTAGCAAAGCCGCTCGGAGGAGGAGCAGACTTCTATAGATTACCAATTAATCACTGTATACTAGCAAACATGCGGTTTAATCGATGGACAAACCAGCGTAGTGACCAATGTTGCCACATTTGTAGCATGCACGTCGGGACAACAGCATCCTGTAAGAACACCCGTTAGAGCTCTGGAAAGGCTAAGCTCAAGCTATAATAGTCGATTGTAAAAAAAAAAACCAAAAAATTATATGGAAAAGGAAGTAGTAGCTAGAGGTAGGGCTGGTAATATGTAGTAGAATGGAGGAACATCATCCAGCCTGTGAAAGGTTGTATCTTCGAAACTTGGAAGTGCACTCACTTTCCGGCGAACAATAATGATAAAACCTCTGGGAAAACTCGGATTCACCTCGCAAACTTCTTGAAAGACCTAGTAGGGACAATCTAAACCGTCAGACTATCGTTGTTCACGGAACAAAAGTCCTGCAAACGCCAGACCACAAGGCCGCAAAAGTGACGACCCAGAGCTGGGGCTAAAAGAAACCAAGAATTTCGAGACAAAGGCTTCAACAAGGATGCTCACAACTCTTCTCTTTCTCCTTCACAAAAATCCAGACACACTCTCCTCAGCTCTTCTTCGTCTGCTGCTTCAAACCCTCCGAACCGCAATTGATATTCCCGTCTTTGTTCTCGACAAGCGTTTGCCTTCCAGTTTCACCCGCAGAGAAAGGGAAAAAAGAAGCAAAAAAAAAAGTCGAGAAAAGAACTTCGAGTGAAGGCCACGCCTTACCTTATCCGGTTAGTATCATTAAAGCTTGGCATATAGTCATGTGATTATGATTAGTCATGGATTAAGGAATTGAGGTTTGGTTAAAGGGGGATTGGAAGGGGATGGTATGATAGATAACATTATAAAAATATATTGTATAAGGATAATACCAGGATGTGTACCGGTAAGATCTTCGGGCTTTTCTTGCCATCTCTCCGGAAATTTAAGTATGTATGCCTTTTTTCATTTTTGATATCATCGCATCAAATTGGTAGTGAAGATACTCCATCATAACTAATTGAAACTACGCCTTCTCGCCTTCGATCTCAATCAGTGCGGGAGTACTGATGGTACGGCCCTTCAGGAAGTCGAGACCCTCACCGCCCTAATATCAAGTTAGCTCGTGCATGGTATACCGAAGATATTAGATAATGGAAAACATACGTAGCTGATGGAAGGAGACACCTCAACCCCTTCAGCACCTTTTTCGCTGACAACACCTCCAGCAGCCTTGATCCAGCGCAGACCCTGCTGCATGATGTCTCGTTTACTAGTATCTGGATTGTCATCCCGGCTGTCTTTACCATTCTTAAGGGGGGAGAATTCCTCCTCTCGCTTGACCTCAATGGCAGCAAACTTCTCAAGTGGGATGAATGGGAAGACATCAAAGACGAATTGTTCAAGTTTGATTCCATTTGGAGACTCTGGCTTGACGGTGGCGCCGGTCTCGGTGTTGAAGAAAGGGATTTTCTTGCGGGCGATGTGGTGTGGTAGATCGGAGGCCCATTGCTCAATCGACTCAAAGAAGCTGAACGAGTAGTAGTGATTGACGATGTTGGCGGCTCTGAATTTGAGAACACCTGGCTGTTTGGGGTCAACAGCGTTTGCGGTAGCTTCGTCAATCTCAGAGTATTCTACGACACCCGGCTTGCCGTCGTTGAGGACGATAAGGCCAACGGACTCGGTAGCATTGCGCTTTCGCACGACTTTGGTGGCAATGTCAACTTTCTTGGAGGCAGCAAAGCCGATGAATGTAGGGTCAGCCACTTTGACAAGACAGTTGTCTACGCAGTAAGCGTGGATATGCTCAATCCCGCGCTTCTTCATGTCGTCCCGGACACCGGAGTTGACAAGAGCCTGGTAGATACCTCCATTTCCATCTGGAGCAACAGCGACCTATTATGGTAGGGTAAGCTTATGTTTTAGCTGTCAAGTGTATGCGTTCTTCGGCCACGACATACCTTTGAAGCACTCTCAAGAAGGATTTCTCCCTCATTAGAGATACAAGGCAGGACACCCTGATTAAAGATTGTCACATTCTCTTTCGCGAGGCCAAAGAAGCTGTGGTCAGTAAAGAATTTTTCTGTTGCTTTTCTGGTTGGCCCGCTGGTCATAATGTACCAAGGAACAACGATATTCTTCTTGTCAGATACTTCGGTAGCCAACGACTGCAACTTGGCAATCCGCTCCGCCTGTATCTGGAACAACGACTTCCCACTGGGAAGGCCGATGTTGAAGCATCCTTTAGGGTCAGAGCTTCCAAGTCTGGTTCCCTGGCCACCAGCCATGAGCACAACAGCAACCTTGTTCTCACCGATGAGCTTCAGCCCCTCGTTGTACCATCTTTTGAGATCTTCCGGATCCGAATCGAGTATCGAAGCTGTAGAATTCTCTGGCAGTGGCTCGAGAGCTTTGGGCTTGTTGGAGTTCAAGGCGTTGGCGGCATCTGTATTAGCACGCTTGACAAGCTTGTTGATGTGTTCGGGATCGAAGGTGGAGAGTTGATGGAAGAGCTGAGCTTGGTCGTTGGAGCTCAGAGAGTCGAAGCGGGCAAATACCTGCCCTTGCTTTGCTTGCTCGTACTTCTTCTTGAGCTCAGCGACTTCTTCAGCCGATGGCTGGCGGAGCGGGGTCTCCTGGACTCCCATGCCCGCTATCTTGCCAATTAAGTTGGAAACGGTATCTCGTACGGCAGCAGCCATTGTATGTATATGCTGCTATGCGCGTGTGCTATAGGGGTGTATCCTGTGTGATTTATTTGAGGAGGGGGGCTTACTATTAATGGAGGGATAGGGATGACAATTAATAGGGGGTTGAGGGGTACTAGTTATATATACGTACTGGTGTACGGAGTACGGGTTGAAGATGTCTCAGCCAGTTAACTACTGCTCCAAACTTCCCACAAGATGTGTCTGATTCTCCACCGTAGATTGGTAGATTCTCTCTATTTTGATCCCACTTTTTTCCTTTCCCCCCACCTTGCACATACATAGTACAGACCTATTAATTCACTGATACTTGTAAATCTTGGTCTGGGCCATTTGGCGGACTAATTTTGGAGCTAGTCATAGCACGTGACATCTACGTGGCAGCACATTGTCCCTGTAGATAATCTTTCAACTGTAGAGCTCAGCAGCTATATTGGAGGCACAGGAGCTGTGTGTCTACTGTAGTTGACACGTCAGGCTATGTGGTTAGCGAGGGGAGCAAGGTGCAGGCTATGCGCAACCGTAGCAAGGAAGTTAATAGTACAGGTACAACTGAAAGTGTTGCAAGTTTGCATTGGATGTATAATACTCCATAGTTGGGCTCCTTCACCGCCGTCTCTGTGAGCGACCAAACTCCTGTTCATCGTGCGTGGGGCGAGGGCTTCTGCGTCTTTCCCTTTCTTGCCATGAGCCCCTGTCATAGCCATCGCGCCGTCTAGGCGATATGTTATGGAATTTACCTCGCGGAGGGCTTCGACTTCGACTTCGTGATCGATCTCTTCGATGAGGTATGGAAGAGCGAGGCCCTTTATTTCGTATATCGTCCTTATCAAAAACCATCCCATACTTGCTTCGATGTTCTCCCGTGTCTGATGCACGGTATTGACGTCGCTTCTCCAAGTTAGATATGCCCCCAAACCCACCCCTTTGGCCAGATCTTTTGGCATTCGTTGCTGTTCTCCATGAGTCTGACAATTTGGACACACTCTGCGAGAAGTCCACGTGTATACGATGGTCGTCGATTAGCACCCCCTGCATCTTAAAGTAGGCCTGCTCACAGTCCTTTTGGTCTTCAAATTCAATAAACGCGTATTGTAGGCTGTCACCTGTTTTCTTATCCCGTATCACCTCGCAGGATAATATTTTGCCAAACCGGCTGAATATAAGGTTCAAATCCTCGTCTGAATATCGAGTTAGTCACACTGGTCTATGGCCGGTATGGGGAAGATTTTGTTAAGATCAGAGATACCTTGTGTGACTGGGTTAAGCTTGCAAACGAACAACACGTTCTCGGGTGGCTTCACTTCCGCGAACGGAAGGTCTCCAACCATTTCAAGCGTCAAAGCCTGTGCCTGCGCCTCACGCTCTCGCCGCATCCTTTCCAGAGCTTCTTCGTCCACCTCCTGGTCTAGATCTTCATCGTCCGCAATCATGACAGTAGCTAGCTGAGCCTTAGTGGGGAGAGGGCTTTCCGGGGGTTCCTGTAGACCAGGTGGGTCATCGTAAGGGTCGTCGAGCACGACAGTATGTCGAATACGGATATCCTTGAGTGGCCGGCCCTTATCGTCAATAAAAGCTGTGTTGACCTTCTCCAGGACATCGAATCCCTCTACCACCTTCCCGAATATCACTGCCTTGTCGTTCAGATAGTCAAGGTTATTGCCGAGCGTTATGATAAACTGGCTGCCAGCGAGGCGTTCATCCGGGTCTCTTGTCGATGGGATTGTTGCCATGCTCACTGTCCCGAGCTCTGAATGCTTTAATTTTGGTGGAAAGCGAATTGAAAAGTTTTTCTGCGAGGGTCCGTTGATGACTCCCCATACTGAACTGCCCCCATCGCTCTCTGGTGAATCGGGACCTATCGGATCGCCTGTCTGGAACGAAAAGCCTTTCTGAATACTATGAACTGGCGAGAAATTGTAGTACTTGATTTTGCATAGCTTCAAGAAGCTAAGCTGAAGCTCTTAGTTTTCCATCTCAGCCATTTGGTATCCAAAAGGAATTACTAGAGCACCAACTTACTTCTCACATGCCGCCGGAGAAGACTCGGTCAGCAAGTCAATGACGATATCTCCAAGAGAGGTTTCGAGAAGAACACTCATATCCGAATTGGTCGCGTTTGTCAGTTCATCACCAAGTGCTTTGCCATAGGAAAGCTTGGTATACCAGCCTTGCAAGTCCATGAGACTCGTATTATGTAAGCTATACCCAGACTTGTATTAGTGCGATATTATGCTTATATAATCAAAGATATCCTACAATGCTCTAAATAGGAAAGTTCTCCCCCTGAAACTGCGCGTCCGTACATACAAAAAATCATCCATCAACCGGACCAGAAACAAATACGCCCGTCGTCCAGCGATGAGGACAATTCCGTTTGTCTAGTTCCGTGATTACAGTGCGCAGCCATGCTCTGTAACTTAAGTCTGATCGTCCTTCAGCGATCCCAATTGGTTGTGTCGGATTACTATCAACTGCTCTGACAATGGGCATTTGCGACGGCTGGTGATCCTTCAAGCAATACCTCTCCAATGCAACGAGCAACATCGCTCAGTTTAATTCCGAAAAGTTCCCACGCCTTCTTGGTGCAACTTCACGGCTTGCTTCATTGAATAGACTAAAATGAACAAGCCGTGGAACCCTTCTTCCTTGTGGGTTGACCAGCATTTTGTGGAATGGCAGCCAAATAATCTCTTCCGCCCGGGGTTGGACAACCTACATTACTCGCATGTGTGTTTCTTGCTAGATATACATATACGGGGATGGGATTCGTCACAGAGGCGGATGGGGCAGGGCTCCATGTGCAATATGCAGATGCAAGATAGGCATTCATCATACGCATGCCTACTTCCGTTGGTGTAAACAACGTGTAGCTCACCAGACGGGACATGGCCTTTGACACACACCTACAACTTTCCAGAAAATTGGAATTGCGACTGGTGGGCAGAATTTGCGGACAGGAGCATACGGTGGCTTCAAAGCAGTATTCGCCTTAGATCCATCCGCTCAACCTTGTTCAATAATTCGGGCGCAGGCCTTTATGGAAAGGGATTTTGATTGAATCCGCCCCTTTCGTGCACCATGTGGACTCTGTATACATTTACAGAGTGTTTTATTTATCCGCGTGCCAGGGATGTATGGGCAGCTTGTGGACCTTTCTCCGCACTCTCTACATGCGCTCTAAGACAAAAAAAAAAGCAACCGCTCTTTCTAGAAGTCCTTGTTGGACCTAGACCCCTTTATACCCTGTGCTACTTGCTAAAGCTGTATGCCGCGCAGGGCGTATGCTCTTCCGCTAGGGTGGTGATGGTAACAACAGCATTCTATTTTGAGGCACTCTTGTCTGGTTGCTGTATGCTGTATACAGTTTATCAACGAAAACGTTCGCGGACACTTTTCTATGTCGTAAGTGAAAACATTACCAGCCGCCCTGATACGACTGAAACGACTGGTTCGCAAGGCTGATTATACACAGTATGTCCATATACGAGGCCTAGTTTACCCATGCGGGTTTGTAGGAGGAAATGATCCAATTGGATGATGGTCATAGTCATTGAAGATGAAACGACAACCGAACAGAATAATAAACGCCACGCTTACAACCCCGGGTCACTCAGAGTATCGTTCCCTTATACATGAAAATCCGAGGATGTTTGCTTCTCCTACTAATCTTGACGCGGCGCTGTCACTGGCAACTGGCCAATAGGAAAAGACGTCATGCAAGTTAGCAAACATGCCTCATCCAAGTCATCAGTTGCTCCGTTGAGTTTCTCAGCGGCCCATACCTTTATTTCTCGATGGCAAACGCCCTGACCGGCTACTTGCTCAAACTGCATCGTTCCTCCCAGACGAAAAGGGCTTTTATGCATTCTATCTCTTCTTTGTTTGTCGTTTCGACCGTCAAGGCAAAAATGAACTATTTAATATCCCTGTCTACAGTATGTTGGGAAGTACATAAGATAGCATGGCCCCGAGCGAAGTTCATGAACTTCCTCTATATTCCTTTCCATATCAGAGCAATTTCGCATGGTGCTGTTTACACAATCTGTTTCCTACCTGGTACCTAAAGGGTAATTCGACAACGTGTGACATCTCTCTGTGACACCATCTCACACCATCTCACACCATCTCACACTCCCTCTATTTTTCAATTTCTTAGCGGATTCCTGCGCACATGTTACTTCATATCCACTGAGGCCCTGCGGCATAGTACAACCGGAGACTTACAGTGTTCTGGTGGAACAATAAAGGAGACAGGCACCATCAAACTGATATCCAACTCCAAATATCTAATTGAATTACAAAGTTTCAAAACAATTTCCGGGGCGCTAGGCAAACTTCGGTAAGCCAACATTTTACTGTCTATCAACATGTTCTGGAACAAGGGTATGGTGAAGTACATCACCGGGACTATCCAGAGGACACGGAGTGTTGTCTTTGGTTTAAAACACACCCGTTCCCAGGAGTTCTTGATCAATGAATGGCCCCAGAACAACCAGAATACCCAAACCTCGCAACCTAAACTATCTTCCTTTCACCAGCTTCCATACCCCTTGATCCTATCTCACACTGCCTTCTACTTGAGAGCAACTTCAATTGCAATACTCAGTGGAATGTTACACATGCCGAGCGCTCTTTGATTTATACAGGCACCTCTACAGCACTAATACTTCTAGACGTCGCAGACAATGGATCACACATTTTATAAACAAGAAGAGGAGACCAAACCTTTACCACGAATACATCCAATTGCAACCCCAGCTACACAGCCTAAGCGAGAAGAAAGCGAAGATGCCCCGGAGGGAAAGCTTGCCCCGAACCGTTTAGGTGTAGAATGCGAAACGAAGACCAGCGTCGTCCCTAACCAGAGACGTCGGACACCAGTTGCAGTATGATGTCCTTACCGTTCTTGTACATACACATACTCACTAATTTACTCATGGCTACAGTGTGCAAGATGCCGCAGAAGAAAAATCAAATGCAGCGGTGACCTCGGCAATGGAGAAGCGTGCTCGAATTGTAAAAGTTCTGGAACTACAAACTGTCTATTTTTACGAGTTGGTCCACCATCTTTTGCATCTACTGTTACAGTGACCATGATTTTGACTTAGATGCAGGTTAACTCTTCTCCTCTTCAGACGAAAGCTAGTTACTCGACTTGGACATATCCTTTCTCAAACTCAACCTCGTTGGGAGCTTACGGACAACAACAGGCAGCGTATGATACTCATGTACCTAGAGCAAACGGCTTCTCGATAAATACTGGGCCGCCTGGATTGCCAGCATACTCAGTGATGCAACCAGGGCCTGAATATGGGACACCACTAGAGCCCACGCCTACCAACAGAGCACCCTACTACCCCCCAAACTATCCCATTGGATATGGAGATGCACCGACGCATCATCTTCCTTTCTCCTCTTATGTTTTACCCAGTTCTACCGGAGCAGGAGCAAATGCTATCTACGGGACTACCGCTTCAACAAAAGGCGGGCGACTACCAACTACATCAGACCCTACGAATGGAGTGATGTACCCTGACCTTGAAGGAAACAGTTCGCCATTGCCGAGTTTCCCATTTCTTGGACGGCCGTCTCAAAATTGTACTTCTAGTGAAGCCGTCACGCTCCTTCCCGCCGTGAACTCGCTACCTCTGGGGCAAGATAGAATTTTGCCCAACCCGACCACCGGCCGAAACAATGCTCCTGCGTCTATTCTGGAGAGTAGCAGTGCAACCCCAACAACTGTATGTACTAGCATTACTGCTGCATACAAGCAAGCATACCAGTTGGTGACTGAAAATGACACGCGGCCGATGACTGGCAATGATACCTCTTCACTCCCGGTCAATGTTAAGATTTCATCAAGCCCCGTTGATTGTGGATTTGGATACATTCCACTATCTAATGCTCTTCAGCCCTGCGTTACTTCTGCCCCCTTTTTAGTCACTGAAGTAGTCGATACTCCTATCGACTTTCATCAAAACTCGGGTGAGCAACAGGGCGATACGAAGATAACCAATGGTAAAGGCCACATGGATACATATGTGTCAGAGTATCATCATTCCACAAACCACCGTCCAGGGTCAACAAGGCCATCTGGGGGTATTCTTGTGAGTGGTGAAGTGTATCAAAGACCACAGTACACGACACCTACACGAAACATTTACCCGGTGGAGAAAGTTACCGCCCCTCCTCACCTTTCGGCAGGCACCTCGAGCTGTTATTAAACTGTCTCGGATGAGGTTACTCGTTTGCAATCCATTCTTCATAACCGCTTATATACGTAGTGCATCGCTGCCCTGCATAACTACCACGCCTGAACTCAGGACCTCTCTTTTTGTTCTTGTTTTGACTTCCCTTTCTTTATTCTTTGTGACTCGTGCTGCGTGGGCAAAAAACCTTTCCAAAGGCCGCCTACTACAATGAAATATAAAATATTGGAGACAGGAACTTTTATAGTTTTACGCTATTATTTGGACTGCCTCTTTCTTATCGTTAATCGTTTATTTATTTATTGTTTTTTGTTTTGTTTTTATTTTATTTACTTATTCATTACTACTAATGTTATTATTCAACTCGGTGGACATTGTTTATCCGTTTTGTGACCTCGTAATACTTCCAGCCTGTCCTTCTCCCACTTACTTCATCCTCACAATTGGACCATCAGTTTCATGTATTGCTACACTGTTACGTGTAGAGTTGATTCTCGGGCCATGATAAGTGATGACGATAGATGGTAATTATTTTCCTATACCTGAACAGCATCGTCTCTTTATTTCCTTGAAACTCCTATCGGATGAGATTAACATCACGAAAGATTCCAGTTGTTAGGCAATGCCACATAAACCCCAACTTGGATATAATATGGTATATCATATTTGGACAGGGGAAAATACGACTTTGAAATGGAAATGGAAACATTTTTGAATTTAATTATCCATCTGGTGACGCCGCATAAGTAAGCCCACCCGTTGGTTTTGATTCATAGCTAGCGTACACCATTGATTGTCCTGGGACACATAATGTCGAGCAACTATGGAGAAGTGCTGTTCATCAAGATAATTTTCGAGGTGCAAGACTCCAACCCAACCGCCAAACTGGCAACCATCAGTAAGCTGCTTATTTCTTGGCCTTCTTAACACCCTTGACCTTTGCCGTTCCTCGGAGTTTCTTCGCTCTGATCTTGCTGCTCTTGCCTGAAAAGGGGATAAAAATGAAGGGTCAGTCAGGTAATTCTCCTAGTGGCCACCAACAGGATTTTCAAAGAGGTAGGGTAATGCCAAAACATACGTTGTTTTCTACTGGGTCTCTCGATCTTGTCAACGACACCATAGCGGACAAGTCTGTAACGGGGTTCGAATTTCTTCAAGGCCTCGGTAGAGTCGTAGATGAGGGCAAATCCGGTGGTCTTTCCACCACCATAGTGGGTGCGGAGACCAAATACCGATATTTGTTCCTTGCTAGCTTTGTAGAGTTCTCCAAGCTTCGTTCTGAGGTCATCCTTTTTGATGTTTGCTCGGTTAGGATGAAGGATGTCACTATTTCCCAGATATAACACCGTGATTAGCTGATCATGTTCGATATATAATTTCCAAATCAAATGCACAATCGTGCGTAGCTAAGAGGGCCTCTCCATTCCCCCCTCTGTTTATCTCTCGCTTTATTCAACATTCACTTTTCTGTCTCTCGAAATATTCATCGTCATCTCGAAATGGCTCCGCTGATCACTCCAAGTACGTGCAGAAGAAAAAAAAGGCCATTAGGATCCGGAGAGCAAACACTTACACAACCATCTGCTTTCTGTTCAAGAGCGGGTTGCGGATAAACTTGCGCGTGCGCAAGGTAACGGGAGTGTCAGCCATGATGTCGGAGCGTGCGAGAAGGCCTCCGGTGGACGTAATGAGAATCTTCTGGGTGAAAGAAGATCCGTGCAGCGGTTGTCGATGGGGGACGTTGTCGATTGCTGCGGTCGAATGTTTTGTCGCTGTCGTCGAACTTTCGATGGTTTAATTTCGATTTTTTTGCTTGGTGTGGGTTTTCGGTTAGGGCCAAGCAGGGCGCGGTTAGTCCGTGTTACGTAAGCAGCGCAACAACGACCACGAAGGATAAAAAAAGCTGGCGAGAAAGCAACGATAAAAGGAACAATACCCTACACCGCGTAGAAAGAGAGCTGAGACCATATACGCCATGGAACCGATATCTTCCGATGAAGCGATTTGTCTCAGGACACTTGCTGCGCAGTATTTCCAGGCCGTTGAGGTGCAGAGCCTGCGCTTTCCACCAGGTACCGTCCTACTCAAACCCCAGGTGCAACGCTGGATAAACCAGAATATGTTCTCTGAAGACACAGTATGGCCTCTGCCACCGTTAAACTACCGTAGTAGGGTTCTGAAATTACTACTCTCAAGACTTGAGGAGTCGTTCTCTGACCCTGAGGAGGATGTACGAAATCCACGCGACCCCCCCTTTGCCTATGCATTGCATTTCACATCCAACATTGTATTCCCTTCTCCTTTTTGGTTGCTTGTACTCTCACCGTTTTGCAACTCAAGATCCTGACAATATAACTCTTCGTTTCCCCCTCCATTAGGAGATCTTAGACGATCTCATGACAAGCTGGAGTATTCTCATTTCTCGCCCCAAATCGTCACCGCTGGAACAGAGCCAACAGTTGTCCTACATCAAGTACACACCGCCTATGATGCTAGGTTCCAGGGATGACAACTGCATCATCACGTTAGAAAATCGAGGTCTGATCCTCTCCGCAGGAACAACTGGTTTTCGAACCTGGGAGGCTGCCCTGCATCTTGGGACATTCCTATCCACACAGACTGGAAAGGAGCTCATCAACGGTAAGAATATCCTTGAACTAGGGTCGGGGACTGGGCTGGTTGCTATGTACTGTTCAAAATGCCTTGGCGCCAACAAGGTCATGGCGACGGATCGGGACCCAGCATTAATCGCGAATATTCAAGAATGCATCTCACGGAACAAGCTGGATTCTAAGCACATTAGCGCTTCTATTTGGGAATGGGGTACTCCACTAGAGTGCCCCGATAATGCGCAGGAAAATGGGCGATGCTTTCCTGTGGACATTGCATTGGGGGCCGACCTGGTACGCATATTTGCACCACAAAATTCAATCACAATACACTTGACTAGCTCACTGATTATCACGACCTGGGTATATTTCCCGTTGCTGTCAATTTCACGAGACCCGTAGCTCTATGATGTCGATTTGATTCCCCTCTTTTTATCGACCCTTCGGGACTTGTTTGATCATTATTCGCTGAAAGCGTTTATTATCTCTGCCACCCTTCGTAACCAAGAGACCTTCAACGCGTTCCTCAGCGCCTGCGGTACGAGTCGACCCTTAAAATTTTGTTTACTTTGGCCTATAGGCGTGATTAGCTATGTCTGCTGACCGCACTTGTTGCTTCCAGCTGTTGGTAGCCTAGAGGTTTGTCAGGTTGCTTTCGAATCACCCCTTGAGGAAAACCAAGATGGGTTTTTTCATAGAACCAGTACTCCTATCTTTACATACAAAGTAACATCCTCGCGCCCGGCGCCGTTAGACTGAAACATTCATGTATCATGATACTGGAATATATTTGATCATGTAACATACAGGCTTGCCGTCTCCATGCCGATTTTTGTTTATCCTGGCAGCCTTGCCGGTGGTCGACCATGAGAGATTCGCCAACTTCTCTATAACTAAAGGTCGCACGAGAACCGTGTTTCTGTATCTCCTTGTCTCTCTCTAGGAATATATCATGTCAATAATAAAGCTTCTAAGAATCATCCAAGGGAGGCTCCGGCAGAATCCCGTTACTCTCCCCCCTCCCCTACAGGTATGTTGTGTATACTATGCACTATGCCTTGACCTCCAAGCCACTAGTTATCGACGACCCTACCTGATAATAATCATACCTTGCTCATCAGCTACCCGCAAACACCACAGGACTTCGATGCAACACGGGTATGCGGTGGACAATAGAGCTATATACCCCTAATGGACTTTGGAGACATCCTATGTACCTTTTTAGTATTTAGTTTTACTCAAGCCTTGAAACCCTTGTCTACCTATATCCACTTTACTCTATTATTACATATGTACTTCCTCCCGCGGGATGTTATATTTGATCCGTATCATAATCGAAACAACAATAGCATGGCCAAATATAAGCAGATCTCCATATTCCGATTTTAGAAATCGATTCATTTGCTATTTTTTTATAGCCTTCCGTTCAAGGGTAGCTTATGGCATAATAAACTAAACTGTCTCTTGTTCCCAGTAACATTGCTTGTAGGGGAGGAAGTTGTGATTTCCTCGTTCATACATAGATTAAAAGCACTTTGTTTCCAGGGAATGGTGTATGAAAGCCGACTTCTGTCACTTATTACTATGCAGAGAAGCTAAAATTTAAAAGGAAGCAGTTGTATATGAGATATAAAACTCCCTTCATAGACCTGTAGGTATATAATCCAAACCACTAAACATACGCGGTATCTATAGCAAGTTGGAGGCGCTGCAATTAATGGATCTCTATGTACAGTTCATCATAATATCTGCAGCTACCATGGAATTTCCAGGTCAGTCCGAGTGACAAATTTCTCAGAAAAGTTATCACAAGCCGCGTCATAAATGATTATTCCGACATCTTGAACACTGTCCTATGTATTTTCGGGCAGCCTTGTAGGGTAGTTCCATGCTTTATGCCATAAAATCACCCATCTTGGCCTATAACCATTCAGAGTGAAGAGCCACGCTGACAAGCCCTCTTTAAGCCATTTGAAGGTGAATTGATTTGACAATGTGGTTAACTGCAGTTTTGCTTAGGCCTTAAGTACCACCAGGAAAAGGCTCCATTTACCCGGTAGGTCCGGCAGGCGAAGCATTAACGATAAGTTTTGGTGGCAGGCCCATCGCTTCGCAGTAAACCTCAAAGGGCTTGAAGAACTGTCAAGGGCCCAATGATGTTGACTCCGAAGTACCAACGAATATGTTCGAAGGTCATTTCAATAAACGGCATTATAGTAACATGGCCAGCAGCACACACAACAATATTGACATAGCAGGGAAGCTTGCTCGGATGGAGAAACTATTTGAACAACATGAAAAATGCTTTAAGCTCTTTTATGGAATTAGCTGATAGTTCTAAAAGTCCCGCAGTGTTAGATTTATTGCAAAGAATACTAATAACAGCGGTGGAGGGGCGAACAATATTGGCTTGGACCAAGACTGAATGCCTTAATTGGCACCCGTGATGGCATAGGCGGTGTTTGGAGCCATTGTACGTGGTGAGGGGAAGAAAATAGAACGTTCGTTGGATGACAGGCAGAGAGAAAGAAATAGCAGGGGTTGCAAGGGAAACAAGCTAAAGTAACAATTTCTTCGTTAAGACAGGAAGGACGGGCTAGAGGGAAGAAGACTGGCATATATAGTTATCATGTGTCTGGCGACGACAAGATATTGGCGTGGTGATATTGCATAGCCGCCTTCATGGCCGGGGTATTAAGCTCGAACCAATGCTAGGGTAGTTATGCCGTAGGGTTAGGTGCTTGTTGGTTTTTGACATTCTCCTTTACTTATATAGTTAAGGTTTTTAGTCACGTGGTATTAAACTCTCGGGATGATTTAAAGTGTTTGGGTTAACTGGTTAAATAAGGTTAAAGTTTAAGATTATTCGGAGATCAGAGCTCCAAATTATCTAGTTACAACATAGGAACAAGGAATAGAGGAAGAGAGATCAATAATACTCAGCCAGTGACTAGTATAGATATTTTAAATGGCGCTGCAGCCTCTCAATTATTTAATTATTTTATCATTTTGGCGGGATCGCGCGAAAGGCTCGCTGATTCAATTTCCAAGCACCGACCTACATACGCTGAAACCACTCGATGAACCGTCCCAAACATTCGTATTTATTAAGTAGGGATAAGTTGCAGAGGGTAAAAGGCGATATCCTCCATGGGTTACTAGTTTAGTGCAGAGGATGTAGGGCGTTTCTACAGTAAGTGACTGAGGATTTTTTTTTCTTTTGCTCAACCGTGCCACAGGTACAACTGGTTTGGTGAATCCAATTTATGGACTGTCACAATGAAGCAACGCCCCTCATTTACACGATTATAAAAAGGGCTGCAATTCCCATCTCCACCGTATTTAAGACTTGTTGTTACAGTATAGCCTTATTTATTTACAGCTTAGTGTTTGGGTTGAACTCGACTTGCCTTGGTTCGTTGAAGCTGTACTCATAGGCCATACATATAACGATGCTCCTACCATGGCAACAGACTATCATAATTCTTTTTCTTGGTGTGAATTCGTTGGTGGCCGCTTTGCGGAACACATATCGCACCGTTGAGGAACTTCCTACGATTCCCGAGGGATGGATTCAAGGGAAACCCCCTTCTCCCGAAACTTCTATTCGCATGAACCTAGCCCTCTTTCAGGAGAAGGCTCATGCATTTGAACAAATGGTTGTTGATATATCCACACCAGGGCATTCAAACTACGGCAAACACTTATCCCGGAGGACTTTGAAGGATTTCCTTCGACCACGCAAGGAGGTCTCGGACTCGATTTTATCCTGGTTAGAAGAAGCGGGAGTCGCAAAAAAGTCAATATTGAATGATGGAGACTGGATCCATTTCGCTATTTCAGTCTCACAGGCCGAAAGGATGTTGAAGACCCGATTTCATTATTACCACGATTCAGGGGACCCTAGTGTATTCATGATCCGAACATTGCAGTACTCTGTTCCATCTCACCTGGCGCCGGATATTCATATGATTCAGCCAACTACGAAGTTTGGGAAGCCCAAGAAGCATGGCAACTCTATTGCAAAATTAGAAACTATTCAGTTATCCAGCAATGCAACTACCAATTGCAACGTTACGATAACTCCACAATGCTTAAGGGACATTTACAAAATGGGAAACTCTTTGGCCACACCGGACTACAGAAATGTTATTGGGGTATCGGGATATCTGGACCAGTACGCAAGATACAATGACTTTTACAAATTCATCGATCTCTATGCTCCCGACTTGAAAGGCGCCAATTTCTCCGTGAAGTATATTGGAAAGGGCCAAAATTTACAGAATTCCACCAAAAATAGCGTTGAAGCCAGCCTGGATATCGATTATGCACTTGGACTGTCTAACGCTACTACTGTGTTTTATACAACGAGCGGTAGAGGCCCTCTAGTTCCAGACCTCGAGCAACCGGACCAAGAGCACAACTCCAATGAACCATATTTAGACCAATTACACTATCTTTTAAGTTTACCATCAGATGAATTACCTGCTATACTTTCAACCTCTTATGGAGAGAATGAACAGAGCGTCCCCGAGAAGTTTTCAAACGCAACTTGCAGTTTATTTGCTCAACTGGCGGCCCGAGGTGTCTCAGTCATTTTCAGCAGCGGGGATACCGGTGTTGGCTCCTCTTGTTTGACAAATGGTCGAAAGAAAGTCTCCCGATTTAATCCTACTTTCCCTGCAAGCTGTCCATTCGTTACATCTGTCGGCGCGACTTTTAGAATAAACCCTGAAATGGCCATCTCATTCTCATCTGGCGGTTTCTCCGATCGTCATATCCGCCCTAGATTCCAAGATGATGCCGTTCTAACTTACTTGGATAAACTCGGGAATCAATGGGAAGGGCTATATGACCCTAGGGGTCGTGGCATTCCTGATGTTGCCGCTCAAGGGTCCAATTTTGCAGTTTATGACCACGGGAGAGTAGGTATGGTCTCTGGCACTAGGTTAGTAATACCGAATACTTCTCTAGAGCCCTTTAGGAATAAGCATTTACCCCAAAAGTAGCTAAACGCTATGCACCCTTTATCGTTACCAGATTTAGATAGTTGTTTACTGACTCTTACAGTGCATCGGCTCCTGCATTCGCCGCCATCATTGCCAACCTCAATTCCATCCGCTTGAATGCCAATAAGCCAGTCCTTGGCTACTTAAACCCCTTCATATATGGACAGGGTAGGCAAGGCTTTACCGATATTGTCCACGGGGGTTCGAGGGGCTGTGCTGGCTACAATTCAACCAATGGAAGCGCCCCAGCTGTGCCGTATGCTAGTTGGAATGCCACTGAAGGGTGGGACCCGGTTACGGGAGTTGGAACCCCGAATTTTGAAATTTTAGCCAAGATAGTCCGAGATTTGTAGAAGGCTTAGGGGTAACTATCATTGAGGATTGCCTTCTACTATTTGATCAATATTAGACCTTTCTCCAAGTACGCTAAAATTCTTTGATTAGCAAACGTCGTAGCCTCTATCTTAAAAGACTTTACTGAGATTATAGTTTTAGTAGAACTAAATGATATTGTGCTCTTTATATAACTAATACAAAGAATCAAAATCCCGTTAATCATGTATGTCGTCTAAATAAAAAAAGGGAAATGTTACTAATGATAGAAAGATCATGGACATGCTTTTCCCACCTTAGCCTTCTATGGAATACATATAAAAACAAGTAAAACGAAGAAAATGTTGATTAGACAGGGCCTTTCCATGGATCGGCATCTCCTAGCTTTTCTACAACAAGCCCTGCACTGCCTGGGTTTTTGAAACCAGCCGCCAGTTGACGCTCATAGCTGATTTGGCGAAGGCGCTCTGCTTCTTTGGGGGTGAGGCGGAGGTATATTTCAACACCTAGGGCGTGGAGCATAAATGATATCCAAATTGCTGTGCCAAAGCTGAGGTTGAAGGCAGCCCCGGCCGAGGCCGGGTTACTCAAGTTAAGGGAAGCAGGGACTGGAACCATAATGCTTGCGGAATCTGGTGCGGTGCACTGTGGGAAGAGTTTTGCTAACTTGGCGGAGGCAGCAACGGCATCGGAAGCACCATTCATGAAGGTGAACTGTACTTGGTCGCACGACCATACGTCATGGCGCAGGTGTGGGAGGGCACCGAGAATAGAAGCTGAGATAATGAGGCAGATTCGAATGGTGATGATACAGCCCATGTAAAACATAGTGCGAAGCATCCAAGCACGATGCTGTTCGAGTTGCTTGCAACGAATATTGTAGAGTGCCAGGCAAAAAGAAACCGTACAGGCTATGACAACAGTAATGACCGCGGACTGAATGTCGACACCACCGCCAAAGGAGTGTTCCATAATCATAAGGGCGCCAGCATGCGAAATTAAGAGCAGGATGAAGATGATGTAGCCATTGATACGGTGGATTAGTATCCACTTGTGTCGAATTATTGGAATAAACTGGAAGATGACAAGAATGCCACATGGTAGCACAGCGGCTAAATGAAGGAGGAGGCCAACTCGATCACGGCCCATGCGCGTGAAATACCATTGACCGGGAACAGAGTCATGCTCGAAGATATCAAAATTCAGGAACGAGAAACGGGCAAGCGTGAAGCCGAGAAGGGCACCGGCAAATATGAACCAAAGAATAAAATTGTATCCTTTTTTATACCCTATTGAGTTATGCAGGGTCGAGAAACCCTGGAGGAAGGATTCTGCCAAAGCCATCGTAGGTAAATAAATTATAATAATGGTCGTGTTAGATGTAATAATTGGGTATGAGAGAGAGGAAGGATGGGTGTGATGCTGAAAGTGACTGGAGGGCTGGATGGGCAACTTTTATATCCTTCATTCTCTTTAGCTCAGGTAGCTTGGCCCAAACTTGATGATACATCAAAAGAAAAGACAATTAGACACAAGAAAGGCTGAGCCCCATGGCATTGGTGTCTGTTGTGATACTATGATGTCCACAGTACGCAATCGAAAACATGCCAAGAGCCACTTCGGGTTTGGGGTTGACTGGGCGTAAATCCTTCGGGTCGAAAGTTGCTCATCTTTCCAGGCGGAAAGGTAATTCTGAGTGGTTGAAGCGTTGACATGACCAGCCCAGCCGCATAACATGAACAGGGATGGAGGGCGATCACGGAATGCTGGTTGGCGTAAGTTAGGTTTTTTCATTGGATCTACGATGCAACAGTGTATGGTGCCTATAATAAAAGTGGCATTTGTCAGTTTCCGCTGAAAAGAAAATACTGTTGGCACGGGTGAGCCAACACGCTGTAAGCCGTTTGCAGTCACCAATTGCATACCTAGTATACTGGATAAGCTGACCGAAAGCGTTGGCTGGTGGGTCGTTGCTTAGATTCACGCCGGAAATCGTCTAGTTGCAGCTCCATATAAGCCAACTTACTCACTGGCCCGTGAGGTTGGAAATCATATATCAGCCGCCACGGCAGCAGGGATGTGGGATACAAGATACGCCCGAAGGAGTGCTCGGCACGGAGATTGGGCAGGGAGCCAGTATACATCGTACGTACTCCGTACATACATAATTATATGTATGTTCCGAAAGAAATAATGGTAACGGCTCCAAGAGTCCTATACGTACGTGGAAGTTATTTTAAGCAGTTGGCCCAAGCCACGGGATGACTCAGCCTAGCTACACGTGACTGCTACGGTCGGACTGGGATAAACGATTAACCGTCAACAGCAAGCTCCGTGTTCCAGGATGGTATCATCTCCAGTCTCATCTCTCCAGACCCCAAAACAACACAACAACAGACAACCGACCTGTTGCCGTCGGCTTTCCGTAATATCTGGAAGTCCTGATATAACTATTTCTTCCTGTTTTGCCCTACTTGCTCGACTTTCTTCGTTATGGCGTACGAGGAGCTTCATGCTCTTATTCGAGACCTGCACCAAACCCTAGATCAGAAGCATGTGGATAAAACAGCTGCGCTTTTAACCCGTGCAAAGCGTGCGCTTCTACAGCTCAACGCTCTCATTCCTTCCAGCTCAACTCCTCATCCACTCATCTCCCTTGCGCGTGAGATCCTCGAGCTAGGTGCCATTACATCAATACGTCAGAAAGATGCCCCTTCCTTTACCAGATATTACCAGCAACTACAGCCTTTCTACGATACCGAAAGACATCTACAGGCGGCTTTTGCAGAGGAGGCAGAGATAAACTTAAAAACCAGCCAGCGGAGCAAGATAACAGGCCTCTACTTGCTGCTACTCTTGAGCATGGGAAACAACACAGAGTTTCACACCGTTCTAGAAGGGTTGGTGGTGGAAGCGTCGTTGAAAGGCCATCCCGTTGAAGCAGATCCGTATATCAAGTACCCCGTTGAGTTGGAGCGGAGCTTGATGGAGGGCAGTTATGATAAGGTCTGGCGTGAAACGAAATCAGAACGAGTCCCTTCAGAAGACTTTGGGCTATTTTCATCTGTACGTCACTTCATCCAGTATTACATTGTGTCTCGTTTACTTAAGCTTTCCCCAGTTGGATAACAAAGACTAACTTCTCGTGGGTAGATTCTTGTCGGTACCATTCGAAGTGAAATTGCTGACTGCTCTGAAAAGGCATACCCGTCTCTCCCCGTCTCTAATGCTAAAAACTTGCTGTTCCTTGACTCCGAAGGTGCTGTTGTAGAGTTTGCTAAGGAGCGAGGGTGGACGTTGAAGGATGGACGAGTATACTTCCCTAGTCAACAAGAACAGGAGGAACAGAACGCTCCCCAGAAGACCGGCAAGGAGATTATGTTAACAACCGGCTCCGTGATCGAGAATACGATTGGGTATGCAAGAGACCTGGAAACCATAGTTTAAAGCCGAAATTCCACTTTTTGATGTTCAATTACTCTGTTTCCTCACTATTAGATATCAACACAGTTTATCCCCCATGTCCAGGAAACTCCACCTAGCAATGCAACCTTAAAGCCTCATTTCTCAAAATGGTTATAAGTAACATAATTTTTATCCTCGGGCGTGTACTACGTGTATATAACGTTGGTCTCCGAGCAAACATCGCCATTGCAGTCGGATCACTTTAAAACATACTCCCCTTTACCCTGCCGTAAAATAGTTTCCAGAGCAATAGGTAACTAACTACGCCATGTCAAAGTTGGTCAAAGCCTTAGCTTTCGAAATTGGCCCAAATGTTTGCGGAGATTGACCCGAAGGTACCTATATGCTTGCTTCCCATACGCAGACCCTTTTATCGTAGAAGCTGCTAGACAAACAAAGCAACTCAGATGGTTTATAGTAACCCGGCCACACGTCCGAAGCATAATTCATGCTCTCATGCTCTGTGAACCGAGCGACAATCTCGATATCCCAAGTATTCTCAGTATTTGAATCCTTCAGATGATGCGCCACACGAATTACACGCGCACCGCCATGCATACAGCTAGCAAGAATAGCATAACTTTTTAGAGCTCCCTGTGGTTCGGGATTGTCTTCAACTCTGAGAAGTTTCAGCCTCCAGACTCCTCCGCCTAGATCCATACTTGCTAGAACCTGTCTGCGCGTTCCGAACCGGTAGACTCGAACATGCTGATCGTAACTGCCAGTAAGGATAATCGATCCTTCATCTCTATTGCACAGTGGTAGGATAGCTGTAACTCCTCCTTCATGGAACTTGCCACGATCATTAAATGGCGGAGATCCGATGTTGAAATCTGAATCGTCTGTAAATGTAAATTCCCGAACCTGGTTGAAGTCATCCCCGCTGAAAAGTGAAAGTTGGCCATCATGTCGTCTATGAAATGCCAAATACCAAACTTCGATTGACATCCCTTCCAGACGTGTCTCCTTCAACGATTCTTGCTGTAAGGTGGGGGACAAATTATCTTTCTGGAAAACCGACACTTGGCCGTCAGAGAACGAGACCGCAAAGCCAGTAGCAGGGGGCCTGTCGTGCTCTCCTTCCAGAGGCAAAGGTGGAATCCAGGCCAAAAATAAACTGAGATTTGTATCACCATTACGCACATTCAGGGTATTCAGAAAATGGGTAGAAACATCAGCATCTGGGCCATCAGAGCTACTTTCAACCCTATATAGCGAAACCTTTCCAGCACTCAATGCAACAGCAAAGAGCGAAGGGTCATGTAAAGAAAACTGAAGGTCAAATACCGCATGAGATAGCGATAGCCTCTGCACTTGGGAACTGCATCTTCGTTAGTAACGTAATTTTTCACTATTCGCGTCATATCTCCTTGGTAACTTGACGCAAAAGTAGAGCACATTGCGTTGAAACTAAAACCTACAGATGATATGACTGGGGATTTAGTCTAAATAGCTGAAGGCTACCCGAGCGAGATGACTCTGGGGACAATGAGTTGGCATCGGATTCATGTATCGTTAAAAGGTATGTTCCAATCACTAGGAAATAAGGGGCTGTAGGGCAAAACTGGAGACAGCTGGGAGGCTGGTCTATAAATATAGTGGAAAGGCTGTTGGAATTGCTATCAGTCGACATGGCGATCAATTTTCTAATAAATGTGCGGCTGACAATTTTTGCGTATGAAGGACCGATGTAGAAATTTGAAAGGCATTATTTCCTAAATATTTGAGTTTTATGAGATTTTAGGGCGAAGTTCTGCTTCAGTATCAATGTAATGGCACCCCGATATTTAAGCCATCTGGAGGGTGTAATTAAAGAAAAAGAGAGACTATTTGTAGCTATTAATGCTGAAGATCCGACTTCAGCTATCTGTCTATTCTTGCATCCCACTAAGAAAGTTCAAAGTCAAGTGCAAAAATGTCGATTCATTCGGTTCCGGACTACAGGCTACAGCGTTTAGGATGGAAACTCACAAGTTTCGATTGAGATAAACCAGGCCGAGAGAGCACATGCATATCATGCCCTAGGAACTGGAACAGCAAAACTGAGATGTTATCTAGGAATTTCAGTCAAACAAGAAAGCCGCATATATCAAACCACAGCGTATTGATGTAGCACTCGAATCAAGGCGGGTTAGCTCGCTCAGGGAAGCTTTGATATAATCACACTGATCATAAATAACGCAGGCCGTAAGATATGTCCCAAAGGCTTGTAGCCTAATATTAAGGGACTTGCTGCGCCATTCCTAATAGCATAGATTGAAATATAGAACTCTTTCCTTGAATGGAAGCCACAGCAGCAGGATGTATCACAACCTTATATCTGGGTTGCGTCTGAGTTGTTGTATAACTGAATAGGGTCTATCTTATTGCTTGTTTGACACCAGTCCCATTCAAATAAAGGCAGCGGCGCCCTAGGTCCCCATATTGCCGTGGTTATAAGCGCTAGGGCAGTTATTCATGACTCTGACTGTTACCCCTCGCCAATAATCACTTCGCATTCAGCTCGAAGTTCCTTGACCCCTTTAACTTCACCCCATTTTAGAAGCAGTGGCTGTATCTCTCTCCAATCACTTTCCGCTTCGTCCCTTCTTCCAGTATCTAATAGTTGCTTCAATCTCCTTGGGGTATCCAATGCCCATAATACTGTCGCTCTCTCGGGACTGATACGTTTATCTCGTTTCTCCTTTGCTGGGGTTGGTCTCTGTCCGGCTGGTTTCAATTCTTCCTGCTCTCGAATAAGTGACATGGCAGTCTCTGCGACAAATCCAACCGCAGGAGCCAAAGTTTTTGTCATCAATACGGGAGTCCCTTCCTCCTCCAAGATTGACCTCATTTTGCCGATGGTTTCAACTGCTTTTATAAGCTTTGAGTAATTGTCATAAACCAATGCCTTCCGCTCTCCATCCAGGGTTTTTATATCGCTGACAAGGGAGTTTTCTGCTCGTAGTATAGTAGCTAGAGATGAGGTAGCAAGTAAATGGGATACATAGGCATCTGGGTCAAAGTTTGGGCTATCGAGTTCGCTATTCGATATCTGGTTGGCGGGTCGTGACGGGCCATCTGGAGTAGGCGGAATGCTTCTTGGTCTCGGTTGGGCCAAAGATTCGGTTCTGTTTGGATGCAAGTTATAATAGTCTCGTAAGGCTGCCCTATTTCGTCGCAAGGCATTGTTAGGAGGATCAGCTCTGGGTGTGAAGGTTGCGCTTTCGACTGATGGACGCCGAGACGATACAGGCGTTGGGGATTGAGCAGAAGCTATCGAAGGGCGAGGAGAGGATACCGTTGACATTTTATACAAATTAAAGCGGGAGATTATTAAAAAGGCGGCCGCGATAAACGTCGCATCTGTACCGAAAGTGCAGTCACTTTAGTGCTTAAGGATATTGACAAGGAAGGATTCATAGTAGGCACCATAGCTTCAATTAACTAGTTAATCCATAAATAGGGTGGTCCGTGCGTATTCCACATATTGACTCTATGTTAACTACAGCTCCTAATAACAGCCATGTAAAGAAGCAACGTTCAGTATTAATATTCTTTCTTCACCAACTAAGGATGTGACCATGTTAAATAATTTAAAAATAGATGCATTATAAGCGGCTGAATCGTTGAAAATGGCACCAGATCCACAGAAACACATCAAAAATCACCTTTTACACACCAAATCTTTGCCTGTTTCTGAAATTTGGCTTTCTCAGTTTCTTTCTAGCCAGCGACCCGGAATCACACCCCTCCCTGCTCTGACTCAAACTGCGTTGTTCCGGCTACTTGCCTCAGATTTCACCAGGTCCCTTGAAATTCCAGTTACAAACTCTAGTCAGGTGCTGCCTGCGGATGTCTCTAATCCAAATATCAAAGAGCGGCGTATATCAGGGCCCGTTCCTGTGCAGGTTCTTGACATAGAAGACATAGGAAGCAGCGCCTGGAGCCAAATTGAGGCAATTGAAAGAATCGAAAGAGGCGAAACAGTTAGGGGACGAGAAGTTATCCGAACTGTTCCTCACGAGATTGATGAAGGAAGCAACAACACCGGTACTGCCGGCGAAAACGGGAGGCCATCCCCGCACTCTGTTACTGTTAACACTGGGCTAGAGCATACAAGACCGGGAGGACCACATCGACTCATCCTGCAGGATTGCAGAGGTACAAAGATGATAGCCATTGAACTGAAGCCTCTTACACTAAAAATCGGGGAAACAGCAATTGGAACAAAATTACTCCTCGCTAATGCTACTGTTGCTCGTGGAATGGCCCTTTTGGAACCAGAATGTGTAACTATTCTTGGGGGTAAAATTGACACCTTGGACCGCGAATGGAAAATTGGGCGAAAAGCTAGACTGCTCTCAGCGCTAAATCCTCCAGATTTTACTAGTTAAGCAAGTAATTCGTTAGCCTAAGGCATCATATTCACCACTTAATGTCTATCATAGTAGAGTTCATGCTCGTATGAATCCACCTCAGCTTTAGGAGCAACACTGGCTCAAACCATTCCAACCATTTTTGGACCAAGGTGCTACCATGACCGCACATAATGCACTTTTCCTCGTACCAACTAGAGAATATGCTTCGCAAAGGTCTTCGGCCTTGAGTGTTCCACGAGGTGGTATGTTTACTGATGCTGTTCGGACAGCCATTTCGGCGGGGTAATTTTCAGTTGACATCGAAGAGAGGGCTATCCAACCTTGCGCTTGACTTGGTGATATCATTATAGATGTTGTTGCTTGATTCAACATCTTCGAGGCACGCATCATATCTGATTGAGCCTCATATCTCAGGGCTGGAATACTTGCAAGTAGCTTCACAATTTTCCCAGCATTATGGGTGTCCAAATCGCTTCTTGCTCTCATTGCTTGAAGGTTCGATTCAACGGCTTCAACAGCATCCTCGTCCATATCTAACAAGGCAACGACTCCAAGTAGAGTGATAGATCCCACATGTTCGGGATGTTTTTCTACACACTCAAAAAGCTGTTCTCGAGCAACCAGCCTCTCCTCATCACCACCTTTGGCCCAAAGTACCTGTGCAAGCAGACATGTGACGTCTGGAGAATTATCAGCCTCTTGAATTGCATCACGGAACATCTCGATAGATTCGTCCATTCGACCAAGGTAGTAAAACGCCAAGCCAGCGGTCAGATGAGCTGACAATCTAATTGCTTGATAAAGCCCCTCATTATGATCACGCACGCCTTCTTCGGACGATAGGCTTATCGCTGTTTCTGCGCTGTCGGCAGCGCTTTCATATTCAAGTTGCCTCAGCTGTATTCGAGCCAAGTCTGCCGATGCCTGGGCATACTTTAGCAATGCGTTTATAGACTCAGTTGACTCATATTCTGCCTCGGCCCCTGAACACACGATCTCTAGGTCTGATATTGCATCCTCAAGATCACCAATACGTTCTGCAAAAAGTGAAGAGAGATGGCAATAAAATAACTCAGAAGGGTCCACTGAACGAAGCTGATGGAGGCCAAATAGAGGCTGGAGCAATTGGGTTGGTGAAGTTTCCGGGCTAACACTAATATCATCGAACATTGATATGGCATATTGCTGCTTTGGGAAAACACCATTCGCGTTCCCGAGTCCAAACGCATGCGTAAACAGTTCCCGTGCCTCGACAGCATCCCCTATAAGCATAGCCAAAAAACCTTGGCCTAGCCACGCGTTGCAATAATCTGGGTCTGCGGATTGCGATCGTGTAAAGGCTTCATTCGCTAATTGGTAATCGTCATTCAAGAGATATAGAGCCCCTAGGTTGGCCCACACGAATGCATTCCGTTCATTAAGGTGAAGGCTACGAATAAACGCATGCTGTGCTACCTTTGGGCTTTGCGAAGACGTAGTAACGCCCAGTGCATTCCAAAAGTCAGCATTCCCAGCTTCAAGCTCTATTGCCTTTTTAAAACATTGGATTGCAGCTTTGATAAATCCGCTCTTCCTCCGGCTTTTTGAGCCCTTTGAAGTCGAAGATCGTTGCGTGTGAGCTCTATATTCGGCCCAGCCTAAGTTATACCATGCCAATGCCTGAGCGTGGGTGTCTTTGGCGGAAGCAGAGAGTGCATACTTGAAAGCTAAAATGGTTGCGTATATCGGGATTAAGGGATCCGGCTTGCCGATGTTCTGTAAACTGTCAAATAAAGCGTCAATGTCCTCCCCAATTCCGTCTAGGTTGGAGAGAATATTGAAGGCGGCGCTGTCACAGCTTCTCTTGAGCACCGCCATAAAAGATGCGATAGGCATGCATGATGATTTGTCATGTACCCAAGAAAAAATAGAAAAAGCGTCGCCAATTGATTTCCATAGATTAAAGCCGCTGGGGTGATAACGCGTCACGGACAAGCCTGTCTCTATTGCTCGTTTTGCTTTTTCGGCAGCTTCCCCAAAGAATCCGGACACGGCCGCCTTCCATGCGTCCTCAGTTAGGGCTTGTAGTAATGCAACAGATACGCCAAATTCTTCGTTTCTCAGTTGCATGACCTCTTCATACATTGTGATAGCCTTTTCATAATTTCCGAGTTCTCTTTCTAAATTTGCCATCATATATTTTGAGTACCATATCTGGGCACGTCCTGACTCTGACAAATTGGATTCTAATAACTGAGCATTCTGGAATGCCTTGGTGGCAGCGATGTATCGTCCTGAATTATAATAACTTTCACCCAAGCCGACCCAGCACTGGTAGTCATTAGGAGAGATTCGTAATGCAGTTTGAAAATGGACGATACCCTTTGCATAAAGTTGTCTGTTTATTTCAACCACACCTAGGACGGCAAAAGGCCAGCTATATCCAGCTCTCTTGGATCCGGGGGACGGCTTTGCCTTTCCTGAGTCTACTACTCTTTGGGCAATAGCCTCAACCAGGTCCCAGTCACCTTGATCAGCGAATTCTCGAGCCAAGCGCTCCGCTGCCATAATCTCGGATGATGAGAGCTCAACAGCTTTATGGAAACATCTCTGGGCTCTCTTTTTGTCCTTCTTGTAATCAGCGTAGTACACGCCAAGGCTAGAATATGCCGGTGCATAGTTCATATCCGCTTGTATGGATGCCAGGAATTTGGAATAAGAGCCGCTGCGGTCCTTTCTGGCAGAGGGGGAGGGGTCTAGCTCCCATTGGCAGAATCCAATGCGGTATAGAATTTCAGCTCTAAGGCTATGCCAGCGCGAATCTTGGGCCTGGACTAGGGGTAAAGTTTCTTCAAGCCCTTTCAAGGCAGCGTCCAGCTCTCCATTTTGGATTTTACACCAAAATAGCTCGCTGCGGACCTTAGCATTCTTTTCATTCCTCAACAATGCTTGAGCTAGTAAATTCATAGCTGCAGTATAGTCATGGGCCTCCTCCAAGATGAGCCCTAACCCGAGAAGACAGCTATCCTCCTGGGGTTTTCGTGAAAGTACATCCTCAAATATGGCTTTTGCTTCCGGATGATGCCTGGGTGACTGGTATGAGATGAGCGCAGTGCCCAGCATGACATTGAGCGAATCCACCGTATTCTGGAGCCTAAGCCCTGTATCACGTCGTATATCGGAGTTGATCGTCAAACCACTCCGGGATACCTTTACAACTGTCTGAAATTCCTCGAGGTGAGAATACACTTCTCCCATGATCCTATGAGCCAAGACTGACTCGGGAGCCTGGTCTAAGCCCTCTGTCATCAGTAACAGATAGTCTTCGATCATATTGCGGGCCTCGGTTTCAGGATTTCGTGCTGTGCTGACAGCCTCGTCGCCCTCTCCTGTATTTTCTTGGGGAAATGGGGAAATGCTAGTGTTGAGAAAGCCGTTGAGTACCTTACTAAGGCCATGATCGGGGAATAAGAGGATGAAGTCTCTTAATAGAGTAACGTCCAAGTCTGAGAGATTTTCAATATCGTTCCAGTCGAAAACTATTCTCCATGCTAATTCAAACGGGTGCTTGATAATTACCATATCGTGCGCCGCCTTCAGAACCAATTCCCTGTTTGCCGTCTTCTTTTTAGTGGGGAGGACACGGAGTTGGTCATAATACCTCTGAAGAAGTTTTTCTTCGTGAGAACGGCGTGTTTCGTCGTCATTTGTCCAATTGATAATTCCCTGGTATAATTCGTTGAGCACACTCCGGCTGAAGGCTTCAAGTTTTACCTCTGTGGTAACCTGATCAAGCCGCGCACCTAGCCTGGTCCGTCGTTCTCCTATTTCACGGTTGATAAACTCCTTCTCCTCTTGCTCAGCGAGCTCAGCTACACGGAGATAGGCTTCAGAAGGCCGGGGAACTAGCCCCTCTACGCACTTGTAGATAGGGCTAGTGGGTAGCTGCAGCTGCAGGGCATGGATATATTGGATCTTTGACCCTTGGTCTTTTACAAACTTGATATACTTGTCCAATACTCCATGGGCTCGGGCATACTCATCGCTAGCAACCAAGTTAGCCACTTAACCCGAAGGCCAGGGTCAACGCGCAAGGGCATAGACATACGTATCTGCAAATATGTTGCAGAGGCGCACTACGGCTTTTCCATAGCTCTCTATTCTTTTCGGGCCTTGGGACTCATAGAGGGCAATCAGCCCTTGCCAGGCAGTCTTGTCACTATTTTTTATCTTGATAGCGGATCCATATGCCTTTTCAGACGCATCGTGCTCGTTGAGCTTTTCTCTAGCCAGGCCCAGGAATATGTGGCTTTGAAGAAAAATGAGTAACTGGGTCAGCATTTGTGTGGGAGGCTAACAGGGTGGGCTACAGGTACATACGCATGATAGTTTTGAGGCTCCTGTGCGCAGAGATCGGATGCCTTTTGAGCTGCCTGGGAGTAGTCTCCAGCATCCAGATCTGCCCGAATAGCCTTCAGTGCGCTCTTAGGAGGCATAGTCCAAGGTTTATACTTGAAATGAGGCTGGAAAGGTTGGTTTGTTGTTGTTCTTCCTCTTTTGCATCAAACCAAACGTCAAAGCGTATATCGTATATCGTATATCGTATTTGTGTCTCGTAATTCGTATATTAGTATTTCGTACATCGTATACACAAGTTATTGTTTCACTACCACTTAAGGTGTCTCAAAGCTGAACGAGTAAATACAATGGCCGCTAGAGCTATATTTAATGAAGCATACGTAGTAGATAAAAGCTGCTTCGATGCCGCTCATCGTCGCCGTTGTTCAGCTTTACTCCGTATAGAGAATAAAGCTTAGTCATCACGCCTCGGTGGAGCCCCTAAAGTGGTAAGTGTCCACGAGCTGGCTGAGAAGGTCACTCGGCTCGGTGCAACCGCCAGTTTCTCCTGGGGAGAGACTCCCTTGCCTCTTGTTTTTATATCTCTGCTTTATTTCTTTTTATTTATATATATATAGCTGTGAAATGTGATACATGACCTACGAGCTGCTCTGTTAACGCTTGTCTAGATTCTTTTTCTTTCCGTCTGCTATACTGCAGCGAGTTGAACCCATCCGGCTGCGTCCGCTCCCATACGCCCTACCTGCTAGCCTAAGGCTCAAGAGACAACTGATGGCTCCTCTCAGACTTCGCGTGGAAGGAAACGTTTTCCGAGATTCCCATGACCGAGAGGTCATACTGAGAGGGATAAACCTCGATGCTACTGCGAAATATCCGCGGATCCCAGACATTCCATCTCACGAAGTCAACGGGTTCTATGATGGGGACGATGTCTCCTTTATAAATAGACCATTTACCCTCGAAGACTCTCACGCCCACTTCTCCAGGTTAAAAAAATGGGGTTACAATCACATCCGGTATGTGTTTACCTGGGAGGCGATCGAGCATGCAGGGCCTGGCCGGTATGACGAAGATTGGATTACATTCACCATCGAGCTGCTGAGGATTGCGGGATCTTATGGTTTCTATGTATATATGGACCCACATCAGGATGTGGTAAGGAAAGAATATCACCCTTAAAACAGCCCTGATCGTAAATGTTCTCATTGCTAACCATCTTCCGCCAGTGGTCTCGTTTCTCAGGCGGTTCTGGAGCTCCAATATGGACGCTGTACGCTGCCGGGCTTGATCCTCGGAATTTTCATGATACTCAAGCTGCTCTGGTTCAAAACACGTACCCCGACCCGGCGGCGTTCCCAAAGATGATCTGGAGCACAAACTATACCAGGCTTGTCTGCCAAACGATGTTTACTCTATTCTGGGCTGGGAAAGACTTTGCCCCGAAGGCAATCATTGATGGCATGAATATACAGGATTACCTCCAAGATCATTTTATTGCTGCCTGCAAGCGTCTGGCGACCAGAATCCATGAGGCGGGGGACTTGGAGGATGATGTGGTCATTGGATGGGAAAATATCAACGAACCTCACAGGGGTATGATTGGGATTCCAGACATTTCTCTTATCCCAGCCGACCAACAATTGCAGCTCGGGACATCGCCGACTGCCTTTCAAGGAATGATGACGGGCTCCGGCTATCCCTGCGAAGTAACGCAGTGGGAGTTTGGCACTTTCGGACCAACCCAAACAGGCAGGACGCTGGTTGACCCGGAGGGGAAGTCTGTCTGGCTTAAGGCAGATCGTGCTGATTTGTATGGGTGGAAAAGAGATCCTCAGTGGAAGCTTGGAGAATGCGTCTGGGCGCAACATGGCGTATGGGATCCTACTACGCTCACTGTCCTACGCAGTGGTCACTTTGGCTCACATCCCAGGACTGGCGTGGCCTTGGATTATGAAGGATTTATCAACACATACTTCCTAGAACATTATCGGAAATACCGCGATGCTCTAAGAAGTGTTCATAAGGAAACAATCATGTTTTGCCAACCCCCAGTCCTGGAAATACCACCAACTATTAAGGGGACCGTAGACGACGACCCGAACATGGTCCATGCTGTCCATTTCTATGATGGACTAACCCTCATGTCAAAACATTGGTGGGTCACTAGCATGAGGAGATGTGGTACATCTGACTAACCTTTTTAGGAACCGGTATTATAACGTTGATGTTGTTGGAATACTACGTGGGAAGTATTGGATCCCAGCATTTGGCCTTAAAATCGGCGAAACTGCGATTCGAAACTCCTTCCGTGACCAATTGCATTACCTTCGTGAAGAGAGTTATAAAAATATGGGCAACCACCCGCTGCTGTTGACAGAAACGGGGATCCCTTATGATATGGATGATAAACACGCATACAAGACCGGTGATTACTCTAGCCAGATCAGTGCTATGGATGCAAACCATTTCGGCATCGAAGGGAGCGGTGGTAACGGGTATAGCCTCTGGACTTATGCTAGTGAGGTATGAGTGTTTCCCCCCCTTTATACTGACAAAAGATGTTTATTGACTGTTTTCTCTTTCTAAAGAATTCACACGAATGGGGAGACAATTGGAATGGCGAGGATTTGTCAATTTACTCGCCAGACGATTTGGAGCTGCCAATCGCGAAATCGCTAGATACCGGTATGACCACGTTGGACCCTTCTTCTCCATCATTTTCACAGAGCAGAGCCAGCTTACAAACTATTCGGGTTGAACCGGATAATTTGAAAGCAGCTCTCCCCACCGCGTCAATTACTACAGAGTCCCAGCAAAAGGAAGGTGGAAAGCACCGAGGGTTCCGTGCTGTTGAAGCATTTGTGCGGCCTGGCCCAGAAGCCGTCCATGGGCACGTAATGAGTTATGGCTTTGATCTGCATAACTGCATCTTTACGCTATCCTTAACCGCTGACTCCTCTACCGCATCCGATGCCCCCACTCTTATACATCTTCCAGAACTACATTTCCCGAAGGACAAGTCCGAGGTCACTGTAAGTGGTGGGAAATGGGAGATCTTCTCTCAAGAGTTCAAGCATGGGACCGTTCAATTTTTGAGATGGTGGCATGCTGAGGGAGATCAGAATATAAAAATCCATGGCGTCAAACGCGAGCTTTCTGTTGTTATTAACCCTCCGGACGAGGAAGGGTATATCGAACAGTGCAAGCAACATTCATGCATTCTGATGTAAATGGCCTGGCTTGGAGTTATGTCTTTGCTCTCTGGAGTTGTCTCGGTTTTATATATTTTCCATCTCTTACTCTATATATTTTCGTCTGTATTTGGTCGCATCGCTGTTTCCCGGTGGTTCCATAAACACATATACTCCGTAAATCCATTATCCAATAACTCACATCATTTATCCGTCCAGCAGTAAATACGGTGATATTTTCTCTATAACTATATGCATGGCGCGCTTACAAGATAGAAATACTCCCCCAAGTCAAACGCATGAAAGGGGAAAGTTCCACTGGCACTTTTTCATACGCTTAAAAACTCTAAGTTAACAACCTCAACCCTCTCAAACTAGGGATGGATTTGATTCATCGTAAACAAACACCAAAAAGAGCTAATAGATATATAATAGCGAAAGGACGTATATAGGTGTTATCCCCTTCGTTAGAGGCTCAAGACTTTTGTGATCTTCTTATATATATCGACAAGTCAGGCTCAGCGCACTTAAAAAAAAATAAGAAAATTCTTCACCACAGCGACTTCAGGCACGAAACGCCAAAAATCAAAACCCGACCCAACTTCGGCCTCGCACTCCAGAAGAACTAGGCAACCATTGATACCTTTTTACATCATATCGCGTGGACACGGTCTCTCTACCTCCTCAGAAATTGAGACAGTCGATGGTAGGGGGATGGCTGATTCTATCCAGCCGAACGGTGGAAATGAGGGAGCGGCCCCTCAGTTGGCAAGTATAATCCAAGCCCTCGATGTTATACATTCGCCCGCATCGACGAATGAAGTCAGAAAGCAAGCTTCAGAGTATCTCGAGCAGCAGAAGCATGAAAAGTCAGCTATACAAAATGGCTACTTTCTGGCTGCGGAAAAGAGCCATTCCCCTGTGGTCCAACATTTTGGACTATCGTTATTGGAACATGTTCTGCGGTACAGGTTCCTGGAGCTATCTCCGGACGAACTGATTCATACCAGGAGGTTGGTTATGAGCCTCGCTGAGGGGCTGAGATATCAAGATCCACCTTATATTCGCAACAAGGTTGCCTCATTATGGGTGGAACTTGCAAAGCGAACCTGGGGCCTTGACTGGCGAGAGATGGATGAATCGCTGGTACAGCTTTGGGGCGCGACTTTTGCGCATAAAGAGCTTGTGCTGACGGTGCTGGAGACTTTATCGGAAGATATAATTCACCAAGAAGATACAGCCTCGTCTCTCAGAGGTACAGATTTAAATAGGGCCCTTGTGGAAATTTGCACACCGCATGAGGTCTTCAAGGAGGCATATCCTACTAGGGATCATAACACCGAAATTCGTTGCGGAAGTGAGGGCTGGCTTTTTAGGATTTCGTCCTTCTTAGATGACTGTGTACGGAACTTACATGCCTCTACAGAGGCTAAATCTTGTGCACTGAAGTGTTTAAGCTGTCTGCGTTCACTCGTTGCGTGGGCTATACCAATGGCAATCGCTTCATCCGAATGTATTACAGCAATATGTCGTGCCCTCGTAGTCGAGGATGATGCTATTCTCCTAGTAAGGCCCAGGAACCCATCACCAAGTTTACATTTTGTTTTGAAAAAAAATCACTAATCAGTTCAGCATAGGCGGTAGTGGAGGCCTTGCATTCATTATATGGACGCTCAACATATGATATTGAGGAATTTCAAAGGCTTGTGAACATAATATATCAAAATGACCACCTCAACCTCCTCAGAAAATTGTATGAATGGTCAATTGTCAGCGCGGATAACATTGTCGAATCAAAATATTCCATATCCAAGAAACTATCTGAGGTTCGTCTCATCGCTGAAAAATCCTCAATGCCTGTATTCAACTAACTAATAATCACAGTTAATTTCCTACATCTCAGGTTTCTTAGAGGAGAAAAACGTTGACTTTACGAAGTCTGTCGATCTCCCTAGTTTCTTCTCCTTTCTCATCAGCATACTCCAGCATCCTAGTCTTGTTGTATCTATACCAGTGCTTCATTCATGGTCGAGATTACTAGCATCAGATCAGATAGGCGGGCTCGATGTCGTCAACAGCCTAATAGGACAACTTTTGGAGATCTGTTCACTGCGTCTTGTACGATATGAGGCTCTTCCAGAGGACTCTGATGACCCAACCGTTATATTCCTCAGCGAGGATATTGATACAATACCAGAGCGCCATGCCTTTGTTGGCAATTATCGACGGTACTGTAGTCAGGTAATTGAGGTCATTGTCCAGAAGCACACACTTGAAGCAATTCCTCACATTCTTTCCCGAGTGGACAATGATCTGAATAACATATATGCAGGAATCGCTTCATTTGATGGCGAGTCTCATTCATTCATTCATATCCCTTGACTCGTGTTATACGTTAATAACTAATTGAAATAAATAGTGGCTACATTCCAGAAACAATCAATACCTTCTTTACGCGCAGACATTCAATTTACGGTGGTTGAAGCAATGTTGAAGGGCTATCTCAAATGGAAAGGATCATTGGGCTCTAATCCACAAGATGATGTAAGTATAAACCCTTTCTAGACTTTATTATAATCAGTATACAACATGCGATACTAATTTGTAATAGGAACAACAGCGTCTAGACCTAGAGGGCACACTTGAAAGCTGGGCCATGGGACTTATGGGCCGTAATTTTGAGGTATTTCATCTATTAACTGAAAGCTAGAGCGTCGTTAATAACTAGGAGCAGGATCCATGCATAAAACAACGAGTGCTACGGTTATGTGTTGATATTTCAGCAAAGGCACTGGTTGATCGGCCAAGCTACGCACTTAAAGTCCTCGAGCACATATTGATGGTCCAAATTCCTGACCTCCCAGAACATACGGCATATTCTGAGTCGGTGAAAGAGCTTTACAGTATGGCTACGTATGAAATCAGGAGGCTTGCAATTAGATACGCCGACTACTTTGCAGTAAGTTATTCTATTTAAATTTAGGTGGAATGATATTTATGTTCATACCCCAGAACTACTACGAACCGTTAGAACAAAAAGCGCAAGAAATTGGAAAAAGACCAAATGATGAAGGGCGTCCCCAGATGGAGTTATCTGCTATTCTGCTTATTATAATGTACGTTTTATGTGCATCAAAAAATATTTAGTATAAGATCTAACGATAAGTCAGGCAACGCGCTCGGAATGTGGATCCATATCTTCGACAAACCCGGTTACATTCGTTTATTGACCCTATCAAACAGTCGTGGGCTAACCAAGAACTGAAACTGATGCTGGGCTCATTTAAGGGATTCTATGAGATTCTTGGTTTGGATAGGGTACGCCCTTATCTTCAGAAACGGGAAGCGCAGAAGATAGATGATTGGACCGCGGTTCCTCTAGATACAGAAGGGATACATATCCAGGAGCACTTGAGCAAAAAGTTTCAGGTATCTCTAACAATCAACAATTTTAGTGTTACAAAACACATTCTGACAAGCCTCACACAGGAATTACCCCTACGTTCTACTCGCACACTACTTGCTGTATCAACAGAAAAGGTGAAGAGGGACGAGCCAGCATACCAGATCGCTGTCGACCTATGGAAAGATGCTATCCCCATAATTTTGCCTACTGTTCTACAGCTAATTAGGTATGCTCATCGCTATAAACCAAGTTTTATACATTTCTAACCTATTAGTCATGCCCATGCTTTTCACAACCCTGATAACTGGGAAGGACTTCCTCAGGATATGCGCCCAGTTGTTGGACGAATTTTAACCGACAGATTTTGGCAAGCCGGTATCTCGAGTGGGAGTAGACAAGAATTTTATTCCAAAATAGCTGGATCAAAAGTCACTTTAGAAGGGCTCTCATCGTCTGTCCGTGGAAAAGTGAGAGCAGTCAGGGAAGCTTGCTACTCGGTTCTTTTTAGCATGAGCAGGCTAGAAGATTGCTTCTATGGATTCCATGAGCTACCCACCCCTCTATCACAAGCCCTTTATAAAGACGCTTTCTCCCTGTCATCACATCAGTTTTCGGTCCTACTAAATATCTCGCGATGTCTTATAGATGACTGCCCATCCGCTATCCGCGCAAGTTTTCTGCCTCCAATGATGTCGGCACTATTTGCGCAACTTGATACGAAGGTTACTGGCGAGTGGGATATCATCCAACGTCGAAGGATAGGTGTTGTTGATGATGATCTCACCGAAGAAATGAAAGATGAGAGTATCCTTAGACAGCTAACATACTCCGCAGTTATTATGGTGGCTAGCTTTCTAGACCCTCAGCGAGAAGGTTTGCATTTTTCCACAATACTTCTCAGGATTATATCAATATATCAGGGCAAGGTGACTAATTTAATGTGAAGGCGTGCACCAAGACAGTTCGAAAATAGGCGAACCCGAAGTGGGTGAAAGGAGGGAACCCGAAACAATGCGAACGTTCATCCTATCTTCCACTCAGATCCTTGAACCGGTTCTTTTGTTCTGTACACATGCCTTGCAAATGCATGATACTCGCTGTTGCACGATTATAACTCGTGTCATTCGGTCTATATTAACTGAATTTGTTCCTGCTATTGACACACCAACAGCGGCTACAATTCGTGAGTTTATCAGCAGTGAAGTCTTGAAAGCATGCATAAACTCCGTGCATGACCCATATTTTGTGGATATGCAAAAGGATTTAGCACAGCTCATTTCCTCTGTCTGGATCTTATATGGCCCTACTACAAACACACCGCGGTCTATCATTATGAGCTTACCAGGCATGGCAGAGCAAAAGGTGAAGGCAGCAGAGGAAGCCCTGCACAATTCGACTTCAAGCCGACAGCAAAAGGCTATCATATTAGATCTTCTAGAGGGTGTGAGGGGCGTGAGGATTAGCGAGCAAGGGCGAATTTTGGGTACAGCGGCTAACCGTAGGAAGGAACGCAGTGCAATGCAAGCGCGGTATATGACTACAGAAATGGAGGGACAGGAGACTAAGAAAGTTGATATAAATGATGGAGCAGACCTGGCGTTTGTGGCCGATATGTTTGATCAGGCTTAGCATGTCCGGACCGAGGTTGGTTTGGCCATTGTGGTTGAGTTGAAGGATAGATGTATTTTAACAAGAACCACTATATATTACCAGTCTCTTACTTAACTGAAGAAGATTTGTAGAAGGTAGGCTATTTGAATTCCCTGTTCCGTTTGCATCCTTTGAGAATATCAGCTCAAAGATTTCAATTTTTGCCTGTTAATAAGGACAGGAGAAGCAGCCATTGCATCTATAAAGGGGCATCTTGATCCCCACAGTATCGAACATTGGAATGTACAGAGGTCAGTCGAGGAAAGTAAGCATTGGCCACCATTGCTAGCCGAGTGGTAACAATTAAAAAAAATACCAGAGCAGTTGTATGGTAAATATTTATACAGACACGCCTATTTCGAAGGAGCTGGGGTATACATGAAGGTGGGTCTCACGAATCTATAAATTTACAGAAGGTTAGCAGGTTCTCTGAGCAGGCGTACCATCAAGTGTGGGATCTAGGGTATAGGTTCCGGTAACATACCTGTCGGAGTTGTATATTTTTGTGTCAGTTCCAAGCAACTCCTTCTCTCTCGCCTTGTCCGCAAAATACCGCCTTGCTTGGTCTCTATCTTCTTCAGCTTGTAGGAGGGGAATGAGGTGAATTCGTGACCAAATCTTCTCTCGGGCAAGTTCACTGGTTGTTAAAGATCTCGTTAGTGTTTTCAATGCTGATGCAATGGGAGGTCGCGGTAGTGTCCGAAGACTCACTTTCGTTCACGAGTACCGATGAAGAGTTTGTATAGCCCGTATGCCATTATGGCATGCATTCCAATGAGATAGTAGACGGGGCGGAACCCTCTAACAGGTACATTGCGCTATTTGGAGCCGACAAGAATTAACAACCCGGCCCGGTGAAATTGGTTATTTGTCTCCAGAGTAGCACCTAACGCGTTCGGGGTCGGAAATAAAAGCGTACCTTGTACTGTACGGGGCGGTAGCCCCCAGTAGGGGGCATATCCTGAGGCATTGTGATGTTTGAATGAAGGATACACACCGATGGGTGACATATAATGTTTTCTGTTCGAGGTTGAAGTTGACGATTTGATTGCGGAATTCAGTTATTTAGTCACGTGGTTTATTTTACCTCTATGCTATTGGTGGAAAACGTTGCATCTTTTGAAAGCACCAAGCAGTTGATATTTTTTTCATCTTGTCAAGATAGATTGTGACCAGGCGCAATTAATATAAAAATAACGATGGAAGCTGAAGAACGACCGCGCAAGCTACAGAAGACGGAGCATGAAGTAACGGCCTGTACTACGGATTCAACTGCCATGCTAATATCGAAAAACATTGGTGACGGAGCCGAGCCTGCTACAAGGGCTGAAGACTGCGATGAGGCTGCTATAGATGCTGCTATCCCTTCAGAACAGATTGAGAAGCCACTGTCCAAAAATCAACTGAAGAAACTTGCAAGGCAGCGCAAGTGGGAAGCTGGAAGGGAAAAACGGAAAGAGTACCGCAAAGACAAGCTACAAGCGAAAAGAGAACGGAGCAGAGCCCTGAAAGCTGAACTTCGCGCCAATGGCGAGACTCTGACACCCGGGGTGCGTGTTGAAGGAATACTTCCTGATAAAAATAAACTACGAAAGGAAGCTCGCGCCCGAGCAGTTAACGTTCCGCTCACCTTTATAATTGACTGCGATTTTGATGACCTTATGAGCGATAAAGAGCACAAGTCACTTTCATCCCAGATAACGCGGTCGTACTCGGACAATGCAAAGGCCCCCTATAGAGCGAGTCTAGTTATAGCGTCCTTCCACGGCCAGCTGAAGGAACGATTCGACACAACGCTTTCAAAACACTATGAGAACTGGAAGGGGGTCAAGATCACCGATGATGACTTTGCTACGGCCGCAGAAGCTGCCCAGGCACGCATGCAAGAGATCCGTCAGCCAAATATGAAAGGGATGTTTGCTGAAAAGTCCAGTTCTCAGACTGTGAAGGAGGAAGGAGAGGTGGTATACCTTACCAGCGACAGTCCAGACACTCTGACGGAACTTAAGCCATACAGTACTTATATTATTGGGGGAATTGTTGATAAGAACAGACACAAGGGGATCTGCTATCAGCGGGCTATGGAGAAGGGAATCAAGACAGCCAAATTGCCCATTGGAGACTATATGCAAATGGCCAGTCGGTTTGTATTGGCTACAAATCATGTTCTGGAAATAATGATTAAATGGCTCGAGCTGGGCGACTGGGGAAAAGCATTTGCTCTTGTTATGCCAAAAAGAAAAGGAGGCCGGCTAAAAAGCGAGGCAGACACGCCCGCAAGCACCGAGGATGGACATGATGAAGATTCCGATAGAGAAGATGGCGAAGAAGAGGAAGAACCAGAAGGAAGGGAAGAAGGAGAAGGCAGAGGGAGTACCGGAACGTTAGATCCTTCCAACGAGGATGCAGGGTAATTTCGCCGGCAAGCTACAATCAAATAATATCTTTGCCCATGAGGATTTTGGTAGGGCGTGGCATTAACATCCATATTCCGTGGTGATTTTCGTATATACGCTTTCTTGGGCGGAGACTCCAACCGTTAATGACTATTACCACTCATATCACTTCTTTTCCACATCCCGTTGGTTTTCTTTTTGCGAAAGAAGAAAAAAAAAAGATAAGATAATAACTGAGTTAAAAGTGATTTGAGCCCCTCGCAAGATCTTAAGATAAACCTCCAGTATCAAGCTCTCTCTGCCGGTGTTATTATTATTATAAGCCAGAGCTGCGGCTTCACGTTCGCTTCTGCCTGAGAACTCTTGGTGAGCTGGCAACTGGTTAGTTACACCCCACAGCAGCCATGTTTATGCTCAGGAACGGTAAGTCAGGCTGTTTTTTTTCTTACCCCTCGTTCAACAGCTGGGCGGCACGATCTATGGTCATGGTGTATATTTATATCCGGGGAGAAGAGAGAGAGAGAGAGAAATAAAGCCTGTTTTATTGCAACGGCTGACATGTTACGCCTATAACCAGTGGGTAAACTCATTTTCGGTGACGCTGCGAAGGAATCTATCATCGAAATCCCCCAGGGTCAGCTGTATATTGTTCGACCTCTCTCCCCCAAGGGCTACTCTGAACTTATCTTCAAGGACGCTGCGGCAAGCATACGACGGACTGGTCAAGAATTCCAGTACCAGCTTGTAATCCAGAGAGCTTACGAAGAAGGCGAAGAAGAACTTTCTGCGGAAGGCGACGAAAGCGGTGAAATTGAGGGTCTAGGAGGCGACAAGGACGAAAAGATCTTTTTGGTGGATGAGAGCCTTCGTCTCCGATCCGAGCTTCGAGAGGAAGGCGAGAAGGTGATAGCCTGGAGAGACCTAAGCGGTGACGTGGGCGACCTCTACGAGTTCGTTTGCGATCCATCGACGCCACAGGAAAAGGTTGCAACATTCCTTCTCGCGGCCGTGGAGTGTCAGTACGAGCGCAAATATCGCCGTAGCACGCAGCAAGCAACAGACGCACAGCTCCAGGAATTTGATTTTGAAGAAGAGAGCCCGATTCCCAACGCAAGCCCTATCACTACTTCACCCCATCCAGCTTCTCCCACTTCCAAAGAATCTGCAACGGTGATGGCAAAAGAAGTTGTTTCACCCAAAGGAAAACATAATGATGCGGCTATTCATTCCTCTGAGGAGACAGTTGCACCCCCGTCTGCTTCGGTTCCGAATGCGACCGAGATCCTTGCGAGTGAGACTGCCGAGCTTCATCTATTCGATTTCAACAGTGGAACGTTCGTCCTTCAGGACCCATTGGTCACTGCAACAGTTTCCGAAATTGGCTCCTGGGATTACTGGTTACAAATTACGGGCTCTGAGCGGGAATGGCTCGGCCAGCCCGTCGTAGCTGATATCAACCCGGTGTTCAACTTCGAGTATCTCTCATTCATCTTTAATCATTATACTGAAGATGGATCTGCTTATTCTTGGCTGCTGCGATTCAAGGACCAGAAAGTAGAGGAACGGTTCCAAGAAGGATTGATGCAGGCGCTGTGGGAACGTCTCAATGAAATCAAGTGGTCAAAAACCAAAGAAAATGACCGTGATTATGTTCTAGAAGCATTCAACGATCTTTCGGTGGAAGATAAAAAAGAAGAAGATGCTAAGGAGCTGGAAGAAGAGGAAGAGGCTGAAGAAATAGAGCGTGCGGAGGAAGAGGAAGAAGATGACGGACAAAAGAGTGAGCATTACGACACAGATGAGGACGAAGACGACGTTGTCACCCGAGAAGATGATGGAAACGTCAACTCCCAGCTCGCTGTTGGGTACAAACATGATCGATCATTCGTCGTTAGAGGGTCTAAAATCGGCGTCTTCAGACATACTCCTAACAACAACCTTGAGTTTTCGACCAATATCTCAAAGGTTGAAACCCCTGATGGGAAGCTGTTCAGCCCTAAGAAGGTCATGCTCCATGCGGAAGATGCGAATATGATTCTTCAGAATGAGCAAAATCCAAACTCTTTATATCGCATGGATTTAGAGTATGGCAAGGTTGTCGACGAATGGAAAGTCCACGATGACATTCCAGTCTTGTCGTTCACCCCTGAAACGGTAAGTCAAACTTGAAAAGGCAGGATTTGCTTTTAGCTCTTTTGGTTTACTAACAATGTATATGCAGAAATTCTCCCAAATGACATCCGCGCAACCGTTTGTCGGTATTTCACGGAATGCTCTATACCGTATCGATCCCCGTTTGGCTGGTAACAAGCTCGTTGATGCAGACTTGAAGCAATATGTCAGCAAAAATGATTTTTCTGTTGCTTCGACCACAGAGAAGGGATATCTTGCCGTAGCTTCGAACAAGGGAGACATTCGCATGTTTGATAGACTTGGAGTCAACGCTAAAACTCATATCCCTGCCTTGGGAGAAGCTATAATCGGGTTGGATGTCTCTGCTGATGGGCGATGGGTCCTTGCTACCTGCCGTACATACCTTCTCTTGATTGATGCACTGCAGAAGGATGGAAAGAACGAAGGAAAGCTTGGCTTTGAGAAGTCGTTTGCCAAAGACGCAAAGCCACAGCCTCGACGACTAGGATTGCAACCTGCCCATGTTGCCCAATTCCAACACGAAACCAAAGCTCCTCTTGCGTTCACACCCGCACGATTTAACACTGGCCTAGACTCCTCAGAAACGTCAATTGTCACCGCTACTGGACCATTTATTGTTACTTGGAACTTGAAAAAGATCCTCCTTGGTCGCAAAGATCCTTACACCATCAAGCGGTACGCAGAAGAGGTCAAAGCAGATAACTTCAAGTTTGGAAGTGATAAAAATGTTATTGTTGCCCTGCCAAACGAGGTCAATATGGTTGCAAAGCAAAGCCTTCGAAAGCCAACTAGGGAGAGTATTGCTGGACCCCCAGTCACCCCTGCTAGGTTCGGCGCTGGAAGGAAAGGTAGTCGACTTGGGAGAAACGAGATCGTCAACAGTCCATATTGATGATAAATATTGGCTAGCGAAGTATGCCTACCACCTCTTTTCATACGAAATGTAATACTCTAGTTTTTTCTTCTTTTGTTACTGGCACTCCCTACCGACGGCCGTTCTGTACATTTGATTCTTTTATATCCAAGGTATTATGTTTAATTTTCGGTGTATTCTGGCTGGAGACAGATTAAACCCCTAATACTAATGTGGCTATCTGCACGATGAGGTAGGACCTTATTGATGGCTTGGTTATATACAGCTCACAAGTACTACAAATTTCAGCAGAAATAACTCCAAAGAATAAAACAGCAGGAGCTCAAGGAAGTGATAATATCTTTTCCTGAATTAGAATAGGTACTTGCCCATGGGTTATTTTTGTTTAAGTAGAGTCAAACTGAGCACTAGCATATTAATAAGGTGGGTATAAACATGAGTACATTACCGTATTTCAGGAGAGTAAAAAGAAAAGTCCTCATAAATCCCTGATTTGCCGTTACCCAATACTCCATACCTCAACGGATAGGATGTCAAACTTCGTTCCTTCGTCGCTAAGTGGTTCATTCCCAAAGGTAAGGCAAGGGCTGGATACACCTTTCTCAAACGAATCATCAAGCCATAAACCATAGTGTCCATCCCTATAAAGAAAAATATAGCTATTAGCTTATAATTACAGCGGTTAAGCCAGGTTAAGGGATTAGCATAACACGCGTTGGGACACTACTTACCCTCCTCCTACACTGAGAAAGCCAGTCTCACAAAATATCATATAATCATTAACCCCGCTGTATGGGAACGCTTTAAATCTTATGTGTTCTGGAGTATGGGTACCGCTTCTGCTACCACCTGCTCTGGAGTTAGCGACTGGGCTGGCTCTAGCCTGTGTATCTGAGATGGGCGAGCCATTGGGCCTATCTTCTCCCTCTGTAGAAGGAGCTTGGAGCGGACGATTTCCCACATTAATTGCAGCATCAATGGGCTCAGCCTCACCTCTAAAAGTTGTATTCCTTCCACGGATATTGGAGGTGTCCGCACTTGGAGGCGGAGGCAGACCTGCTCGTTCCAAGCTCTCACGCAACGACTGCCCAGGCATTGTATTCCTCCCATTTGTCATGGTAGCTGGTATCACCGGGGTAGACGAAAGAGCACTGGCCCGCCAGAGGAAACATTCACCTGTCCCATAATAGTGAGAGTCAGGATGCGGCGGATCCGTAAGATATGCACCAAATAATGAACCACCGCCCGTAGCCCCGCCAGGAGAGTTGGTATTCCCGACCCCAGAAAATGAAGAAGATGAGGCGTCACGGACGACAAGCAAATATCCAGCGCGTTGACTTTTATCTGAGTGCTCTCGGCATTTATCATAGAGCGTAGACAGAGATGCACCGTCGCGGTCGAGGTTATATACCAGCTTCCATGTATCCACGAGCTGGAGGCGAGGAGGAACGAGCAGTCTTATTTCTTCAGCTAACGACCGTGTGAGGAGCCTGTCCGAAACGTCTGAAGAGGAAGATTCGAGTGTGAGCGGCGTCAGTGGCGGTGGGTGGAACGGTGAAGCAGTGCGGCGTGGGGGAGTAAAAACGGCCGAGTTGCTCATGGGGTTGAGGGACCGGTGGGAAAGAGACGACGGCGGCGAACCTGGCTCTGTAAGCCGTCGATAGATCCCGGAGACAACATGGGTAACGGGGTAGGCCAAGTAGGAGGATGTTGATTGCAGCGACTCTTGTTGTTGCTGAGATCTAGAGTTGTTTGCTCTTTGATGTCCAGAGTTGTTTCCTGACGTCGACGACATAAAGAGACTGTAGTTACTTGGACTTCTCTCTCTCTCTCTTTTGACACGGAGGACGATAATAAGTTATTGTTTATCTAGATCGTTAGAGAAGCTGGGGTTTATATAGGTACCAAGCCTGCTATATAAGTAGTTATGGCTGTTGGCCGAAAGATATATAAATATCGGGACACTGAGACAACAAACAACACTGCTCTCTATAAGAAATATTAAATAATTTAGCTAGTTAACCAGTTATTTATTACTGTGGGCCCACACGAAGCTATAATTCTACCATAGTAAACGCCGGGATTCGGGATTCAATAGTTAATATTTGATATGTTTTCTTTATAGTGCAATACAAGGAATCTACAAAGCGGAATATATCATAAAATACGTTACTATCGTGTTAATACACACTGGCCTAGACTATCTATATTGGTATCAACTTTTTTTACTATAGAAATGTACGTCATGATGACGATGAGGTAGCTTGGGGGAAAGATCGTGTTTCGTTTTAACGTCCATGATCAATTAAAATAAATCCAAGAGCTCAGAATTGGTTTTTTTCTGTCCACCTTGCGTTTGAGTTGAGGCGGGTGGAGGAGAAGCCGTAGATCCAGAGAGATCAAGTCCAGCAAGACCGTTCATCACATCATTCCCACTGGTTCCACTTCCAGAGTTCATTTCACCCTGGTTGGCCGGTGAGGGGCTGCTTCCAAATACTCCCATGAGGTCCTCTAAGTTATTGCTCGCGGGAGGGGGACCAGCTGTCGTCGGGGATGCGACTCTCATCGGTGTACCGGCTAACCCTTCTAATCCAGACATACCGGCGGGTGGTTCTCCTTGGGCAGATGCCGGAGCTGTTCCGTCAAAATCAATGTCTAGTAGATTCTCGATATTGTTGTGCATCTGCGGAGGTGCGGCACCTGATGCGGCAGCGGCAACAGCAGCGGCAGCCAGAGGATTCTCCCGGGCATTTTGAAGTTGTTCCCTGCGTAAATGGAGTTAGTAACTGGTCCAATATGAGATTTGAGAGGGCAGTCAGATAGTCATACTCGATAGCAGCTTTCTGTACAGCGTCTGCACCATATTTGCCTTGCCCCACAAATTGTTCTGGGGGTTTGTGGTACACAGAAGCTAACGTCGATAATTCGCCGAGAAGTTGTTCGAGAAGGTTGGGTGGAAGGGAGTGGATTGTGGTGACGATTGGGGGTTTTTCAGAAAGAACGACATTTTTGGCAGCATTTGGATCACTCGTGTTGGAAAGTAGTCGCCAATAGACATATGCTCGGTCTCGGATATCCGGGTTATCGTTTTCTTCAGTTGCGGCCCGCAAAACCTTTTGTACCAAACCCTGGGCCTTGTCTGGGCGCTTAAGGAATAGTTTGACTACCGCTGTCAAGATTTGCAATTGTGTCTAGAAAGAGAATTAGCTTGATGAATGAGAAGGATCGTTTTGCAAGTATTAATAGACGGTACCTGAGTGAACTCCTCGTTGAATCCGTCCACAAAACCGGCCAGGATATCGCCAGCATTGCTGATCTTCTCAGCATATTCTCCCACAATCCAAATCAATGCACCCCTGGCATCTGGCTCATCAAGCTCATCAATACACTGGCAAAGTGTGGGAATAATGCCTTCGTACCCAGGGTATTTTCGGAAGATATCTTTTATTACAACTATGGCCTCCTGGACCACGTAGTTGACCTTGGTGTTTATTAAATCTAGAAGGGTAGCCATGCACTTCTCTGCTGTGAGTTCAATTTTAATGGCAGTCTGCCCAATTGCCCTGACTGCACGGCGCACAAAGTCCATGTCGACGTCTAAAGCATATTCCTTGAGCTCAGCTAAGAGTTGGTCCACGTTCCTGTCATTGGCAATTCGAACCATGATTTCTAGCTTCTGGAACTTGAGGTAGGGAGGGTCGTTGTATTTGCAGAAGAATACCCGGAGCTCCTTATCTAATATGTTTGGTTGGCTCTGCAAAAGCAGATCAATATTCCGCAGTGCAACGTACTGTACCTCCGGAGCAGAGGACACAAGCGTAACTAATGTATATCAGTAAACTCAGTCTCAGCATTTCGTGTTGTTATAACTCTGTTTGCACATACCTAGGGGAGGTGCCATCTTTTTGAGGTAGGACTTCGCCGTATCCGGATTGATGTATTTCATGTGTAGGAATACCACTTTAACGGCAGCAAGGACAACACTGGCGTTTATATGTTGGAATTGGGGCACAACTCGTTCACATATATTCTCAGATTCCTTCTGATCTTTTGGTGTATAGTTGGCAAGGTTAGTGAGAACGGAGACCCTTCCCCATTCAGTGCACTCGTTCAGCGCCATGAGCATCTTTCGCAGGGTGTTTGGTGTTATTTGTAGAGCTTTGGTTTCTGGCGAAGTCTCGCTGATCTCGGCCAGGGCAGTCACAGAATTTGCAACAACCATGGGATTAGGGTCTCCAATCATTTCCTGGAGGGATTCAAGGAAGCCGTTCTCCAGACAGAGGGTTGGGTTAAGGTCGAATAGCTTTGCAACGCATATGGCAGCGGTCTTACGAACGTAAGGCGATTCATCTCGTAATGTTTTGCGCAGAGGTTCCTCCATATAATCTACAATCTTTTCCACCCTGATGCAGCCCATTGTTCGAATGGCGAGGGCTCGAATTAAAGGATTTGGGTCTTCAGTGTCTTGGACGAAGGTATTGACGGCGAGAATGCAGAGATCGGGGTGTGATTTGGCATAGTTCCTATTATAACTGATCAGAGCCAGACTGTAAATGCCCTCCCCCCCGTCAGCTGAGCGTTCTTACATTAGATAGAGGTAGACGAGCTTTTTTTGATCAAGGTCTGCGGTGGCTATATTCTTAAGTACATCCGGGAAAAGCGAGGACACGTCCTTGCCTAGGGTCATGGCCATGATTGTCTTCTGGATCGATTCCTTCCTGGAAAAGAGTGAGTACGACTCCGTTGTTCAATTGCAGAGGCAGCCATTATACCTCTCGTATGCATATTGTGACCTATATTGTGCCGTCAGTACTGAGAACACTGTCTTCTTATAGATGGTATATCAGCATACACTAATCCGGCTCTGAGCTCGAACGTCTCGCCCTTCCGTGGAGCCGTAAAGGCTCCCCTTATCCTGTTAACGGCCATGGCTGCGGGCAAGCATCAGTGATGCTGTGGTTGACCAGGTGGCTCTCTCGGAGGAGGGGCTTCAGCTAGCGAGCGGGAGACAGAGGTGTAGAATTAGCCTACTCTGGTCCAACAAAGGGCTGTCGGAGAGGAGACAACTTATGAGATGGCGAGAAGAAGACGTTCTGGTTATGGGAGAAACGGTGACGGCTGGTTGTCATCTAAAGATGGCCTTTTTCTTGTGCTCTTAATGCTTTCTCGCCAGGCCGCTATTTAGTTATAGAGCCAAGTTATGATAACTAAACACTACAACTACAAAAGATTCACGGCCTCGAAAAGCATTAACTCGGTCATCTATCTATATGCTTACTGTCCAAATTCTTCTTAATATTCTATATTATCATTACCTCCTATTATTTACTTCATTTCTCATCTCCATCTCTTGAGAACTGAATATATCACGTGACAGACACGCTCGAAAAGAAGAAAAAACATCAACAGCTTCAAAGACAAGTTTTAATCACCTTTTTTTTGTCTCTGGGTGACCGCTGATATCAGTGTTATGGTGCGAGATCTCCTCCAGAGGTGCCCTTGGATTGCTTATTCTAACGGAATAATAGGCCAATCTTCCAAATCTCCGGCGTCTGTTCGTTGAAGCGCGGACAGAAGCCGAAGAAAATGAGTACTCTCGAAATGCGGTATGGACCCGTCTCCTCGCGGCATCTTCAAGAATTGGGACTGACCGTAAAACAGTTCTATAATCTTGTGCTGTTTATATCGTCTGTTGCCGTTTTCAGCCTTGTTGCACAGCGGATGAGCGGTGGAATGCCATCGAAATGAATACACTCTCGAGGAACATAATGCATAGAGCTTCCAGGCTGTTTCTTAATCTTGACAATATGGGCACATATATGGCATCATTAATTCATCAGGACGGACGCGCCAGACAATATACAGGAAGAAGGCATGTCAATCCGACTCCGAGTCTTGGTCTTCCTGGCCGAGGAAGTCAAACCTCTTGAAGCTCTTAGCAATCCTCCTACTTGAACGGCCGGCCTTGGGAGATTCAGGTCCCGCCTCGTCAACATTAGCCCCCCACATTTTTGCACCCTCTTGAGCGGCTTCCAGGTCAGCCTTCAATTCCCTTTCTTCTCGGATGCGGGTTGCCTTTTCGATCGAATAACGTCCGTCCATGCCTGCGTCCTTTAGCATCGACTTCAAATGGTTGATCTTCTCCTTTGGAGTATTGCATCCCATAAGCTCACGGCCCCATACTTTGCGTATTCCACATTTGACCAGCCAGCCTTGAAGGCGTTTTATTTCTGCCTGGTCTGCATCTTCTGCGGCGGGTTCCTTGCGTTTCTTCTCTGATGTGGGCTTTTTACCCTTGCTCTGCGCAGAGGATTGGCCGGCTGATCTTTTCCTTTTGGGCTTGGGTTCATCGTCGATTACCACTGACATTTCGGTCTCCGAAGTTTCCTCTGCATCTGCACCTTTGGTTGTCTTTGGTGCTGGCTCCGGTTCAAATGCTTCATCCTTATCGCTGACCGAATGCTCCGAATCCTCTTGCCCTGACTCAGTGTCAACTTTGGCATCTTTTTTATTTCTAGATGCTTTCGCCGGTGCTGGCTTGCCTCTTCTTTTGCTCACCGGCTCCGACTTACTTTCCTCAGACTGTAGCGGAGTAGCCTTCTTGCGCCTTTTGATAGGCACCGGAGCCTTATGGGCTTCTGGGGAAGGCCGTTTCTTCGATTGTCGTTTTTTCGGTGCTGCGGCCGGCTCTGGTAGCGGATTCTCCTGTTTTTTCTAATGTCCCAACCTCCCTTAGCATTTGCAGATTTAGACCCAAATACCAATATAAACTCTCTCCCCACGTTCAACATAGAGAAGGCTAGGAATATGCATACCACTTCATTCTTTATTATCTCGTCGCTTCTCAGTTTCCACTCATTGTGACTCTTGAAAAACCCCTGCTCTAGCCCCAATTTTTCCTCTGTTGCTAATCGCACGCGTTTCACGGTAAGCTCATCGAGATTCCCGGACTTAAATATATTCGCAACCGTATCCCTCAACCTTTGCTCAATGGCTGTCGCGTCAGGAAACCCGGATGAGGATCGCGCCTCCGATTCTGAGTCCGACATGTTGGAATGCTAGTGAGAGAAAGAGAGGCAAAACACGCCTATCAAATTGGTATCCGAGCTCAAAGCAAGCTGATACAAAGTGTATTATCCCAATGGATGTAGAGTTCTCTAGTATTGAAGCGGCTGAGGCGACGGAAAAATTGCGACGCGACCTGGGCCTGGTTTGTGCTAGAGTGATGGCTTGACAAATTCCCTAGGTAGATAATTAGTTGAGCTTCGAGGGAAAGAAGATATTTATGAAAGCGACCTGGAGGTAAGCTGTATCCAACATTGAACTCTCATGGGTAACAGAATGACCGCTCTGGAGAGATTGTGTGAATTGATTTAGATTCAAAAAGAGCTTCAAGATGGGCGATAAGATAAGAACCTGTTTCTGCTTAGAAATACGTAGCAACGCTGAACCTTTAGGAAGATAGTTATAATCGCTACTATCTGTATAATAACGAGTGTATAAAGACAGGCATTGATCTAGCTCGTTTCTAGCAATATATATAGCCATGACGGATCTACTCCAGGAGCAACTAGAGGCTATTAACCAGCGACACCCGCCAAGGGACACCGCAATGGAGAAGAGTGACCAAGAAAAGCCCCAGAAACTACCAAAGGGCGTTGTACTAGATAAGGATGGCAAGCCGTGAGTACTGACAAGAACTATCTGAAACTAGGATAACGAAACTAAAATTTCACTTGTAATTGAACAGTTGCCGTACTTGCACCTCCATCGCTGACTGGCGGGCGTTGACGAAGATGAAAACCGGTGCACCCTCCAAATCAACATCATCTCCCTCTGACACATCGTCTACAGCCAGTGCCTCGTCTACGGTCCCTTCTAGTTCTTCAAATGCAAACTCAACACCCGAAATGCCCGGCGACTGTCCAGCAGATGTCGAGGCCTTGGGCAGAAGTACTTGGACCCTCCTCCATACTATGGCGGCGACATATCCTACCACTGCGTCCCCTCAGCAGCAGAGCGAAATGGGTCAGTTCATGGCCCTATTCTCCAAGCTATATCCATGCTGGGTGTGCGCCGATGACCTCCGCTCCTGGATGAACCATCCAAGCGGCGCCAACAAACCAAAGCTGAATGGACGAGCGGATTTTGGTAATTGGATGTGCGCCGCGCATAATGAAGTAAATCGGAAACTTGGGAAGAAGGAATTCGATTGCTCCAAATGGGAAGAAAGATGGAGAACTGGATGGAAAGATGGGAGATGTGATTGATATCATGCTCGTGAGTAGCATTTCGTTGAGCGCTGTGAGAAAGTTGATAGATCCTAGTATTTCTGGTAGTCATGGCCCCTTTGGATGGGTCGACGCTGGATAGAAGCGATGGTTTATGCATGACCTGTATTTTTATTTGTTTAGATAGATGTACCATAGTCTCATGTCAAGAAATATCTCCTGTCTCAATATCATCGGGTAGTATCAACCTTTTTCAAGAGAACTTGTACATTGCCCGAGGAGCAAAAACTTCATACATGTGGGTAACAGCAGAAATAACAAGGCATTTGCATATCAAATAATCATTTTTGAACATCATGGATCTTGGTCCCCATTTTCTAATCGAGGTAGATGAATGAAATTAGGTGCAGAAAAGAGTTAATAACGCTTTATCAAAATTTGTCCAGGAGGCTTTGATCAAATAAGCTCTGTCTGGAAGACGTATAGAAAAGAAGTCATAGTAATTCCCCTCCCATCATAAATCGATCAGTCATGGAGCAAGACAAGACAAAATAAAGAAGTCAATCTAGTGCTGTCCTGGAGCATATAGTCGCAAGCCACTCGCAGGAGCACCAACCGCCGCTACCTGACAGATCGTGCATACGGAGCCCTTGTGCTGCTCATGATATTTAGTTCCGGTGTACGGGCATGACACGCTTGGAGATCCACTATAGATCGGGGTATGCGAGGCAGCACAGATGTCAAATTCCGCAAATTGATCAAATTCGATTTCAATAGTATCCTGCGGGTTACGTTCACATTGAGCCTTTATTTTCTTTGCCTGTTTTAAAGTTAATAAAGATTAGGTTGACAGAGAGGAAAAGAAGATTTACCTGGTCAAGGAGTTTGGCCGAGCCACCGTTTGCGATCATCCTATTGGCAAAGCTGAGAGCAGAGGAAAAATTCTGGTTGGTGTAAGCAAATTTCATGGCGGCCATGAGGGCTAACTGCCTGTGAGCGACTTCAAGCTTTGGGATAGTGAAGTAGGCAGAAAGTTCGAGGCTCCTCTTTAGATTCTCAGGAGTATCAGTAGGCAAGGCTCGTCGTTCAAGCTCCATTGACATCGCCAGGATATACTCCCTTGCTGTTGAGATGATTTTCTTGGCTTCAGCTACATGTGTCTCTGATGACACGGTATTGACTAGAATTGAGTGTAGAATACGCTGGAATATGACAATCCCATCCTGAAGCTTGTTAGATCGCATGGCAGCGTATCCTTCCTGTAGATCCACGCTAGCAATGGTCTCGAGGCTCCGTGGGATAATTGGAAGAAGCCTGCGTGGATCGGTCTCGTCAACAGTGCGGCGGACGTAGTTTATTATCGGAGGAAGAGAAGGGGTTGCGGGAAGATAGGTTTTGCTGGCTTGATAAATTTCCAGAAAGCGAGGTTTCAAAGGTTCAAAGTTGATGGCACCAATTTGACGGTTCAGAAGCTGCATTGCTGTATCAAATGAACCAGCCGCAACGTGGTCAGCAGCCAGAGGCGAATTGCGAGACCATAGCTCAGCTTCACTGCTTGATGGGCCACCTTCCACATTCTCCGCACCGAGGAGATCAGTTTCTTCTTCAATCTGGATATCATCTCCCATGTCCCAACCGGCAACATCTTCCTCCTCTTGCTCATCGCCCAGGCCGGCTGCTGCACCATCCAGCTCCCGTTCTCCATCTTGGTCTTCAAAGCCATTGGCGTCTTCATTATCAGCCCCACCAACTTCACCAAGAAGTGCCTTCTCAAAAGAGGAATGAGAGGGAGCCTTTACTGGCCAGTTGGATTTGAAAGTTTGAACAATAACATTGGGGACTGGCTTTGGCTCGCCAAGTGATGGAAGGTTTATCTGTTCTTCCGAAAGACCACTAGTTTCGAGGATAGACTCGGCTTCCTCAGCATATCCATGTGTTTTGGCAGTAAGGTATGCCAATGGCACTAGTAACACCGACGTTAAAATAGATGTATTTAAATAGTAGAGAGGGTCCACTTACAAAGATCAATTTCCTTGAACATTTGGATCCTGGCTTCAATGTCATCGAGATAGAGTGCGTTCTGAAACTGGGACGTAAAATCACCTCGGTGCTGGGCAATCTTAGCCATACGAGAGAGTTTCTCTTGGTCACCTGTAGCAACGTAAAGGAAGGACAGTTTATCAAAGTTTCTTTGCCTTTGATATGTCATTTCAACAGTCTGATTGTTACCGTGAGCTAGGGCCTCAGTTCCGAGACGAGCCCAGAGCTTGGGGCGGTCAAGGGTTTTCGCCATTTCGATCGCGACGTCGATGTTGCCGCATTCTAAAGCAAGCTCAAATCTGGTTTGGGGATCTTGGACGAATTGCAGAGCAATCTCAGGGTAGCCTTTCTTTTGCAAGTATGAGATAATGCTTTGCCCAACAAGGCTGGAGGTCTTGATGATCTGAAGCATTTCCTCGTAATTTCGCTTTACTAAGGATAGCTTGAAACGGTATTCAGTTGGATCAATTGCGAGGACAGTTGGCTTAGCAGTCCTATCCAAGCAGTATACCTTTCTTGCTTTTACACGGACCAAGTAAAGAGTTTGGTCTAGAGTGCAGACGATACCATTATCCCTAGAGAAATTAGTACTTATATGAAAATAGTAGAAGTGGAACTCTGAGAGCTTACCCATTAAGAAGGGAGTACTTGACGTGGTTGAGGGTAGAGTAGAGGAGTACGCCGCTGTCGTCCCAGCAAGCGCTCTTGATTCGAATGGTCTCATGGAGAGTGCTGACATGCTCCAGGGTTTTTGTGGCAATCGTTACATTGTGCTTGCTCAATAGAGCAACATAAAGGCCGTCGTTGGACCATACCACGTACTTCACACCACTGACACTCAATTCCGCAAGTTGTTTCTTCTGTTGAATATCAAGTAGAACCACTGTAGTTGGTGTAAGAAGTAGAAGACAACTGGTTCCACCAAAGTGAATGTCCGTTGTGCCATGAGGGGCCTTGATCGTCTTAGTGGTAGAATTGCTCAGGTCTTTGATATCTATTTGTTGGTTGGACTGGGTGAAGACGGCGAATCTGTTACGGGCAACAAACACTGCGGAATTTCCATGCCCGCGTTTCACGTCTGTTGGCTCTACCGCACCGGTGGAGTCCCTGGGGATGTGAATAAGTTCGTAAGTGCCATTATCAGTAGGCGAGGTCACCAATATGGCTCGTTCAGCTGGGTTGTAGGATAAAGTTCTTGCAGGTACCCAAGGGCTTCCAAGCTTCTTGAGAGAGAGCATGGCTGGAGATTCGGTATTTTTCGTGAAGTCATAAGAGCGGAGGTGCTTGTCTTTTGTTATGTAGAAGACTTGGTTCTGGTATAGCGCAGAGGCCGGGCGCTCTCGCTCAAGTTTAAAAACCATGACGCCTGTGTCATGGCCTGCGGCAAAAAGATTGATCTCGGGGTGAGCCGCAATCATCCAAAAGCGGTCTGCATCTCGCTTGAAGGACTGTACAGCAGTCCTCTTATTTAAATCCCAAACGCGAATAGTCTTATCCTCTCCAGCGGAAAGTATCAAATCCTGATGTGGATGGAAGATACAAGCGGAAGCGTTCTGGAAATGTCCTCGGCAGGTGTCCACCTCCCATGCTTTCGTTTCTATAGCAAGTTAGTAGGACTCTCTCAACGTCAGGTTTAATTACCATACCACTCATCCTCCACAATTTTATAAGGCGATCGTCACCGGCAGAAACAATCAGGGGTAGTGTGGGATGGAATGCAACCCAATTAACACCACGATCGTGGCCTTCCAAAACAAATTTGACAACCGCATCAGTGTTTCCGAACATGTCTGCTTGAGCAGGGTTCGAGCGAGCCATCTGCTCTTCAAACGCCATAGTGCTGGAAGGAGCGGAGTGCTTTTTTCGAAGCCCCGAGATATCCCAAACACGCACTGTCTGATCTAGGGAGGCCGAGACGACTAGATCATCCTTGGGATGGAACTGTGCACACATTGTATAATGGTTGTGTCCGGTCATAGTGCAAACTGTCCTTCATGTAAGTGGTGTTTTATAAAATTGCTAGAAAGGGGACTCACTTAGAGACCGGTTTTGCCAGTTCCAGATACGAATGGTCTGGTCATCTGAACTGGAGATGATCCACGGAAGCTCATGATGAAAGAAGACCGTTCGAACATAATCTAAATGGCCATTAAGAGTAAATAGACACCGCCGGCTCTGCAACGACCAGACCTTAATCTTATAGTCATCACCTGCAGAGACAAACAATGGCTGAGTTTTGTGAAAATCGACGCCTCGAACGGGACCATCATGTTCTTCAAATCGATCAATCAAAGTTCCCATGCGGTAATCCCACAATTGGATAGTTGACGAGTGAAGAGCGACTAGAAGCCATGGCCTACTTGGATTAGTACATGGGTGACCGTACGTATGGTGGGCTGGCTATTCTCTATGCTGACCTCTTTGGGTGGAAAGCAAGGCCCTTTGCTCTGGATGACTTCGACTCAAACTGTGGCAACAATCGCAGAAATTAGTATTGAACAGCCAGGGAAACAAGTCTGACGTCGGGATGTTTTATATAGAACCTTTGTGAGCACGTTTGGCGAAGCGGACTGCATTGTTATCGCGGGGAATTGGCCTAAGCCGCAGCGGAGAGAAGAGGAGCTCTATGCGCCGACCAAAATGCTAAATGTTCAGTTGATTCAGAGCATCGATATATCCAGGTCGTAGAGCAGAAGCGGCAGGCAATGTTGTAGATGACAAGCTTGCCTTTTGCTCGCTTTTTTGCTTCTTCCGTACGTGGACACTTTGTGGTTTGAGGCGGACGCTGCTGAGGTAAGCACAAGCGAGTGGGCCCCTTTTGTCTCATTGGTTGCTTCGTCTCCTTTTGATTGAATAACAGAGACAGCAGGATGATTACAACCCGTATCTATCTATGTTAATATTACCAATATATGCTCTGGATAGGGTGGTTATCTATGATCTTTGATAGAGGTGTGCTCTTGAGAACTGATAGATAGGAGCCATTCTTTGGAGTCTCGTCCTTATTTTAAGTCTGGTGGCTTGACCGATATGAGTATACACAGACACGGCCCATGTTCTAACTATGGAGTACCACGACACGAACTCCTATACTATGTGTCTGGCCATTATGTGCCGGGATCTTCAAGGTAGTTATATGGTTTTGAACCTCCAAGCTTCCCTTGTTACCCATGGATGCTAACAACTTACAAGGCTTTCCACCAAACCACACGATGCTTCCTCTATAGATAATACCCCAGGCCTATACGCGTTACGATACCTACCTAGTGCCAATCTAATATATAGAAACTAGATTCTCACCCATAAACAAACGTGGAGTAGACTCCTAGTTCTTTGGCTGGAAATACGTATACGCTCCTCGTTCTGATCACGTGATATATGAAAAGGGCCAGACTATGACGTCAAAAAAGCTGTATCAAAATGCTACAGATAACCACTGGTGATGCAACACCTCCCCAAACTCGTTCAGCACGGTCTAATATATCCAATTGATTTGGATTATACATCGGATCTCAATTCATTACGCACAATGTCAACTCGCACCTCTACCCGACAAGCGGCTGCCAAGGCAAATGAAGCATTGCACCAAAATGCACAGCAGGGGAAGAAGAAATCAGCTGAACCTGGCCAGAAGCGGAAGGCTAATTCCAAGGAGGATATTCAAGAGCCTAAGCGAGAAAAGATGGTTAGAGATGAGGTTGAACACCCTGCAGCAAAAGAACAAGTAAGGCGAGAGGAGCCCGCAGCTCCCATCCTACAGAAGGAACCCGAAGCTGAACGGGCACAGGCCCATCATGCCTACGTGAAAGATGAAGAGGCGGAAACGTCTGGTGAGGCAAACCCTTCTGATGCTCCTGCAACTAGGGCGCCGCAGACTTCCACAACCAAGGAGTCAACAGAGCGGGAGACAGCTGTGCCACCCAACATTCTGGAAAAAGGCATCATATATTTCTTCTTCCGGGGAAAAGTGGGTGTTGAAGAGCCAGAAGGCCTCAATGAGGTTGCCCGTACCTTTATAGTTCTCCGTCCTCAACCGCATGACGCCGACCTAAGTGATGGGCTCGTTGGAGGTGAAAACTGCCGACTTCTCATGCTGCCCAAGAAAGCTGTTCCCACCTCAAGCAGCGAAAAATATATGGGTTTTGTTGAAAAAGCAGGGATCGACTTAAAGACGTTGAAGCAGTCGTTCTTGGGTAAAGAGTATGAGACTAAGACGAAAGGGACGCAGTTTTCGCCTACAGCGACCCCGTTGGCCGAAGGTGTTTATGCAATCACCTCAACCATGAGGACTTCACATCTGGCGTACATCCTCACCGTTCCAACAGAGGTATCCGAGGTTCAGAAAGATTTTGGCCTCAGCGATCGAGGTTCTTTCATTGTGGCCTCGAAGAATCCCAAGTATCCTGGCCCATCGAGTGCAAGGCTACCTAAGCCACCGGATTATCCACAGAGGTCAGTTATACTCTCTCAATCACTCCAGCAACTTATTAATAGAAATAGCTGACTCTTGTTGCCTTTTTTTATTGCTCCTTCAGTGTGATGGATGATTTCCGCGACCTTCGCTGGGTGCCACTTCAACCGAAGCTTATTGATTATCCCAATGCTCAGTTCATGATGCTAGGCGAAGCGCAAGGCCGCCTGGGGAAAGGGGGGAAGACTGAAGAAAAAGCACCAGGAGAGGAAAACGCGGGTGAGGAACTTGAGAACCTTGAACATGAAGACGAGATACGGGCCGGTTCGCTAGAAGGTAAGCTCACCCATACATTATATTTGCAGGGAGATGTAAACAAACCCTTCGGATTTTTTTAAGTCTTGGTCAGCAGCTGATTGATCAATTGGCGATAAACTAGACAGCGATAAAGTTTTCGAAGATCTGGGGCTCAGCGCGAAGCAGTTTCCACAAGTTCCAACCACATGGAGTGAATAAAGATTCACTCATGGCTATTAAGGGAATAATGACCGGTTAAGGTGATGGTTTGATGGCCGCCCTTGGTTCATACATACTGTCAAATGTAACTCTATAAAGAAATAAACAAAAAGCAATCATTACTCGAGCATTCTCTTGTTGAAAATCAGAGAAACATCGAATATGCAGGTGGTTGAAGAATGATCCATGCATCACGAAAGCATCTGCCTTTCAGCAAGACTCTTTTCTTTTCCCCATAATCCCCAGCAGGCTCTTTTCTTTTTTTTCTCACCCTAGCCCAATAGTACTTGTCGAGCATGGCACGACCTGCATCAAGGTATCCCCGGACCATACTGCATCTCTGCAAGGAGATATAATGGCTGAAAACGCCTTGGGGACGAAGGTTGGTCCCATCTTCGGCCGCTGACTCGCTAAATTCACATGTCGAATGCTTGTCTGCTTTGCCGCTGACATGCTCCCGCTGCTGAGGAGCCTTGCCACCCTGCGGAGCTGCAAGAGCCTGCAGCGACAAGGGTTATTATATCGGGCTGGGAAGAGATATCCATCGCATTGGTGGGTTGAGAGTTATCTCAATCTAGGAATTGTCCGAAGGCAGATGGAGGCGGCATAGGCCAATGTCTCTATATATGAGATGGCCACTCCCTCCTCGTCCACCGGGTATGTTTGGAGGGTCGAAGAAATTGCTTCAATCGATTCTAGTATAAAGCTCGATCATCATGGTCTCATCATTGATATACACACTGTGTGCTGTCTCTGGCCTGTTGGCTACTGTCAATGGCTTGCCAAAAAAGAGCCCCCGCACTGAGGCATCTTTGCCTATCGTGAAACAGACCCAGTGTGGCTCGCATACCTACCAGTACAACGGCCTAGTTGGCTATGGCACCGTACCGTCGAATGCGGTTGACAAGTACGGAGATACCCTCGGTGGATTCGGTAGCTCTATTGCTATTGAACGGGCGTCGTGGAAGAAGAATGCCGATGGCACTTATGAAGGTATTGCCTGGGCTGTACCTGACCGTGGCTGGTATGTTATTCCTATAACCCGAGCTTCGTCGGTCTGTTTCGTTTTTATACTAATGAGCCGGATACAGGAACACTCAGGGCACACTTAATGTGCAAAGCCGCATCCAGAAACTCAGTCTGAAGCTGACTCTGGCGCCCAATGCAACTGTCTCCAATCCATCAGGACCTAACTTTGAGGTTAAACTACTGGATACACTGCTTCTCACCGGCCCTGACGGCACCCCGCTGACTGGACTGGATGCCGACTTTTCAGGGAACATCTCCTATCCAGGCTTCCCCGGCATGCCAGTGGCTACCTACCCTGGTGATGGATTCGGGGGCAGCGGCACAGGGGGCCGTCGCATCTCGATGGATTCAGAGGGCATCGTGATTGGCAACGACGGCTCGTTCTGGATTTCGGATGAGTATGGCCCATATGTATACCAGTTCTCTCGGGAAGGCCGCATGCTACAGGCCATCCAGCCTCCGGAGGCGTACATCCCCCGACGGAACGGAAAGGTCAGCTTCAGTGCTGCCTCTCCTCCGATCTACGATCCCAACCGCACGACGGATCCAGAGGACCCAGAGACCGGACGCAACAACAACCAGGGCTTCGAGGGCCTTACCATCTCTCAGGACGGCAAGACCCTGTATGTCCTGATCCAGTCTGCCCTGAATAACGACGGTGGCCCGAAGAAGAGGAATAGAAAGCAAGCCCGCATGCTGGAGTACGATATCTCCGGCAGCAAGCCCAAGTACACTCACGAGTACGTGGTGACGCTTGCGACCTACGTCGACCCTCACGAGCAGGACCCCGACAAGGCGACTGTTGCAGCCTCCCAGTCGGAGATTCACTACATGCCGACGGGAGACTTCCTGATCCTGTCCCGCGACGGAGGTGCTGGTCGAGCCGCCGAATACACCGAGTCGGTCTACCGCCATGCAGACATCATCTCCAAGTCGAGCATGACGACCGATATCAAGTCGTCGAAGAACGACAAGGCGGATGGCTCCATCGCCTCGTCCACCGGCAAGCTGGACGACGGCATCAACCCGCTGACCTACTGTTCGTTTGTCGACTACAACCTCAACTCCGAGCTGGGCAAGTTCAAGCTCCACAACGGCGGCGCCCAAGATGAGCATCTATTGAACGAGAAGTGGGAGAGCCTTGCTCTTGTTCCTGTCGATCCGCAGCGGGAGTTCAGCGATAACGGCAAGAATGAGTACTTTTTGGTCACTTTTAGCGACAACGACTACATCACCCAGGACGGTGCGTCTCCCCCATATTACCTGCAAACCTCATATGCTCTACTAACATTTCAGCTGTAGGACACCTCAACTTTGGCAAATTCAAGTATGCCGACAAGTCTGGCTTCAACGTCGATACGCAGATTCTGGTCTTCCGTGTTACGCTCTAGACACTATAGTTATGGTACTACTGCATAGTTATATATGTAGAGATGATCCACCACAGATAGATAATATCTTGTCTTCGTTTCTTTTTTCTTTTTAATGCAAGGCTAGTGAGAAGACATGCCGGGAGGATTGGGGTGTATGGCGATTGGATCAGAGTGTCTCTTCTCAAAGAACTGTCTGCGTATGGATGTTCATGTCTCTCTTCTTCTCTTCTTACTCCGAACACTATACAGAGTATATATAAATATATATATCAAGGCTGTAACGAGAACCTCGAATAGGTGCCAAAGGCTCAGTCACTGTGGCGACGGGCAGTGGAGTTCTGGACTCTTGGATGCATCCTCGCTTGCTCTCTGGTCTTCTTCTCTCGTTGCTGGCTGGCTGCGTCTTGGTGGATGATAGTGCAAAGTTACATCCATGCCATGGTTGTGCGATAGTACGAGAGATGATAAAAGAGACGATGAGAGCAGAGAAGAAGAGAAGAAGAAGAGCGACTGTGGCTATCCGTGTTTGACTCCGCATGCAAGGCGCAGAAATGCGATTTCTGGGCAAAAAGAAGAAGAGCGCCACAGCGCATACATAGTACACAGTATGAAAGTTTTTATTCTCGCCGGACACATGTGAAGATGGAGAGATTATAACACGTATATAATTAGAATAGAATAATAATAGTAGTAGGATGTATCTGTATGCATATGTGTAGGCGAAGCGAGTCTCGACTTCGTCTCCCTCGGCATCTCGAACATCCAACATGGATTGTTTGTTGAGCTGATCACGCCGGCTCGTTCTTGTTCCCCTCTTCATCCTCTTCATCTTCATCTTCTTCGTCTTCGTCTTCTCCTCTTCTTCTCCTCTACGGGCTCTCCTGTACGACCTGTTCCAGCCTGTCAACCCGTCGAAGAGGCGGTCTCGGTGTCGCACCAGGTTTTGTCTCTCTCTTGCCGGCGCTTCGCTGAGATATTTATTTACTCCCGGAGATCCACGGCCACATTCACATACACACACTCTCACACATATATACACTATTTATATTTATATATACATACATATAAATATATATAACAAGGGAAGATCTGGAATATGCTTGCTCCATACTACAGACGCCCTTTATAGCCACAGCACCCGGCTGAGTGACCGCACCGCCGCTGTCCGGGGGCGCTGCACTCCTCACGGGCTTCCCGGGCACGGGAGACATAACTACCTCTAGTTATACTACCGCCTGGTGTCTGCAGGGATGGCTGAACCTGTCGAGCCTGTCATCAGCAACAGGATGGTAACAAGGCTCAGGAAGGCGGCCACGGTAGGAGTGGTAGCAAGGTTCGTTGCGTTCCATGGCTCTTCTCGTCCTCTCTCCCTCTCTCTCGCCCTCTCCCTCTCCCTCTCTCAACCTCACCGTGCTTTGAAAGCTTATATGGAGGCTGATACAATATTAGATCCCAGGATACATTTCCGCCATTCGACTACGACCATGATGACGTTGATGTCCACGCCGTCTCGTCTTCTACCTCATCCTGCTCGCATGGTATAACTGCCTCCTCATCCTCCCGCCTGGACTCGTCTCTCCCCCAGTACAAGACATATTACGGTGCACGCAAGCTCTCTCGTTGCTCAGACACTTCTTCCCCTGCCATGTCGTCGCTGGGTAGGATGGGTATCCCGCACAGGAAGCGCTCCGGCACGGTCGACCTGTCTGTTTCGCTCAGCGAGACAAACGGACTAGGGATATACAACAGCCTGAACGGTAGAGACCGCGGGAACGATGACCTCTCCGCTACCGGCTCTCTCGGTGGTTCTCGTCATCACCGCTCCACCAGCGGTGCCTCACAACTCTCCTTTGGAAGCCTTCCTCGCCCTGGTGGACAATACGTCCACCCCATGCGGCAGACTCCTCGCCCTTACACGCCACCGCTGGGCCACTCGAACCAGGTCTCCGCCGCGGCAAGCACCGACTCGCACCTGGAGGGCATACAGCGTGTCACAGATTTTGATGACCCCGTCCCCACCAGCCAGGAACTCTTTCCCGGATCTCCCTCCCCCAGCATATACAACGAACCTCGCACTTCCGTCCAGATTGAAAGCGAGACTACCACATACCCCAGCAAGACTCGTGCTTCTTCCTTTGGTCGTGTCTTCAACAACAGCCCCAGCCCACGAGACACTACCCCACTCTCTAGGAATTCTCTGGAATTCGGATTGCGGTCCAAGTCCCGTCGTCCCAGCGCCGTAGATCCAGCCGCTCGCGCCATAGCAGTCCAAGCGGCACGCCAGGCCTTTGCAGACAGAGAGGCCGCTAAAATCAGGAAACATGATGAACAGGCTTCCAAGGCCTATGATAAGGAGCAATGTCGACTCCGCCGGCTAGAACGTGAAAACTCGTATAATAGCCATTCGCCTCCACGACGTTCTATCTCCGACTTCACGTTACGGCCATCAAAACTTAGCGAGAAAGACAGCCGCAGCAAGAATTCGACTCCATCGTATACTGACGATACCATCAAGGTCTCCTGGAAGCCCAAGAGTCCAAAGAGTGCATGGGTCCTCTTCCTCACTTGGCTACGCACGAGGATATTCAAGATTGGAAGAAAGCTGAAGAAAGTGGGCTAGTACCAACTCTGTGCTTGCGATGCATGAACGATTTTTTTTTTTTAAAAAAAAAACGATTTGAAAGCTGGGTCTGCCGGACAGGCTTGGTCTAGAAACGATCTTGGTTTTCCATGTTTTCTCGTTCAGTTCTCGTTTCTACTTTTCGTGCCTGCCCTTGCTTGTTTTGCCTATTTCCTGGCCCAGAGCAACACCAGCGTTCAATTGCATCCCTCCTACCCCTCCCCCAAAGTTTTAAGAGGAGATGACTGCTTTTCTTCCCCTCACTCTATTCTTACCCCTTGATTTGCCCCATGCATGGGTGCAATCTGGCGATACCAGGAGTCCTGCTTTGTCCTTGCATTTTCGATTGTTTTTGCTGTGTTTATGTTGGTGTTCTGTTTTGTTCGCTTGACTACTAGCATCTATGGCGGGGTTTACTGGCGTTTACGCTCAAGAGGGCCTCCATGAAATGCTTCATACTTTCTGAGAATCAATTGAATCTTCCTGCTCCCGTATCTACTTCTCCCTTCATCCCTTTTCTATACAGTCGAAGTTGGTTTTCCCCCAAATAAATAAAAAGGGAAAAGAAACTTTGATGACATCATTGACATTACATAATATTCACGTGAGTTATTAGTTAATACGGCTACGGCGGGCGTGAAAGACCAAAGTTTTCGGCTACGGCGGACGACATCATAGCGAAGTGCAGCTCTTTTAATCTACAAGAAGGAAGGAAAAGAGAAATACGTTAAATACTAGAATATCAAGACAAGAGAGGGCGCGCTGCGCCGGCGTCGAGCCGCTAAGATGGTCTACGACTGGGAGGGCAAGAGAGATATCTGCTACAGGATGTATATCGAGGAGAAGAAGGCCCTGGAGGACATCATGGAATACATGCGTGTATTCCACCAGTTCTCTCCAAGGTGAGCTTTATATAATACGCTGGATCACAGGAGATAATATTCTGACGGCCTCAGTAGTAAGCGAGCATTCCAGACGCAGTTCAAGCGATGGGGTTTCCCGTCAAAGCAGAATCCTGCTTATAAAAATACCGAACTTGTTGCGCGGATCAAACAGCTGTGGGAGAGCAATACGACTCAGCGTGATATGATCCGCATTCTTAACGCAGAAGGGTTCGAGATTAAAGAGCGAGAGGTTATGAGGGTACGAGCGAAGTATAGGTGGTTATTACGGGTCCCCAATGGCATGAAATCTTCGGCTGCTAGCACAATATCTGTACCCACAGCTTCAGCTGCCGCAGCTTCCGCCTCGACTGCGCCGGACGAGGAACTGCAGCATCCGGAGAATGGATTGCTGGAACTTCAGAGAGACACATACGACGGGGGCAAAGGAACACAAGCGGGAGCTGCCACTGAAGCTGATGTGGATGCAAGTGTTAGCAACGGCGCCAGTGCCTCTTCTGATATACCGGAGGATATTGCTGCAAGACGCAAGGAGAGGATGGAGAGGTTGAAGGTAGAGAGTGAGGAGCGATGGGCGACCAAGAGACGCCGACGACGGACTCGCGAATGGGCTGGATTACCGCCAGATCCCCCTGGGCCTCCCCGTTTCCCATCGGAAACCACGATCGACCAGAGCAAGAAGTATCTGTGTCTGGATAACGATAGTTACCGGGAATTACGGGACAGCTTCCAACGGATATGTGAGGAAGCGGGGTTCATAAAGAAGACCATTGCCGGGCCTGAGAAATGGCAGATGGCGAAGGATCGACTTATCAATGAATCTACGCACCTCCAGGCGGTGTTCTGGGGAGAGCCAGTTCTTCTTGATGCAAAAGCCTTAGCGCTTGACGTCGTCTGTACTGATGTCACGAAACGGATGCGTACCCTCGAACGACGGATGACGATTGCAGAAGCCAAAAACGCTCTTGGAATAAACCCCGAGGAAAGCAGGCAAGTCCGGAACGCGTTCTATGATACGCTCAAAGCCAGCCATGTTACAAGTAAGCTTGAGGCTGGCGATGAGCAATGGGGGGAACTAAAGGATCGATGGATCAGGGAATCTGAACTACTTCAGCATATCCTAAACTCTCCTGGCACCGACGCCGAACACGCTACGAGACTCAAAGCCATCGAGGTTCTCTGCCGCGATGTAATGAAGAGACTCCGTGACGACCAGGCCAAGCGTGATCCCTCTCGAAAGAGAACGCATCCAGGAGCCAACCTGCCAAAGCAATCAAGCAGGGAGCCGACAGCCTCAGCACCAAGGTCTCCTCCCATCCCAAACCGCATCAGCACCCTCGCGTCTGAAGCCTTGGCGAGTGCTCCCAATGTTGCAGGTGAGATGGTGGACATCCAGATAGACCCGTCTCTGCTTCAAGCCGCAAACGACCCTTCTTTCCGGCCTGACTCGACCCATCCTCATCCGCCCGACAGTTCACATACTCTCAGCTATGTTGACCCTGTCCTTCACGCTCCCGTCAACCCAACGCCCCTATACTTCCACATACATCCTCAGTCGGCTCCGCGGTGTCTCGAAGACCCTGATCCGTGGATTGACAAGCTCTCTGTTCCGTCCGTAGCGGGCCTGCGCAACACTATCATGTCCAGAGTCAAGAATGCGCAAGAGATTGTGAGAATTGAAGGCATCGACACAGCAGACCGTGGCCACGGCCAGCATCAATCGGTAGTTATTAGTGATGACAGCGAGCTCGATGCGTATCTCCAGCGCATGAAGGGGCTTGAGGCAACCTTTGTCGTGCTGCTGCGTTAATCGTCTTGTAACCTCTTCCTGTAGTTCTCTATCTCTTCATCTTTACTCCGTCTCTCCACCTCTTCCCGTTTCCACTCCATGACTTGGGCGGGAACAACGTGATCTCGGCAACTCTCACCTGCTCCTTTTTTTTTTTTTCGCGGGGCAAAAAGTATTAACTAAAACATCGAGAGGTTGAAATGTTTACTTCTATACAACGAGACAACACAAAACCAACCGCACTCAAAACGTCCATCTTGAAAGACGTTCAACCTATTAGTATAACTCTTCACTGCAAAAACGACACTCACTCTTCCAGCCGTGGACGGGCGGGTCTAGCCTGCTGTTATTTTCTACAGGTTGGTTACTAACAACCCCTCCCCCGCCTGTTCCACTAATTACTTCTTCAGCTTTCAGCAGCTTAACAAGCAACTAGAAAGATAATTACTCTGGATATATTAAACTAATCGCGGGATATGTCATAGATACCGAGTTAGAGACACCAGTACGCTGCCGCGTAACGTTCCAATGGCTTCCTCATCTCTAACCCCCGTGATTCTAACCACTGCTCTCCTTTTCCTTGTCTTCGCCAACCCAGCAGCCGCCTTTGGAGCTGGTAATATTGCCTCCTTCTCTAAGATTGAGGGCTCAAACTTTCGCCATGGAGACATTGAAGATGTGCTGTTAACTCTGTATATGGCTCGCTCTGCTGGCGGGCGAAAGTTCTCGAAGATGGACGTGACGCACGTCTACTTCGGCAACTGGCTGCGAGATTATAGTCAGGCTGTTGATGTTGGTACTGTGAAACACGTCAGCGCTGAGGCTGTTCGCATCCTTATCTGGATTTTGGGGTTTCTGACTTTTGGGTGCGTGTTGTGCTATTGGAAACATTGGACTGTCTTCTTTGACTGACAATGATCCCAGATATGGCGTTGATGAATTTGAAGTTACGGCTGATCGTCTCGGATGCTACCAGCCCACTGAACACATCGATAACCCACTTGGATACGCGGACGGAGCTGATGCAAGACAGTATGACCGCCGCCTTAGAGGACCCGTTGATAAAAGGAGAGAACTGTCTATTGACGAGCGTACAGGTAGGAAAATGACGGCGACCTTTATTCTATATATACATAGCTGTTGACTTTTCATAGGACTCAAAAACTACATTGCCTCTGAGGACCTTGGGATCGACACGTCGGCTGACCTCATTAGGAGAGTTTTGGGAGGTTGCATCAAACTGGGTAGGAAACATGCTCGCTCAGGCAACAAAGCGGATCTATATGAAGCCCTTCGCTTACTAGGTACTGGTCTACACTGCCTGGAGGATTACGCTGCCCACTCAAATTATACGGAGCTGAGTCTGATTGAGATGGGTGAGCGTGATATATTCCCCCACGTTGGCCGTAACACCAAGATACAGCTTCCCGGAGCTCAGCACTCGGTTTACCCAATTGTTACTGGAACCTTTGGTGGAGTGGACTTCCTTCACTCGGTCATGGGCGAGTTCTCTGACAAGGCTACCCAATCAGAAATTCAAACTCTCGAGGGCGCCATCGCGGAGACCCAGAATCAAGGCGGTGCCAAAAGTTTTCTCCAGGAGTTGTTGGCTAAAATTCCTGCAGGTATTATTGGTGGGAATGAATCAGGCAAAATGGACGAGTTTCAGAGCAATGCGCAGGCACAGGCGCAACAAGAGAATGTATCACCACATGAGCCCGAGGCATGGACTCGCTATCTCCAAGATGTTACCCGACAGGTATACCCGGTTTTAGAATGGCACGATAACCTTCTAAAGACAATCAACAAGGCTATCCAAAACATTCCAATTCTTCCAGAGTTGATTGAACAGATACAAGAGCAAATCAATATTTTCGTGTTTAGTGTCATTGCACCATACGTTCTGCCAATTATCAATCAAGTGAAGGCAGAATTGGAAACGGGCTCTTCCGAAATCATTCAAAGCAGTAAGAAGGAACAGCACAACATTTTTAATGACGATGATTCAACTGATCCCACTCATTCTATGTTGTCGAAGGACCATTTCTCAAACTTGTTGAATGAACCGGCTGGAAAGATTGCACAACAGGTGGTTAAATGGGCTGTCCCTCAGATAATGGAATGTTGGGATGACGAGAACATTGATGTGAACCGTACATTGAACAGAATTATCACTGGTGTCTTTCACCACCCTGCTCACCGAGATTTCGGTGACGATGGCGCAGCTGATGTTCGCCGAATGATGTTTGGTGTGGTCGAAGAATGGTGGCGTGAAAACGGCGATAATGGGGTAAGAAGGCAATTGAGCCGAGATGGTGTTAGAAATGGTGAGAACCATAAGCCCGGTGTCCATGACTGTGGCCATGGAAGCGGAAAGCCATTAAAGTTGTCAAAGAAATCTAATCACGGATCTGGTTCGACTGGCGGGTATGGTCAAGGAACTCAAGCCAACGAGTTAGGTAAACTTGCGGAAGAGGCTGTTGGTGGTGGTGCATTAGGTGGGCTGGTGGGCGGCATCGCAGGAGCCCTTGGGCAGGCGCTAGATGAAGAGAAACCCAAGAAAGATTATGACAATGACAACTATGGCCGTCATGGCGGACGTTATAACAAGCATGATCAACCTAGTCATCCTCAGTCGGGAGGCTACCAACAATCGGGAGGATACCCGCAGGGAGGATACCAGCAAGGAGGAAATCAGCAAGGAGGGTATGAGCAACCTGGCTATGAGGGCCGTCAGTCAGGCTACAGCCAACCCAGTGGGTATGGCCAGCCTGATGAGACAAGATACGGTCGCGACACCGGCCGTAGCAGTGGTTATAACAGGCAGGAGGGGTATGGCGAGGAGAGGTAATTTTATTGACACGATATCAGTTTTTGGAATCAGGCAGGTGCTAAACATCCTCGCTTCTAGGTCCCATGAATCTAAATATGATCAGTCTAGCAGGTTTGGCGGAGAGGCCAGCGAGTATTATGGTCAAACCCAAGAAAACTCTAGCTCTTCCGATCGCTACAGAGAGCATGACACAAGGTCATCTCGGCGGGAACCCGAATATTCGTCTGGCCGCTATGAGGACCGAGACGGCATGTCATCTCGGAGGGACCATGGATACCCATCCAGCCGATACGAGGAGCAAGAGTCTAGGCATTCTCGTGGGGATTATAGAGGAGATGATGACTATGGTCGAGGCGGTTCAAGGAATTACGAAAGCTCCCACTATGGAATGGACCAGCGCCGCCGTAGTAGTCGGGAGCGAGACTATGATCGTGAAGAAGAGTATGAAAGACGCTATAAAAAGAACAGTGATGACGACGATGACGACGACGACGATGAAAGACGTCGACGCCATCATCACAAGCACCATGGACGCCGTCATTCTTGATCTTGAAGGCCGGCCTAGTTGTCACCTACTGAAAGCAATCATCTACGATAAAGTTATACAGAGCAAGTAAAACGAAGTCATTACGTACTTAGGACCCAAAACACTTAATTTTATATTGATCCATTTTCAACGTAAAACGATATATTACATTTTCATGATGCATCCAGAGAAATCATCTAGCTATTATAACTGCCTCGGAGTATAATTCAATCAACCACCGTAAGCATGTCATACGCTTGGTGTTTGATCGCCTTCATGAGGAGCGAGAGCGGAGTTATGGCTTTCTTTTTCTTTCTGACCATTTCAAAGCCATCTTCATCTTCGCCTCCTACTTCCTCGTCTATTTCTTCTTCTACCTCGTCAAACGATCCTCCTTCCAAAAAGACTTTGAGCATTGCCTGACTCTGTCCGCCAACTATAGATGTGCCAGGCATATCCTCAGTGACGGGAGCTGATCCTGTTTTTGTTTGAGAAAGATCCCAAAAGACTAACTCAGGCACTTCGTAACCTGCTGCTTTAAACTCCTTTTCAACGATCTGATAATGCGTGGCCCAGGGATCAGAGCTTTCTCTTGCCTCATCGAATTGCATATCGCTGAAAATGAAAAGGCGTTTAACCATGTCTTCTGGCTTGACCTTATTGTTGATGGCTAACGGGAGGATAAGCTTCGTGAACACCGCGAGGAAGTTGGTATTATAGCCCCAGTCTAAGCCAACAGCTCTATCAACTTGTTCTCCAAAGGGAACCTTCTCGTTCTCGCCCTCTATCGTTACTATTTGTGGGTTTGCAGAAAAGGTAATTAGTTTGCCTCCAAATGGTGGTTTCGTTACCGCCGAGAGGACGAGGCTCAGTCCTACGGCATTTTCAAGCATACTAGCACCATTTATGGACGTGGACATCATAGAGCCACTAACATCGCAAACAGAAATAGCATCAGATAGTGAACCGTTATCTTTTATGCGCTGGACTAGAGTCTCCCACTGGGAATTTAACGTCAGCTTGGCTATTTCGTCCTTTTTGCCGCGTATCCATTGGTGAACCAGTGGTCCAGGCATGAGGACACTTCCAGAAATAGCCTGTTTGCCAGATTGAACTTCGAGGAGATACTTTAAGAAGTTGTCATGGTCTTTCTTTGCAAAGAGGCCCTTATACAGGTCCATGGCAAGAGATGGAACTCGAGCGTAGTTGATATTCGCGAAGTTATTTGCTGATATATCACGTTCGACTACTTGAAGTGCCTGGCGTAAGGGGGACAGTATCGAGGCTCTGTACTGTTCTCGTGCACGCTTTAGGTACATTTCTCTTGTATCGCCCTCCTTCTTGATACTTTCGGCAGGAAAGAGTATTTCTGCAATGGTAGTTGCTATTAGGGTTTGCTTATCATGAAAACGTTCAAGAGACGGCGCCCATTTGGCGCAGAGACTAATCTCGCTTAGTTGCTCCTTCGAGCCTCCTTCCAGGATACATTTGTCCCTCCTGAGCTGGTCGGCAAACATGCGGGCGACGGTATTGTGCAAGGCACGGTGGAACTTATCGGTCTCATATTTTTGCCACAGCTTCTCATGGTGACTTGCTTCTCGGGCGCGTTTTCTCCCCTTAGCTACTTCATTTTGGAGAGGGACTATCGCTTGGGCTTCCTTGATTCTGTCCTCTCGTGGAATTTCCAGATAAGCATGTTTCTCTGTGGAGCTCATGGCCGAGACCTTGATCTTTTTGCCCCTTAGAGGCAGTGAAATATCTAGGTTCTCCAGTGGCTCCTGGCGAGCTCGAGTCCTGTTCTTCAAGACTGTGTTCGGATCTTTCATTCCGAGCTCATCGTTGGCGGAGAGCGCAAGAAGGTTGAGGAGGTCCTTCCAGTAACCGTGGGATACCCCGTGGACGACTTCGTGATCATCAACCCCCAGCGTCTGTTTCTCAACAACAACTGCCGTTTCCTCCCTTTTGTTGTCTTTTTTGGGCACTTTCTCGATTACAGCACGGGTGATCCAGGGAAGATTGGCCAAAAGGGTCTGTGGATGATTCTCCTTCAGCCAACCTAAGGCGACGTAGAACATGGATCGCTCCCCCTTCCCCAGGTGAATGCTGCGGCAATTCCAGATGATCTTAAGGGTAACCAAGGCATCTTCTTTCCATGCTTTCTCCAACAGAGGAGCTAGAACCAGCAATGATTGCTCGTCCGGCTTTCCATCTAACGTGTGGAATAAGTCTACCAGACTCGATTGTGTAGAAGCATAGGTGACACCAGCGTTGTCGGTAAGAGCCAGGTTCTTTGCCGTTAGGTCTTCCGCCGAAGGGATCTCTGCTCTGGGATTTTGCTCCTCTTGAGTGAGAGCATCGATAAAAGTATTCCCGCTTGACCGAGCAGCAGCAGCAGCAGCAGCATCTTCCGCCACAGTGGGCTTGGGCTCTTCTCGCACAGGGACAATGGAACCTCCTGTTTCCGTTTCCCCTTTGCTCTCGCTACTCTTTGCAACGGAAGCAAAAATGTGCTCTTTGAACTTATCAGATTTCATATACAGACAAGGGTCCTCAGGCAGCAGGACGGGGAAGTTGGAATCTATGGAGGTGGTCTTGGTATTCTTCTGCCCTTCCATTGTCGCTGCCTTGATGGTATCGGGATATATCGTTCAGTAGAAGAGAGAGAGAGAGAGCGTGCGCAAAAGATGATGAGTGTCTGGTCTGAGGAGGTTCGCTTCTCGTTCGTTGGGCAGCTTCTTATATAAAAACTTCCTCGAGCCGCATCAACTAACTAGTCGAAGTCAAAATAGGTCGGAAAAAAAAAATTCGAGGCGGAGCCCCAAAGAAGCAAAACGTCACATTTCATGTATCAACGAGCAGGGGCAGAAGCGCCGTCTATTGGCGTAACAAGCCATGAGTCAAAGGGGCCGATGGGGATGGGATAACTGGCAGTTGTTAATAACCGGGAGTGCAATGATTTCTCTTAATCTAACAAATTTATACTAATACATACATTGCATCCTCTCTCGGTAGCTAGAAACCAACTTTCCTGGAATTACCAACTTTTTACATCTCCTTGCCCCGGAAGTTCTACTCGAACGACCTTATTGCAGTTGAGAAGGCCTAGAGGATCGAGGGCTTGTTTTATCTGCTCCGTGAATATCAAATTAGCAAGGTGTGGCAAACAACGTAGGTAAGGGTTCCGAATGACCCGTCCGTACCTTTCTCATCGTGTCTACTGTTGACTCGCCGAGTTCATGGTCAAGATAGTCTCGTTTGACAAGCCCAACGCCATGCTCACCACTGACAGTGCCCTCCATCTCGATGGCTCGCTTCACCATACGGTGTACGATTCCTTCGGCGACGGCACGCTCACTGTCATTAAAAAGTAGGATTGCTAGATGGGGAATAACACGTTAGATCCATGTGAGTGCAGAGCGGTACCGTTCAAGAGCAGAACTCACCATGAAAATTGCCATCACCAACATGGCCGCAGATTCCAGCCAAGAGGCCGTTTTTCACAATGTCTTGCTTCGTTTGCTCGATAATGTCCGGTAGTCTGCTAATGGGAACAGCCACATCCGTCGTCCAGACTCGGTCGTTCTCTCTCTTTTTCGCCATAACGCTCCACAGAGCCGCTTTCCGTGCACTCCATAGCTCGTTCATCTCGTCCTTCCCGCGGGCAAATTCAAACGACTGGCTTTCGGTGCTTTTTGCCAGAGCTTGGACAATTTTAATTTGTTCCTTGATACCGGTTTCTGTTCCTGTGAATTTTAAGAACAAAGTGGGTGCTTCGCTCCAGGTGCGTCGTGTGGTTTTGCTATCGTTGATGCATTTCATTTGAACATCGTCCAGTATTTCGAGACCAGCGAGTTCCACTCCCTCTCCCACAATCTTAGCCACGCATTCGGCAGCACGATGAATTGACGGGAAAGATGCGACAGCTACGCTTTCATTTTTCGGCTTGACCGTTACCTTGAGGGTAGCTTCCGTAACTAACCCAAGTGTTCCTTCGCTGCCAATGAAGAGCTTTGTAAGATCGTATCCTGCGCTTGACTTCCGGGGCCGCTGTCTGGTCTTGATAATGGTTCCGTCCGCAAGCACCATTGTCAGCGAGACAACCCATTCTCTCATAGTTCCATATCTGTATGCGTTGGTTCCTGAGCAGCCAGTTCCAACCATCCCACCGATCATAGCTCCAGGCCCGGGGTCAACGGGGAAATATAAACCATCCTTCGCCAGCTCCTCGTTCAAATCCTCCCATCCAACTGCTGGCTGTACAACCACATCCAGGTCGTTCTTATGTAGGGTCACTATCTTGTTCATGCGGGAGAAGTCAATACAAACACCACCAGGTGTTGGGGAGAAGTGGCCCTCCAGGCTAGTTCCGCCAGAATATGGGATGACCGGAATAAGTCTGACGTGACAGACTTTCATAATGCGTGAAACTTCCTCTGTTGTCGAAGGAAAGACAATAAGAAATGGCCTTTCGCTTTCTTTTACACTGTATGATGACCAAGCAGATCCTGAGCGTCCATCCAAGTCTTCCTGTTCCGTCGAAACATTTTCCCTGCCTACTATTTCAACAAAGTCGGCCCAAGCAGCCTGTAAATTCGAGGGGGAGACGTTATGTTGCGGTGATTGAGCGTCGCTTAGGGACGTGGTGGAGGATGTTGGAAGCTCCGCTGGTTTTATAGTACCAAGGTAGTAGCAACCTAGAGCAGTAACAAGGACAGCTAGAGAGCAAGGTTATCTCATGTTAGCATATCAATCCTAATATGGCGGCCAATTGCACCTAGTTGGGGGCCCAGGTATCAATATTAAAATTGTGTCTTACTGATGGTCATCGCGGTATATTGGATATGCGGAGATTGCTTTTGCATCCGCGCGAAGCGGTCTAACTCTGCGCGCTCTCGATTCAATCGTTGCTGAGTACTTTCATAAAGCTGGCCCTTGAAGGAATCCTGTCTCTTCTTTTCCTCCTCCCTGCATCTTGGTGAACTCCTGAAGCTTCGGGTAGGCTGGCTTCTTATGGTATACCAACTGGACCTCTCAGCTGCGAGCCCCTGTTGCCTAGCGGCGAAGCGAGCGGTGTTTGTCGAAATGGCTCGAGAGCTAAACATCTCTAGTTTGCTTCTCTAGGGTTCAACAGCTTATGGAGTAATATATGTGTGCACTTACATAGTATGTGTCTCTTCGTGCAAAAAAGCTTCCATTAATTTGATATCTGAAGAATTAAAAGCGGCGTGGAATTTTAGTTCTTTTAGGAAAAACTAGGACGCCGCTTTAATCTGCCAAATTATATACAAAGCAACGTAAACTTAAAATAAAAAGATGTCACTTTGTCCTGAAGACTGTAGTTTGATTCTACTTTGATAGCATAGCTAATGAAGGGACAGTCTATCAGTTATCTTTCCCGCGTATCTCTGGAAGTAGTCTTACGCTCTAACTGGACGGTGACGGCCTCCCTATTATTCTATTCCCGTCTGGCGGGGTGAACAGGTGCATCCTTGAACAGGCCTTACACGAATCAGAGACAAACGGACCGGGTTACCTGGTGGCTGGTGTTCCCTAGTGGAAGCCTCTCCCACATGGAGTGATAGATACCAGAGTAAACTAGTTATCTAGCTAGGCTATCTCCTGGTTTCGACTGTGGAGTTCAGCATCAACTGAGCATTTCGACAGACAGCATCTACTCACCTTTTACGAGGGCCTAAGACGATATGGTCCAGCGAAGATTCTTTCCGATAGACAAGTCCTGGACTTTTAGGGAGGCTTGCGTGAATACCTCCAAGTTTCTTCCTGTCTCGCAATTCCCTACATGCATTCACTTGGACCTAATCCACCATGGAATCATCCAAGATCCATTCACTGGGGCTACTGAGAAACAAGTTCAGTGGGTTGGTGAAAGAGCCTGGATATACCGTACCGCATTTGTCGCCCCTCAACTAGGAGATAATGAAAAGGCTGTCCTTGCATTCGACGGGCTTGACACCTACACGTCTGTTCACCTCAACGGGAAAGAAATCCTCGAGACTAATAACATGTTCATCCCTGAGCGAGTGGATATAACATCTCTTCTTCGTGGATTTAATGATCAAAACAATGTCCTCGAAATTACATTCGATAGCGCCTTTATTAGAGGTAAGGAGGAGCAAAAGAAGTATCCTAAACACCGTTGGGGATGCTGGAATGGTGACCCTAGCCGCCTTGCAGTGCGAAAGGCACAGTATCACTATGTAAGTAACACTATTTAAAACGTTTGCAGCAACACGATTGACCCTTCGTGCGTGTTTTCTTTTTTACAATATGTAGGGTTGGGATTGGGGTCCAGTCCTGTTGACCTGTGGTCCATGGCGTCCAATTGTTCTTGAAGTATACTCAGCTCGTGTTGCGGACCTTTATTATACTACAAAGTTCAAAAGCTGTCTGAAGGAGGCTGAAATCTCAATCACGGCCGATGTAGAAGGGCGTGCCTCAGAGGTGATCTTCAGCTTATCACTTGATACCCAAGAGCAAGACGCAGGAAACCAATTCATTGTAGCTGCATCAGTGAAAGACGGAAAGGCCACAGCCACTATACGTTTAAAAAACCCACAGCTTTGGTATCCCGCTAGATATGGTAGCCAGCCCCTATATTCGTTGAGAGCGAAGCTGGTTTATAACGATGTGGTCCTCGATATACTGTGTAAAAGAATTGGTCTGCGCAAATTTGAACTCATCCAACGAAGCTTAGAAGGGAGCCCAGGAACAACATTCCTGTTTGAGATCAACAACGTCCCGGTCTTCTGTGGAGGAAGTAACTGGATACCCGCTGATAGCTTCATCCCTCGAATTTCCCGACAACGATACCGCGACTGGCTCAAGCTGGCAGTTGATGGGAATCAGACCATGCTTCGAGTTTGGGGTGGTGGTATTTACGAGCAAGACGCATTTTATGAAGCTTGTGATGAGTATGGGCTTCTCGTGTGGCAAGATTTCATGTTTGCGTGTGGGAACTACCCTGCCCATAAGGTGTTTCTAGAGTTGGTAGAACAGGAAGCGGAAGCCAATGTCAAAAGGCTAAGGCACCACCCTTCTATTGTCATTTGGGCTGGTAATAACGAAGACTATGCGTACCGCGAGAGCGAGAAACTACAATATGACCCTTCTGATAAAGACCCCCACAGCTGGTTGAAGACTAATTTTCCTGCACGTTTTATATATGAGAAACTTCTCGTGGATGTGACAAGGCGACTGACTCCCGATACATATTATCATTTTGGCTCTCCTTATGGTGGGAGCATCAGCAGCGACCCAACTATCGGGGACATCCATCAATGGAATGGTAGGTAAAGCCAAATAATCCTGGGAAATTGAAGTTGAGCTAACGTTGCTTTTCCGCCTAAATAGTCTGGCATGGTACTCAGGAAAAGTACCAGAACTTTGACAAATTAATTGGTCGGTTCGTGTCCGAGTTCGGCATGCAAGGCCTCCCCAATATAGAAACAATCAATAGCATGCTGCCTCGAGGTGAAAATGACACGGACAGGTATCCAAACTCCTTTACTCTGGACTATCACAATAAGGCAACGGGACATGAAAGGCGTTTAGCGACTTATTTAGTTGAAAATGTTCGGTACACATTTAGTCCATTGGAGCAATACATACACTGCACCCAGGTAATGCAGGCAGAATGTGTGTCAACTGCATTTCGCTTATGGAAGCGTCAATGGAAAGGGAAGAGCAGAGAGTATTGTGCCGGAGTTCTGGTATGGCAACTCAACGATTGTTGGCCCGTTATATCGTGGTCAATTGCAGATTATCGCCTGCGCCCAAAGCATGCATATTTTACGATAAAAAGAGAACTAGCTCCCATCACTGTTGGGATAAAGAGAGCAGTTCAACAGGCCGCACTTGAGGGCACTGATTCGAGCTCCTTCACAATTGAACTATGGGTTACCAATCTCACGCTAGTGCCCAGCGCTCTTAAAGTGCAGCTTCGGGCCTGGGATATTATTAGTGGGAAACAGACATATCTAGCAGATGTGGGGGAAGAGGCTACCTTTCCAGCGAACCAGACGACAGAGTTGGGGAGGTTTGAGATTCCGGAGGCCGTCCAAGGCTCAAGAAGTTCATCTCAGACAGTTGTTGCGGCGTACCTCAGCCAAGGTGACCAGCAGATTTCACGCTTCGTCAACTGGCCGGAGCCATTGAAATATCTCGATCTACAAATTCCGCGTGCACTTAAAATGGAACTTTCGGAGGACAAACGTCTTTTGCAATTATCTGCTGAAGTCCCGGTGAAAGGCTTGGCTGTGTTCTCGAGTGCCGATGATTTGGTCTTTGAAGATAATTGTATAGACCTCGTCCCTGGAGAGGCTGTCTCAATTGGTATCCGCGGGTTAAAAGGCGGCAAGGTAGAGGATCTTACTCTACGGTACCTGAAGTGATGGTGGTATTTATTTAATTTCCTTTTTTTTTCTTTTGTTTCTTTTACTATCAATTTGAACTTTGGACGAGTAACTCGAGGGATAGCTAACTAAATAATGAGGCTTGCGGGGAACTAGTTAGTGCTATTGTTTCTATCTACCAGACAACAGAATCCAATACAAACATCTACTTATGTAAACTAGGAATGACAAGAAAGCAACGCTCTTTTATATATTCTCGCAGAGATGGTGAATACCAACTGTTCCTTGGCCGTAAGGAATTCTTAAACTAAACATCCCTGGATGCGGAGGCGAACCGGATCTTCTTCTGGCTTTCTGGCTGGAAGATAATGTTTCGGCGGAAGCTCCGTAACATTAAATAGTTGGTCATTCAACTTTGTTTCCCCGCCAGCGGTGCGTCTGGATGCTAGCTATAATATATATAATACGACCTCTGGCTGTCTACCATGCTGCTAGAAATTGAGACTCTTGCTAGAGCACCGGTTTAGCTATCTAACTACAAAATTACCTAAGGCTATCAGTTCAAAGCCAGCTAGCCGTTGGTTTGAAACGTCAGTATGGCCGCAGATGAACCTAAGGTATTTCAAGCAGGCGAACTCCATGAAAACCACGGGCAATCGGTGCTGACAAGCCTTTTCTCCCTTCCCACAGAACCTGTCGTTTGTCCTAGAAGGAATAAAGAAGGTCAAATTTGAAGATCGGCCAGTGCCGGTTTTGAAGGATGCCCACGATGTCTTAGTGAATGTGAGGTATACGGGAATATGTGGAAGTGATGTAAGGATGGCTTAATACCCTTTAGAGGGGATTGATGAATATATTCTATGCACCTCGTTGATGACGAGATGTTACAGGATACAAAGCTGATAACTACCCATTGAATTCGTTTATAGGTTCATTACTGGGACCATGGCTCCATTGGCCCATTTGTGCTTACAGAACCGATGGTCTTAGGCCACGAGTCAAGTGGTGTAGTTACGGAAATAGGACCTGCAGTCAAGTCCCTCAAAGTAGGTGACAGAGTTGCATTGGAGCCTGGAATATGCTGCCGACGATGTGAGCCCTGCAAGAGCGGGAAGTACAACCTATGTGTTGACATGGTGTTTGCTGCCACTCCACCGTATGACGGGACCCTGGCAAAGTACTACGTCTTGCCAGAAGATTTTTGTTATAAACTTCCTAGTGCCATGGATCTAAAGGACGGAGCACTGATGGAGCCCTTGGGAGTTGCTGTTCACATTACTCGCCAGGCAGAGGTTAAGCCGGGTGATACGGTGGTAGTGTTTGGCGCAGGGCCTGTGGGCTTGCTCTGCTGTGCTGCTTCGAGGGCGTTTGGCGCAATCAAGATTATCTCTGTTGATATTCAGCCGGAAAGACTGGATTTTGCAAAGAAATACGCCGCAACAGGGGTATTCCTACCAGAAAAGGCCTCTGCAGTGGAAAATGCAGAGAGATTACGTTCAGGACACGGGCTCGGCCGTGGCGCAGACGTGGTCATCGATGCTTCAGGAGCTGAACAGTCTGTCCATACCGGTATCTATGTTGCAAGGCCAGGTGGAACGTATGTTCAAGGAGGTATGGGGCGAGACGAGATCAGCTTCCCTATAATGGCAGCATGTACGAAAGAGTTGAACATGAAAGGAAGCTTTAGGTATAATAGCGGTGATTATAAACTTGCGCTGGAGCTGGTTGGTTCTGGCCGGTTAAGTGTTAAGGAGCTGGTGACGAAAGTGGTGGCGTTTACGGATGCTGAACAGGCATTTGAGGAAGTGAAGGCTGGAAAGGGAATTAAAACGCTCATCGCCGGGGTGGATGGTTGAGTGATGAAGATATGTAGAATAAGTTATATATTGCGGGTCCATAATGGTTTAGCCGTGCTATAAATGAATGTCCTGACAACAAGCATATGGGGGAAACGTCTCATCATTAGATGTTATTCATGTCAGATCTTGTCATGATATACATCAGTCATTGTATACAGCGCTCCATGGGAGAGACGGTGCGGTATCCTAATTCTCGGATGACTGCATGGTCTGCCTCCCTCAATTCTGTTCATTATATGCCAGGGTCCAGCCAACCCAGAATTCAGAAATCAGACGGGAACTCAACCATTCAGAGGTTTGAAAGAAATCAACGAAGACATAATTGCATATGATATCGGGGGCAAACAGAGTAATGTGGGCCCTATGGCACGTCAACATAAGAGAAAAGAGAAGCATAAGACTGCTAAATCCATCTAGAATCCAGGTATTTCTAAACACACAAATCAGACTTCGTTCCCCAAAATTTCGTTGCGGTATTATATATATAAAAAATGCAAAGTTCCAAGATTAGATATCTTAAGGTCGAGTCAGCTGTAATAGTGAATTGGGTATCATGCAATGAAGGGGAAAAAAAAGTGGATAGGACGGATATTAAATAATCTTTGCAAGAAGAGAATAAAAGAAATGAAGTGAAGGGCCTGTCTGTGGGCAGCGTGTAGGAAGGGCTATCTACACCCTCTTCTGCTAGCAGCATCTGCTGTTTCTCCGTGGAGGATTCGAGCGGAAGACATCCTCCCACTCTCTCATCCCTGATGACCAGGCGCCTCTCCTGGGTTTCCGTTTCCGGGGCTGTGCGAGAGAGTCGTCTATCGTGATACCACTTCGAATACTTCCACCATCGCTAGTCCCATATATGCCACCATCCCCATATTGAATGCCACTCTGGGGGTCGTCAGGGTCAATTTCACCCAGTTCGATTTTTGTAAGGATTATTCGGGCCAATCTATTAAAAAGCTCGTCCACGTTTTCGCCTGATAACGCGGATACTTCAACAGCAACGGGGATATTAGATTTAGAAGCCCATCTGGAAGCTTCTTCTAGCGAGACGTCACGGCCTTCTGGAGAGATGGTTGCAGTCATTCTGGTTCCCGCCCCGGGGCTACCTATTGAGCGAAGAGATCCACTAGAATCTAACGGAAACGGCGTCTGTCTGCTCGAAGTACTTGATGGAGTTGCTGGAGGTCGAAGGGGGTCGTCCCAGTATTCCTCGATGGATGCCGAGTCCGAAGCCAGGTCACACTTGTTTCCAGCTAGCAATACTGTTAGATTAGGGGAGGCTAGCGCACGAGCATCCATTAGGAAGGTAGGAAGAGCACTGAAGGACGAGTGCGATGCGACATCATAGACAAGAATGGCGCCAGCAGCACCTCGATAGTATGAACGTGAAACTGATCGGAACCTCTCTGTGCCAGCGGTATCCCACAGCTGGAGCTTAATCCTCTTCCATCGCGTCCCGGAACCAACTTTGACTATCTTAGACGAGAATTCGACGCCGATTGTCTGTGACGATAGAACCCGCCCTAGTATGGGATGTTAGATAGAGGGGAGATGACGGCAGAAGACTCGTATGAGTTGCGTACATTCATTTTTCACGAAACGATGTAATAAACAGGACCTGTTGGCGTCGATCCGCGGTGATAGATATGAATTAGCATATATCAAGACGTACAGAGGGGCAAAGGGGTGGGAAAAAAAATAGTAGACGGTAGAAACGGACTTTCCAGCACCGCTAGGCCCTAGCAATATGACCTTGGCCAAATAATCGTACATACTGCCGAGCTCCTAATAGCCGAAAGAAGGACACAGGTATCAGTAGGACGCCTCCACGACGCTTCATGGCCATGGAAAAGAGGGAGACCCGTACCTGGGTGCGGTCTGGGAGCGACGGGATCGTGGAGGCATTGGACGAGGTTCGCTGGCGCGCCATGCGGTCTGGTAGTAGTCTATCAGGCCAAAGGAGTCTGGATACAGCTAGGACTCTTTCTCTGCTCCGTCAACGAGCCTTCGCCGTTGATGCGACTTGATGGTTGTTTTGTCTCTGTTCACACCTTTTTGAGGGTTGAGGTTGAAAATAAGTAAACAGTTTGACGTCAAGTTTCTTAACTAGTCAAAGGCGCATCCACCTTTTTCTTGCCGGCCCAGCAAAAAGGAGAACAAGAAGCTATCTTCATGGTATATCTTCAGGATATTTCGCTGATATTTATATAGAACGTCGTGCCACACGCGACCTGACGTTTCCTCTTGATACGGAATAGTATTCTAAAACCCTTTGCTTCCATCATTTCCACCAGAGGTACTGACTTATACGTAGTGTTGCCGATGCTGACGGATGACTACTGTTGATATAAAGATATATAAACATCGGCGGTTCACATGGCAAGCAAAGCCGTTTCTGATGACTGGCATGCTCCAGTAACTACTTAGGCTAAAGCTGGTCACGGAGGTTCTTCGTTGCTGTGGACTTTTGGACTGCTTATGGGCGCCCTCGTACAACGGCAAGCCACATCGCTAACCTGTGTTTCTGCAACCTCGAAAAGACCATTGGCGAATAATGAACACTTAACTCGGTGTCACTTTGTTTGACCTTTCTTCCCTCATCACAGCCGCATGCACGACGTAGGGATGAGAGAAGTTTTCAAACGATCGACAGGCATAATCCGGCGGCTTGGGTGGCGTCTTCGTTCTTCGTCTTCTTCCTCCTTCGCACCCAAGAGCCGGAGATTTGGCTGCATCCTTATGTTTCGATAGCTAATGACTGGCATCTCACGCATCCCTTTCCTATCGTCTGCTTCGTCTCTCTGTCGGTGAAAGGCGACGCCGAGGCTGGTTCGCTTTCTCTCGCTCAGGCCGAACGACCTTGCTGGAGGGAGAAAAGAAACCTTGCAGTTTTCTAGCCTTCTTTTTCGTATTCAACCATTACAGCGCCCAAAACATCTTCGGCCGGCTCATTCTTCCACACTACCATACAGATGCAAGTCATCTATCGTTGGTGATACGTGCCGTCCCAAAGGCTTATTGGTGGTATACTGGCTGGATATTTGCTGCCCAGAAAGAACTCCTTGGTTCTATCAGGGTTTTATATCTTGCTCCAGCTGAGCCTTACATGCTTCAGCCTCTCCACACCATCAACGACTCTTCTTTAGCTGCAACTTCTCTCAAAGACCCTGACTGAAAGTATTATTACCCCCGTTTCCTTTCTTTATTCTCTCTCCCCTCTCTTTTTTATACCGTAAGGTTTCTAGCTTGAGGCGTCTGGCACCTGAGAACTACTTTCATATACCCTTGTCGCCCTGTTTAGCTTGATAGCAGCTACACCCTGGATAGAATGGCCATGTTTTCTGTTCCAGCTCCAAATCACAACTTGAATATATTCTCCACGACGTCGTTCCAAAACATGCAATCTGGTCCTTCTCCCGCTGGTTTCTCGGCTGAGAACCCTGTGCTCATAGATGACTTGATGATGTATTCAGACTATGGCGAAGGGAAGCGGCTTGGTGATGACGGTAAAGACAAGGGCAAGAACAATGGCCAACAAAAGAGGAAAAGTATTTCGACAAGAGGTAGCTCCCGACAGAAAGGGGGACAGGAGTCGGGCGCTGAATCGATGACAAATGAGATTAAGAAGCGCGGGCGACCGCGGGTGGATTGTCCTGACAAAACAGCCGCCGAAGTAAGTCAGATATCTGCATCGGAATTAATACCTGTTAACGTCCCAACTAGCGCCGTCGAACTCAGATAAGACTCGCACAACGAGCGTACAGGATGCGGAAAGAGACAGCAATATCATCTCTCAGCCAGCGAGTTACGGAGCTAGAAACAAACATGCAGGAAATGAGAGAGGCGATTCTTGCTCTTAACAACGAAGCTATGAGAAGTGGAGCTCTCTCATTGTATCCAAGGCTAGCACAATTATTAAAAACGACAGCGAAACGAGTCATATCCCTAGCTCCTGAGGCCTCAGATGGAAATAAAAGCCCTGGGAATATAAGCGAACCTAACGAAATTGAACCTCAGCCTGCAACAATGACAGAAGAGGCTAGTCATGTTGCCTTGGATAGCACTCCTGAGACACAGGTTAGTGGCGAGTCATCCCAAAATATACCAGACAAGATGTTCTACCTCAACCATGAACCTGTACCATCGAAAAGCGAAAATGACTTCATATACATGAACGCTCTGCCCCCAAGCACTGGTCAACTCTACGGCCCTACGGGCAGCAATGCCATATCTACGATCAATATACCCTCGGTTAGCATCTCTTGCCCGGAAGGGGCTGAATTTTCAGTTTGCACTATCCCTTCTCCTCGATCTAACGGGGCCTACCTTTTTAATTGCGACCTACCTTTTACATATAGTTACCAAGAATCTACTTTTGCTCGTCGGCTACATCGCCGCTCCCTTGAATATGGTTATACTTTATTAACAAACCCTGGGACTAGACCAGAGCATCTGGCCCGCAAGTTCAGGCTCACCTTCTATCTGACCTTGAGAAACCTACTTCCTAACTCATTCACTACCCTGCTACAAAGGAGTGCAAGGGAGCCGCTGGAGTTTTTGGAGAAGCCGCATTACTGTCTTGGTGGTGCTGGGATGCACTATCCTCGACGAGACGGCCTTGGAAATGACGTGTTCCCTCCAAATATGCAGTCACTAGATCGTTTATTTGGAGCGCTTATCTCTCGCTTGGGAGAAACAGAGAAGTTTAAGAACGTCGAAGAATTCATTGAGAAAATGGGGCTTGGAGGTACCTGGTTCGACTGTCACGATGTGGAAGGGTATCTCAAAACAAAAGGCATCCATCTAGGAAATCTCTCCACATTCATAGAGATTCCCTCATCAGTCGTCACAAGCCCTCGAGAACCGTTGACTGCTAATAATTATACAAACCATCCTCGCTCGCAACCCAACTCACATGGCACTACATCCCCAGCCGAAGGCTCATATTCTCCCCTGAAACCTTCCCATGACTATCTTTGCCATAATGGCAGTTTGTCTCACATGCACTTCCTTGGCCTTGATTCTCAGCTCTTACTCCCAAGATCCGTCGATGAAACCATTCGAACTAATGCCGCAACTCGTAGACCGCAAACTATGGTTATGGATGTTGAGAAATTTACTACTCGTGAGTCACATCCACCCTCAATAATATTCATACCTTCCTTCACTATAAATGGGTCTTCATTCATAGGTAGTCTAGCTTACCAATTGACTCTTATCTAGACTTAGCAAGCCTATCCACCTGTCTAGGGCGAGCTCCTGGTTTTAGGAAACGGGATATTCATGCAGCTATTATTGCGTCTATTTGCACACCTGATTCTTAAAAAAAAAAAAACAGACCTCATGTGCTAGTTTGACAAGTCTCTTAGTTTTAGGAATTTTAACGGAACTGAAAGTGTCCTTGGTGATATACTATCATTCACTTGTATACTCATCTCGTCCCCTACTTGACCAACTCGCTTATTCCTTCTCCCTCTTTCTTCTCTCTTCTGTGGGCTTCAAAATTTATTTCTGTCATCTATCGTCTGCTCGTGGTATTTGTATTCTCGATTGGTTCGGCGTCAACCTGAATGGTCAAATAATCTTTACACCCCCCCAAAGTTGGTTATAACCTCGGTAATCTTGAGGCTAATGGATTATGCTATATTATAATGGATATTTAAGTAACGAAACAAAGATGAAGAAAGGCTAATAACAGCTAAAAAGTACTAGGGGCGAATAAAAGGGTAACAGAGTGGAAGCCGAAACTTTTGCCTTCTCAACCGTTGGATGTCTAATATATTGTGGCTCCAGGTCACGTATCTAGAAGAGAATATAGTAATCGCAGTGTACAAATGTAAAACCCGAAATTAAAGCATGTAACAGCCTATCAACACTAACTACAGTATAAATGAGATATGCGAGGCGGCTCTAAGTACGCTAGGGGGTTCTTAGCTCAAGGGGATTGCCGCCAAATCAATCCGGCATGGTTAAGTGGAAATAACAAAAAAAGAACATCATAACTTCTACGCAAAAGGGCTGTTATCGATAAGTCAGTTATCATCATCAAGGTCGTTAATTGTCATAAGGTCTTTTCCCGTTTCTTCACTCGTTATGTCATTATGTTTGAAGTATATCGTAACTTGGAGCCCATTCCAATGGAAAGGATTAGCCTTCTCGGCTAGGGTATAATTTTGGTATTTGTTTAATGGTGGCGTTCTCGCAACTGGACAACGGCTGTCCATCCCGCACAGCACGTTCGAGACATTCTATGGTCACACCAGCAACATTTAATGATTGATTGGTTGAGAAATGAGAATCGAGAGAAAGCAGATGGAGAGGAGGGTTTGCCGTTGCTTATTGAGTTAGGAGTCTCTCTCTTGCCTTGTGTACTAGTTGTACTCATATTCGCGCTGGCCCTCGCTATTTCATCATCCATTCTATTGGATTGGGGAGTAGATGTTTCAGGTACTGCGGACCATCCTGCCTCGATTTCTTCCCCAGGATCTTTATGCCCCCGGACAGTTCCCGTTGTCAGCTTGTTTTTTAATGCAGCAACTGTAGGGAACGCAAGCTTAGCATACGCGTCCGATGGCATGTCATGCCAGAACTTGCATTTACAGCATATCACAAACATTTTTGCAATACGCTGACCTGAGTTTGCCGGGCGACCACCTCGGGACGAACTACCGAGGCTTCCATTAGAAAACCCGAGTAAGCTAGAAGAGCTCGGGAATTGATCTGATCCAAGCCACGGCTTCCCTATTGGCCTGGTAAAGTAGTCATTATTTCCTTCATCCCTCGTGCTCCTGACAGTTGATATGCCGGCAGGAAAGGAGGCACGAATTGGATGCACATTTCCTGGGGATGGAAGTGAGGAATTGGATGCACTAGAAGTTCTAGTATTCGCAGCAGATGCTTTTTCAACAGATGAGTTGACCGTAGGGACTCCAGCTGATGTTGGTCGTTTCTTTGTAAGCTTTACCTCGGCTTTGCCGAAGGATGGGCGTAATTTGTGTATTAGGTCAATGGAATTACGACGAGGTTTCGGCAGCTTCACACTATCTGTTGCTGGTGTTTTTTGCAAACCATTCTCTTCCTTTTGATCACCGTTAACTCTTTTTGATCCACCATTAGGTTCAGCCGATGCCATTGTTGCATGAATTTTATCCTCGGAGGCATTCTTGCTCAAATTGTGCGGTTCGTTTGCAACAACTGTATTAGAGTCAAGTACCGCTTGTTTGGCGGGAGGGGTATCCGTTTCGTTTATGGATGCCTTCCTCGCCCTACCGGGTCTCAGGAAACGGTCCAGAGAAAGTCGGCGGGTTCTTGTTGGAGCACTGGGCTCTAGGGTAGGCCGAGGACCTTGGCTGGGCAGGGCGGATGTAGTCTGAACTACATCTCCAACCGAAATCTGATTAACCAAGCGGTCACCCATTGCTGAATCCTTAGGTTCTGGGCTGAGAAGAGGAGGCCCTGATAACGGGGATGGTCGTAGCCGCGCTGCTCGACTAAAATTAATCGTCCCTCTCAGTTTATTATCATGCCTGTTAGAATCCGAACTAGCTATCGGTGGGCTATCGGAAATCACAGGTTTGTCGTTTGAATGAGAAATTTCTTTCCCGCAAATTTTGTTTTCACCTTGGGCTGAGATGGGTGCATTCGAATTTGTTTTCGGGTCATTGTTGTGGACATGGTCTATAACTTCAAATAGATCCCTAGACTTCTTTATCTCCATTTCCGCGGCGGGGTGGGATTCAACAGGGCGATTATATTTTTTCGATATATTAGGGGATCTGGGTTGGAGAGAGACTTTATCCTCCTTCTTAGGCGTTTGGCCAGCATTTTCTGTGGATCTGTCAAAATCATGTACCGGAGTTTTGGGAACTTTCACAACCAGGAGTTTATCGAGCGAATTTCTTATGATGCTGTGACTCTCTTTCTCAGCTACGGCACTTTTCAGGCTGACATTGCGTGAGGCTGAAAGCGGTATCCGCGACGGTGTCGTTGGACGCAGTGTCGCAGGGTTGTTTGTAAGGGGGGCGCGAGGTAAACGCTTCTTAGAACTGCTAGGTCCAATGACAACTCCTCTGGATGGCGGTACCCCCTGGTTCTCCTGTGTTAACGGGGTAGTTTCTTGTGGGTATGAAGTATCCTTAGAAGAATTAACATGTCCACCATCACGTTCAGAGGGAATTTCAACATTTTGGTCCAGGTTTCTATCTGGATCGGTTGCAGCCATATCTTGGCCTTCAATATGGGCCTTATCAAGGGTCCTAGCCATGGATCGAAGGTCCCCATGTTTCTTTACAGTGTGTAAAGAACGCTTTGGAGCATTCTCTGACGGTGCTTCTGAGTCCGATAGGTAGTTCTTGTGACTTGATTGTTTAGTTTTGGACTTTTTAGGCCACATCCGCGGAAACCAAGTCCCATTTTTTGGGTCTCCTTTGAAAGAGTCCAAAAAATGCACCGTCTTGTGGCCCTCGGTATCAGATCCTTGAACAGAGCTCGCCCGGGATGATCTATTCGACCAAAACGACATAAACGAAGACGCTGTCGAGGGACGCTGTCCACGACCGTTAGCACTAGAGGCCCGGCTTGAGCTAGCTGGCGGAGGCCGCTTGGTCAGCCTCCTAGGTTCTCTCTGTGCGGCTCCGTTGGCATGTTTCCGCGATTCCCTTTCTAACTTTCGTTCCAAGTCTCTCTGTTCCTTTTCCTGTCGTTTCTGATCTTTTTTCCTTCGTTTCTTGTCGCCAGCTCGTGACCATGACGGAGATACGCAAATTTCAGAGCTAATTGACCGTTGGTCGGCTAATTCTTTCTGTTTGGAGGGATTAACCGCGTCATTGCCTCCATTAAGCTCCGCGTTCGAACTAGGCTGAGTATGGTCGGCCTCATTTACTCCTTCTTCGGGGAGCTGGGGCTGGTGTGGTACATCCTCACGTTTCTTGATGACGGTTTTATCTCTGTATTTAGAGCTCGGGGTCCTGACGACCGAACGGGAGGACAACGGTCGTTGTATGAAGTCGTCAATTTCATCGGGGAATTCCGGAGCATCTCGGTAGAACTTCAGAGGGGTTAGAGTAAGTCCAGGGTCTGGTAAGAAATCGAAGAAGGTTAAGAAGGACAGTACGTACTTCCAATTCATCGTCTGACATGGAGGCTCGGCTGGAGTGAAATGCCTCCCCGGGAGACATCTTCTGCACTGGCCACGGGTATTCTGGTTCACGCCGACGGTAGTGTCGAGGCTGCCAGGTCTGTTGGAAATTTCCTTTGCAACCGTACGAGACCCGAGGAAGGATACCCGTCAACTATATCAAATAGAAGCAAAGGAATGAAGAAGAGAGAGAGGAGAGAGAAATGAACACAGCCAAAACACAGCTACTTTGCACCGACACCAATTCACTGCGCCAAACAACACATCATAGGACAAAATGACAAAGACAAGGGTTAGGGAATTAAGATAGGCATAATATAACGAGCGACTGAGCGAGAAGACACTTATATTGATGCTGCGCCCAAGGGATATATAAGGGCAATGGGGGACTAGTATGTGATTTATGGCAGAGGTAATCAGGCATACGATTATGACCCTCACGGCATAGATAGCCACATAAAGACGAAATGTGTTTGGAGCATAAATTCCAGAAAGCCTTTAAAAGTCCAGGTCCATTGAAGCATATAAACCTAGGCTGTGGGCTGTAGGAGTAGACACTGTGTCTTTATAGTAGTTAGCACGGATTTAGGGGTATGGGACTGCTGCTTGAGCAAGGCACAGAGTAAGAATAGGGAGTGTACTTCTTGGGTACTGTACTCTTCTAGTCAGCCCTCCTAGATAGATAATGGGTTGAAGCTATCACTAGCCTTTCAACTGGAAAAGAAAACAAAGATGTCTTCGGATATAAGTGCAAGATCGAAGATAAAGAATCACATCCTCTTGTCTCATCCCTCTTTTTCCTCATACACTGAGAACAAAATCATCCGTTATTCGCATTCCGCCTAAAAGGAAAAAAAAGGCGTTTCACGTTTTGCCACTTTCGTGATTAGTCATTGATTAGTCATACCGTCCTTTTTCTTGGAGAGCAAGTTCATTTTTATATAACTACATAATACACCGTATGGGCGGAGGCCCTTACGGTGTCTGGTATGGAATATCGCCTGGCTGGATAAGCAGGTCAAGTTATGTGTTATCTCAGAGGCTACATACATAGTCCAAGCCGCAGGGTCTCAACGATCATCCCCCCAAACTTATATCTACGAAGCAGCTTATCGAAACTCCTCTTTCACAATACGTAAATAAATCAATATAATGTCGATTATTGAGGTTTATCCAACAATGGACTAATATATAATAATAAATAATAATGCGCATCCCCTTTTCCTGCCCCTATTTTACTATTTGAATCGAGTTCTCTTCCAGCGTCACTCGAAACTAACAAGCGTCAAGAGAGACGATAGCAAGATATGTGGCACAACAGAAGAAGCAACCATATCACAGTTACATTATATCGTTGCCATTGCAGTCTAAATAAAATATGCATGAATCTGGTCTTGCATGTGGAAAACTGAAACACACTCTGCATATTACTTTGAGTTGACGTCTCTGGGAACTTTTCCCCATCGCCTATCAACTCGACTCGTTGCTTAGTACGTGCATAGTTCTTGGTTTTCCTTTCGTTACCCCCTAACTAACACCACAGATAATCCTGGAATTCGGATGCGTTGGCCGTGATAAGCTTCCGCACATGGATGGCGAGGATGAGAACTCGGAGGTAGCGAGGGACCAAATTCGTCCTGGCCGCGGATATCTCAATCTGAAGCTGCTGCAAGCCGTCAGTGACTCCGCCCCGTCTGAACGACAGCCTATATAACGTATTATATCCAGTTCCTTTTTTATATCCTAGATCGGAGATGCTCTGGCTATCAAGAACGGATGAATTTGCTCAGGCCCTTACAGAGTGCATGGATATCTTAATAATGGCCAGAAGCAAACGCTCTACAGACAACGCATCAACACGCGAGGCGTACGAGCCATATAGGCGCAATATTTCATGTAATGAGACGAAGCCAGTAACTGTTCCTGCTACTTAAACATGGTACGGCGTCTGTAGGTTACGCGAGTTCGATCGAAATATCACTGCTCGTCAGAACTCATGGTAGGAATTTCGACGGTATGGACCATTTGGTTACCTGTAACCCTTTGAATACTTAATAGCCATTTTGATGAACTTTGTTGAGCTTCAGACATCTACTGGTAAAAAGGATGTCTAGTGGAGGTTGCTATACATAATTAACAGCCAGCATTGCTTCTACAATCATATATCTTTCTCTATAGGTCAGGTCAGACGGCGATGCCCTAACTATTGTTTCAGCAGCGCAAAATCTATTATTAAATGTGCAGCCCCCCGACCACAAATCACAATTCAGAAAGGCATGGGTGTTGGAATGTACCACTTTCTATCTTACGCCGAAGATCTTCGATGTCGGGGCTTCGCACTCGGAGGAACTTGTCGATGCGTCTATCAAGCCAGCGATCCATACTATGGCAAAAGAACTGCCGCATGAGTTGGAGCTGGTGATCTGTGCGATTATATAAAAACCTCCGCATAGCTTTCTCATATCTTGGGGAGCACGAAGAGAAGACAGCTTCTCGATAGAGAATAGCCTCTGCTTCTCGGTAAATGTCTTTACATGTCAGGAATAACGGGAGAACCGTTAGGGCTGTGCCATCGGTGATGGGCGAGAGGCACGGATGTATAACTAGGAAGGGTGGTATAAGAGCATACCGTAAGATGCGCTGTTGAACATGCAAGGGTAGACGCAGGAAATGGAATCGCGTCGGATACTGAATACATCCGGAGTCGGCCTTAGCTGCTAGCCCTAGCTGGCCAGTAATCGCCCGAGCAAGCTCATTATCATCTGGCAGCACACGTCCATCCAAGGTAAACATGACCCCCTGGGGCCGTACAGGCAAGAGCGTCGTTTTATAATTTCCGATAGTGAATACCTGCAACAGCCTTTCTCTTTCAGCAGGATGGCTGGGGAATTTGAAATGAAGCATATGGAGCGAGGTGCAGTCACGGAAAACTAGGTCCATCACATTCCTCCATTCACAGGATGGAACCTGCCATAGATACCTGCTGGGGGAATGTAACTCGATTTGTATACGACGGACCAATCTGCGCTGTCTAGCGGATAGTCTGTCAAGAAACGTCGTGATTGAGTGCCTGAATAAGATGCCAAACGTGACATTTGAATAGAGGACCCGTTCTCCCTCATCTCGAAGTTGATGACATGTCCGAAGGATAGATAGGCCAGAGGACGTCAGAGCAGCACTCCGGTGTAATTGGATATCTATAGGCTCATGTTCATCCGGATAGACTGGTTCGTATATGTTACCACCTCCACTGCGGAGAATGGAAGAGCTCCCTTTTGAGAAGAAGATCTGATATAAAATCTCGTCTCGTAGCTCGGCTGGCAACCTCTGAAAATAGAAAGGCCCACCACGGCCAGTCTCCATTTCTATGCGATACGCGGGGATGGCAAGGCGTAGAAAATGAAAACTGGAACGGATTAAGCGGCCGTTTATATAGGTACTAGTTCCATATAAAAATTTCTTGAAATATCGGCCAAGAGTCGCCCCTCGGCCGATTCACCCAAGGGAGCGACCCAAGTAAGCAGTCGGGCAAAATAATAATACTATATGGCTACATACTTCCTTGGGAACTGAATGAAGAGGCTCTGTTTGCGATCTAATAATCTACTTTTCTTGTATTTCTCTTTCAGGTGAGCCGAGCTGCTCGAAGGAGAATCTACTATGTATGATATTTTGGATGCTCAGTTTAGCTACTTTTGAGCCGCAGTTAAAACAACCTTAAAACTAAACAACTTCGGAAGTTCATCAGGAAACATCTTTGTTCCACGGTTTGACGAGCTGCACCGCCTGTTTAGAGTCAGCTGGTTGTTGTTTTGGTAGGATGAGCTGTGGATAATAAGCCTTTAGATCTCTAAGCCATGATTGTACGGAGTATAGTTGGTTAAGTTAGCCCCCCTTCCTTCATGACATCGCATCCAGAGGCGTTTTTGGGCGCAGCTGTTGAAGCCGTGTTCGTGGCTCAGCCTATCCGACGGCTTCGTCCAAGAAAGTTGAATGGTAGAACGGCTATCATTTGCTTAATCCCTGACTGAACCTGGCACACGACTAATAGAGTTAAACTGTGAATGAAATGATAGTTGTACCAACTCTTCATAATCTGAAAGGCACACATGCCTGCATAATAAGTTAGTTTAGGTAGCCAAAAGCTCAAGCGCCTCAGCCCCTGTTAGCCCAGGAGACAACTCGCTGGCGCTAACGCTCTCGTATTGAAGTCCGCATAAATATATAAACGTAGGCCCCTCGATCTCCGGCTCTCTTTATTTTTGTCATGCCCCTTTTCTATATCCCATCAGCATTTACAGTAGATCCATTTGCTTCCTTGACCCTAGGATTTATATCCCATCATAATCCAGGCAATGGCGTTCCAAGGACAGCACCCTCCCGGCCAAGGAGGTTATTATCCCCCTCCACCTGGACAGGCAGGGTATCAACAGCCATCCCAGCCTCAGCAACAGCAGCAAACACCGTATAACTATCCTCCTCCTCCTCAAAGTGGTGGCGCGCATTATCCCCCACCGCCGAATACTGGATCTCCTCCCCCTGTAGCCCAAACGCCGCCTATCCAAGTCGACAGTATGCCCGGAGCCCCGCCCCCTGGACAGTTCGTTGGAGCTCAAGCTACTACAGCTGACGACATTGGTACATTCAACGGCGGCAGCTACCGAATCAGCCACCGAGATACCAATTCGGTTCTCACTATCCAGCTAGCGATGGGATGCCCGTTGACGGTAAAGCCAGGTATGAGAAATCATGTTCGTTCAGCAGCCGCTTCTTCTAAGCTCTCAGCCGCGTAGGTGCCATGATTGCAATGTCCCCTTCCGTTTCTCTAAAGGGTTCTGTGAAATTTTCTATGAAAAAGATGCTCGCTGGCGGTGAAATGTCCTCATCAACGTTTACTGGGCCTGGTGAACTGCTACTAGCACCCTCCATGCTTGGTGATATCTCCAACCTTAAACTAAACGGTCAGGAACAATGGTCTGTCGGTAAAGATGCATTCCTTGCATGCACTCAGGGGATAGTCAAGGACTATAAAAACCAAGGCTTGAGCAAAGCTTTCTTCTCGGGAGAAGGCTTGTTTGTCTATAAGATAAGTGGGACAGGCATCCTATTCGTGCAAAGTTTTGGTGCCATTATAAGGAAAGACGTATGTTTTACTTCCCGACATATTCCCATTCCAGCAGCGCAAACTGACAAGAATAATTAATATATAGCTGGTGGAGGGTGAGAAATATATAGTTGACAACGGTCACCTTGTGGCGTGGAACTGCAAGTATGTCATGGAACGCGTCGCGTCAGGTGGTGTTCTGTCAAATCTTAGCTCCGGCGAAGGTCTTGTTTGCAAATTCACTGGTCCGGGAACAATCTACTTACAGACAAGGAATCCCTCTGCCTTTGCAACCTGGATGCTTTCGAATGGAGCTAGCAGCGGTGGCGCTTGAAAAGGGGTACCCGAGTGACGGCTACGACCAGGAGTGTTAGGTGTGGGCTATAATTTTCACGATTTCCCTTTCCCTTTCATAATAATTCCTTTAAGAGATACCTCTTAGAAATATCATCTTTGGTTACAGGCGTGGGATTAATTGTGAGAAATGACCATTGCTTCTAGTTATACTACATAAGTCATTTCACGTGCATCCATCCCCAGGTCTTCCACCAAAAATCTCCCCGGAAAGACCGCCTGCCAGATACCACGAGCAGAGAAGCCGTTCATAAATGCAATTTAAAACCAAGCGACTCCATAAGTAGAGTTTGAACAAACGGAGATAGAAACTGAACCCACGAAATGGCGGCCGAGTAAGTGAGCAATCGGATGGGCCCTTGACGCGCTCGTCGGGTTTCTGGGAAAGAATATAAAAGCCGACCCTTAACGCACTTAATGTCGAATGCTTTACTGCTTTTTGCGTTTTCCAACTTGTCCACGGAAACCAGTCTTGATAGCAGTAACACTACGTCGACTTCCACAGGAATTGCAGGTAACAAAGTAAAGGCGATTCTCTCCCTTACTCAGTTCTGTATCCGGGCTCCTGCATGTCTTACAGGTAACATATTCAACTAAACGACAAAATTAGTCAGGTTACCGATATCCACTCATAAGTCTCATTGGTGTGAAAACATACCAATGTATCTTCTCAGAACATTTTCAATCTGTTTCTGCTGGAATCGTCCCTTGATCACTAGTCTTCTGCTACCGTCAACACTACCACTTGTTCCTAACTCAGCAAACAAAAATTGCATAACGTGGTCATCAGATCGCTTCATTCTCTTGCAGATATCTGGAATGTTGGCAAAAATAGTTCTTCTGTTTCCTTCACGTAGGCACTGTGGGGGTGGGATCTTGTACGATTTTGAACCGCTAGCGAGTAGATCAGGGTGGTGGCTATGGATGAGATTGAAGAAACGGGTCACCAATAACGAGTAGTTTATGGGCTGAGTAGCATCGTGAGCCCAGATACCGGTTCCGTTCTCAAGTGCCTCGATAATCTGCTCTGGTGATTGTTTCTCTTCAGGTGCAGCCTCATCTGCTAGGCCAGCTTGTGCAAGCTTGGCCTCAAAGTCACCATCCGTAGTTTTCTTTGATGATTTCTTTTTCTTCTTTTTTATAGTAGAGGGGTCGAATTCAGCGTCCCCTGCGCCACCATCCTCGGCGTCCCCTGCTGCTGCTTCCGTATCCTTCGATTTCTTCGATTTCTTCTTCTTCGTTAAGCCTTTGAACATATCGGTCATCTCGTCAACCTCCTGGTCAGGCGACACTAAAGAGGTAACTGGGTTAGTTATCGTTAATGGTATAGATAGTAGGCGTCTTAACATGTGGTGAGGCAGCAAACATACCTGCAGTATGCTTTTCAGCGGTCGTCTTATCCTCAGCATGGTTGGCCTCGGAAATGGTACCGTTTGCGTCCATGACGGTTGCGCCCTCGCTGAAGGCAACTGACTTTCGATGTTTCCTTTCTGGAAGTGCAACCTCCTATACACAACAACGAGTTCGTTTTGTTAGTCTGGAATTATTGGTTAAAGGCCCAGGGGTGAAGAAAGAGTCATCGTCTTAACTCGGCGGGGATTTTGGGGTGGACAACTAAAACTAGTTATTGTGGGCAGGAAAATTTAAAATGACGTACAATATCAGACATGACTGACGGTTAAATGCTCCCAGCAGCTATATTCGATAGGTATTCAGCGCTCCAATAGTTCGTACGCCGAGAGTAGAGGGCCGGAGGAAGATATATTATATTTATATCGAGAACTTTTTTGCCCAGCGGTGGCAATCTGCTTTTGAAGTCTTTTGGGCCTCATAGAAAAAAGAAGGCTTGAAGTCATGTTCACGTGCTATGACTAAGCTGATTAGTCAGGCACTTTCACGCCGAGCTTTGACGAAGCAGGAGCAGAAGAAGCAGAAGAAACAGACGAAGAGCTGGCAAGTTTCGTTGGACAGTGAGGGCTCTCAGGATATATATGCAGCATTATAGACATTGAAAGCATTATCTGATCCGGCTGGCTGAAGCTTACTTATTCTATCAAGGTGACCGGCAGAACATTCTCTAAGCAACCAAACATGTCACTTTCCACGTCTGCATTCGAACCAAGCTCCCTCTCCTCCTCAGCCTTCACCTTCGCATCCAGAGCTACATCTGACTCGGAGGATGATGTGGCATCGCTTCCATCCTCTTCCGGATCTGATTCATTCCTTGATCGTGACCACCTATCGATAGCCAGTGATGATGAGTCCGATGCGGAAGCAGAGTGGAGGGAGAGCATTCAGCAGTTGGAAATGCTATTAACACTGGTTTTGATACCATTTGTTGGGAAATTCCTTGGAAGGAAATGTGCGTATTGGGGTAAGTTTTTCTGTATTATGTATATTCCGCGACTATCGAGTGGCATCTTTTCTCGTACTAACTTCGACTAGGATGGGGGAAGGTGATGGGATGGAAATACCCTGTTGATGTTTCAATCTCAGGCAATATCGATGCCTTCCGGAATGACAAAACCCACCGTGCGTTACCACCTCTTTAATATTGCATCCACGTCAGCGGGCATTTGGAGGCGGAATATTATAATCTTATTGTATGATACCCGAGATTCAAAATTATAAATCGAAGATAACATGAAATTGATTCATTTTGCCTTTGCCATCGGATTATATGCATGCAATTGTGCAAGTAATTGTCCGAAATCTATCAACAGCTGAAAATGCTACACTTCATGAAACCCTGCATAAATTTTCTGTATCATAAGAACAACATATGATATATAGTTATTCCTATGCTGAAAGTCTCATATGACACTCATTTTACGTACTCCAGATACATCAGCCACAGATGCTTCCCCCCCTCCTGCGTCTCCAACAACAACACCAAGGCTAAACACTTCCGCCTCATTGTGCTAGCAATCCCCTAGACACTTTCTCGCTGTGTGTCTTGATAGTTGGCCTCTGCGATAATAAGCCGTCTACCAACCGACTCTCTGTCAGAGTATGATAAGTTCATACTCTCTAGGCCTTTCCTTGAAATTAACGGTGGATCAAAAAGAGCGCCTGGGGTGAGGAATCGTTGAATTGGGTGGTCAGTTCGATATGAGATTTGGGTGTAAGGCGCTAGCTCCTTCTCAAGATCTAATATACCAAATGTTGTGGGCGTTGCCGCAAGGCCCGTTGGTATCGAAGAGAGCTTACGGCTGGTACATGTCTGGCAATATAGCAAACTGGATGAGCATTTTGGGCAGGCGTCAGGAAGGTCACTATCATTGATAGAGTTTGATACAACTTCCAGGCATCGGGCCCTTCGTAAATCTCGCGCCCTTTCAGCTTGTGCCAGGAAAGCTGCTTCAGTCAAATCCGATTCGGATGTCTTCGACCGCTAGTACTTGGTAAGTGATACAATATTTCTTCAATGTATAGGAGATGATGAACTTGAGGGCTAGGCATACCTGTTGGAGTCTGTCTTGAAGAGACGCAAGATTTACTCTAGTCAGAGGAAGCTGAAGTTTAGTTGACATAGGTAATCACAATATGGGTGGCACCTAGGTATTGTGCGGAAGGATAGCGTATAGTTTTGATTGTTTGCTGGTTTCGCAGAGCCGCCCATATCTGAAGAAGATACTTGTGAGGCCATCACCAGAGTCAGGGTGGAAAGGGAGGGCATCTTATATACTTAGGGCGTATACATATATATCCTCTATAAGTTGATGCTGGTTTAGCGGCATTTGGAACCGCTGGGCAGGTATTTTTAATGTCCTGAACCCCATCACAGGCCCGTCTCGCCAGATGGTATGGCCAGGCCTAGACTTGGATTCTAAATATGAGAATCCAATCTGCCACTGGATGGTTCAGATCAAAATAACACGATATGCATGGCTATTATTATGTTTATGGTTCCGTGACTTGATCGGCCAGGGATATAAGGTATACTTTTATCCCCCCCTCTGGGTCTGCATGTAAGAGCTCGCGCAAGCTAGGGATATGCAACTTCGTGGCACTTGGAGGCTAAATTAAAAGAAACTGCTGCTTCTTAGGTGAAAATATCTATGTGCCAGCATTCAGGAGACCTCCAAAGGTTCCGGTTCAATAACTCTAGGATCGAATATCAATGAAGCCACAAAAGTATAGACCAATCGCTTGTCAAAGTTGCCAAATATACTCATTGCAGCTCCTAGGCTGATCAGATCATCCTGAGCTCAGGTGAAGCAGACAGCTATAAGGAGTTCTATTGCTGACCGTTTCTGTCCAGGATGCAAGATGACTAGACAGAATTATGCGTCCAGGCACCTCCTCGTAAATGAATTAAGTGGCTGAGATGCAAGAGGAAGAATGCTGACCAGGGAGGTGTGTATCTAGCAGTGATCTAGGCTCTCATAGCCTAGAGCTCAAACACCTAGTTAGATGCTGCATGTTCTCTGCAAATGACAGGGGAATCTAATGCAGCTAGGTAATTTCTACCGTTCAAATGAATGTGCAATGAATGGTATCACTGATCCAGAGAGTCTAGAGCCAGCCACGACCTATATGTTATTTTTTTTAAAGCTGATCCAATGCAAAGATAGTCTTGTGTCAAGCGGACATATGATGCGCTTGATGTTTAGACCCTTTGATCATGTAATGCTGAACAAGGTAGTGTTGTCAAAGTCCATAAAACTTCTGCCTTGTGCCTTGCCAGCTCTTGTAAGGTTAAATGCAAGCCACATGAGCCAACACCACGGAGTCACCGGCGAAATCAGAATTGGTGTTGAAATTTGGCGTATATGCTCAGTCGACACAGTTGCCTTTTTTTTTCCTTTTTTTTTTAAAAAAAAAAAGGGTCGTTGGGTGGAAATAAGAAGCGTTGACCTATCACATTGAAGATACGGAGGCAGCTAGGCTAATTCATGACACATTAATAAGGCTACCAGATAAGTCGCCTAAGATTGAGATATTGGAGCAATGCTGTCCAAAGCCATTTGTAGCTAATTGTCCACCTGTCTTTGCAGATGTATCGCTGGAAGTAGTGGTGGAAAGACGGAAAGACAAATCCTCCGCTGGTATCTAACTAAATATCAAACCAGCTGACTGGTCGAGGTGGGAATCAACCTGCGATGTACGGATCTAGTTGTGCAGCCTCTAATATGACACTCTACAGCGTGACTAAATCTTGAGCCTTTAGAAAGCAAGTGCTGTAGTCGTGCTATGTACCAATAGTAAAATTATAGAGAGGTATGAAGAACCATGCGGACCAGTTAACTAACGGTTATAGGGGGGATTACCCAATAAAGTGATTATGGTTAGCTGTCTTGTGGTTATTGTTAATTAACAGGGTATTGGTAATTTGGATAACAACTGGCATTTTATTTCATTCCTTATGCCACCTTCCCCAGTCCTTTCTCCTTCAAGTTTCTATTGACTATCTCAGGTCAACAGAAGGGTTGTATAAATCAATATCAAAAGTCTCAAAACACTTTGAAGAGGCACCAACTAGCATACTGCTATTCATTTCTTTAATAGAGTTTATTGGGCCGCCAAAAGTGCCACGGGTCGAAGTTTAATTCAGCAGCATCTCCTCCATCTTTCACACAAGGGGAGCCCTGTGCATTAGATTCCAAGTGGGAATGCATGTCCTGTTTTGGTGGCGTATGGAGAGGATAGCCGTCGGGTTCTGTTGGTGTTCCTAGTGTTTGGATTTCATTGTCCAGCAGGTAAAACTGACTCGAACTGCCTCCCTGGGGATACTCAAGATCTAGGTCCACAAAATCGGATTGAGAATTTTTTGGTAAGTTAAAATGGGGTGGAGAACCATAAAGACGGTACTGGCGGTCGAATGTAGGTGTACCGCTAGAAAATTGCCGGGCTAGGGCTTCATTTTGCGATTGTTCAGGCTCTACACATATCTTGGAGCTTCGTGATAGTTGCCATTCCTGACGATTTTGGGCGGGAGAACGCAAAGCGTTATCCTTTCTTCTTCCACATATTGCCAAATCGGAATCATAGTGTGCAGAAAAGCGTTGTTGGTGCGCAGTTGCAAGACAATGAGTGTCATTAGAACGGCCCAGAAAAGCGTAAATAGCTGGCTCCGGTGTGTCAACACCCATAACTGGACACTTTAATTTATGACCTAAGCAGCCCCGCCACCCAGCGGGTTTCTTTCTAGCTGATGGGCTGGATTCCTTCTGTCGGTGGTATGGAGATGAAGGCATATTTGATCTTCCTGCGTTACATCCACTAGTACCGTAAGAATTCTTCCAGCGTGGTTCCTGAACCAAGCGGGGGTTTAGGGGAGTATTTGCATTTTTCAATAACGGAGATGTTTCCGCTGCTTTTTGGAATAAATCTTCAAGAGAATATGCCTTTAGAGTATTCTCATATCGACCTAGAGACTTAGGAATATACGCATTATGAAACAGCATACTTCGGACTCTTGAATCTACCTGGGAGGAGCTCGTACTAATTGGGCGTTCGAGCTTTTCCCGAGCACCATTTATCCGACAACGGTCCTTGGGGTCACCTGAAGGTTGCACTGAATTTGTTCTAGACCATGTATAGTATGTATTTGACTGATCGGGGCCAGCCACACTACTTCTCGCTTCAGATGAAAACCTCTTCCGATAGCTGTCCTGTAACCGAAGACTTCTCCCTAATTTAGGCGAGAGAAAATGGCCATGCCCGTTTGCCAAAGGCATTTCTGGGACTTCATTTTCCCTGGGGTTTGACAGCAGTAAGCCTTTGGAACCATTTGAATGGTTATGGACAATAGGCCGAGGTCTGGGGTGGGATGGTGAAAAGTACTTCGGTATAGTGTCCTGATGATATTTATCTAAAGAGTTTTTTCTCTCTACACCTATAGGATGGTGTAGATGGTCGCGCTTATCCTTTGGATGTGAAGCGAGGAAGTCGAGCTCGGGAAAGGCAAGATCCGGAACTAGTAGTTGAAGTTTCAGAATATTATTACCATATAAATAGATGGGAACATCTCACGTTCATTTCGCATAATGGGTGATGAAGCGCGTCCATGTCGAAAGAGCCCGCCAACCGTTACATTAAGCTTTCGAAAGCAGATTAGCAATACAACTGGCTACCAACTATGTCAATAGCTGGTTATTTACGGTACCGTAAGCCGCTCTTGTGAAATATTCGCGGGTTTAAACTTGTCTTTGAGGGCTGTTCTCTCAACCTTTCGCCCAGATGCCCTTAATGGCTTTTTGGGTAATGAGCGGGTCCTTCGAGGTCCTAGAGCTGCTGTTTTCGGCTCATACCGGTCCTCCCTTGTTTTACGTCTAGGTTGACGCTGATATCGAGTGAATTTGCCTGACATGGGGTTGCAGTCCACATCAGTATTTGTTGGTTCGTCTGGGAAAATCTTGTCCTGGGCTTGCGGTATACCGCCTCTCCTGGTATCGAAGTCTAATTTCCGTGTTCTGAGGGTATAGGCAACATTACTAAAAGAACAGGTGGCGAGCAAATATTGCGGAGGTTATGTTATGCATAGGGTATATTGGAAGCTGCGTAAATGGGTGGACAGCACCAGTAAAAGAGACAGGTGGAGTTGGACTGGTAAACCCAAAAGGGTAATTCAACGTCACATCTTTTTCCCTTCAGCAATGCAATGTCAACCCGCACCACCACTTTGAGACGGCATGCTCAAGCACACAAGTTATAGTAAAAATATGAGATGCAGCTTGATAATCGCCAATACAACGGCCTGTAAAAACGAATACACCAAATTTTTCCCTAGATTTGAAATGGAAGAGACGAATAATTCAGTATGGGTAAGAGCCGAAGCCATATTATTGAACACGAAAAATCACAGAAACACACGGGACCTAGAGTCACAGTACTATATCATAGTCCATCTATTGGCACTTTCGTAACATCATGTTCTGCCCTTCTAGCCTTGCTACCTGAAGCTTCAGCTCATCCCGTTCTCTCAGCGCATCGGCGAGCTGTTTCTCCAGGTTGGATATCCGATCTTCCTTTCTCTTGCGGAATCTGCGAGCAGCCATTGTGTTACGTTGCCGTTTCTCATTGGCAATTTCCTCTTCGGATCGCTTTACGTCATCTGCACGCTGTCGTTTACGGCTGCCGATTGACTTCGTGGTTGAGCTCGAGGATGATTCTGGGCTGCGTCCAATATCGGGGACAGTAGCACTCAGGGGACCTGGCCTTGTCGGGGAGCTGTGGCTTGAATTGGTAGCGGCGAACTCACTGGCCTCAGCGAGGGCGTTGTCGACGTGGCCGACCAACGGGGCATCCAGATGGTAGTGATCGCAATCTTTCATGGAACGCAATGAGCCTTCTTCCGATGTTGGAGTGTGTGCGGGACTGTTATCGACTGATGGTATCAGGAGCTGGTTTCCAGCATTGATGAAGGCAAAGTCTTCAGTTGAAAGGAGTGCTTGCAATGGGTCATCATAAAGATCCCAACAAGTTACACTCTGTTCCACGCCCGGTATGTCTGATGCCGTGGAAGATAGAAGATATCGGTCTTGGGTGAGGTATGTATCGGGAAGAAACGTAGCGAAATGGTCTGATGGGGAGAAAGAAGAAGAATCTCCGATTTGTGGAGTCAATGAAGTAGAAGAACAAGAAAACGGATTGATATTTAAAGGCAAAAACGAGGAAGGTTGAGGTGACGGTGACTGAGGCTGCTGAGACACGAGAGTACCAGAAGAGTCGCAATCACGATGGCCACTTGGCAATTGAGAGAGCGGCCGGTTGGAAGAATCCGACGCACTGGCGAACGCAGCCGGCTGGTGCAGAAGCAGTGGCCGACATGACGAGATGGTGGAGGTTTAGCGGAGTTCTGTCAGGGTGCAGCTGAGATTCACAGCGCTTGGGAGCCACGAACTGAAGGCAGCAGAGCAAGAAACATTCCAAGGCAACAAGCTTGTATTTATATCGGCATAGGACGCCGCTGAGATAAGCAGCTTAGTCACTTGGCTTGTTGGGCTGATAAACTTAATACTAACCAACAACCAATCAGTTAAGATACCAGGACCCACCGCCATGGATATGGGTGTCTTGATATCTATCATTCCGCCAATCAAGATCATGCAAAATGAGTCATTCTTGCTCACTGTGAGAAAGAGCAAGGCTGAGTGAACCGCCCGACAATGTACTATGTAAGGATGTTGCCAAGTTGCCATACAGAGTACAACTGAGTGATAACTCTCAGCGCTGGGACGAAGTGCAAGTCGAGGGTATGGAGAGAGTTCTGGATGTTGACAAGATTTAATTCCTTCATTAACAATAACTGGGAGTTCAGATCGACCAAAAAGACTTCTGAAGGATTCGTACATTCTTGAACTAGGGGGTGTTTTTTCCACCTACCCAAGGGCCATGACCTCTCCATGAATATATATATATTCCAGGAAACCACCCGGCCACAAGGAGCAGTTCACCCTGGACGGGAATATTGGAATTATATGCTGAACCGAGCCGTACCCTTTTATATTATAGTCGTGGACATCGATACTATTACACTCAAAGGCTCACAATTACTCATTCTTACCCGTTCCTCTAATTACTCCCATACTAAGCGTCCCAAAAACAGTACCCTCTGAAGCGACAGCGGCCTTTGACATTGAATATCAGGATACTATTGTGACCTTCCCCAGAATCTATCTTATCCGCAATCCATGGCTCGGAATATGTGTATGGAGTATATCTTCAGCCTCCTCCAACCTCCAGACCTATCCAGACATTTAATGCATATCGGTATGTCCAAGCCCATAAGTTGGTGACTATAAAGTTTTGTCTGGCTAGGTTTTGATGGCCCAAAAAACTGGGGATGCAACAAGACGTCCGAACACGACGATCATATGGAGCCTGCAGCTGCCAAGCTCAAAAGCAGCTTGCCAACGAGCTCCATCGTCATCGTTCCGTATATGGGAAGGGCCAGGCAGCATAATTAATATACATGTACATGTCGTTGCATGTGTGTATATACACTCGCCCGGCGTCCTCAGCCTATAGAGACAGGAGAAAAAAAAAAAGAACCGTAAGATTTTTGTGATGGTTCAACCCTGGACGAGCCAACGGGCCAGTAAACGGGCAGAAAGGCACAGTCTGACGGCGAGCTAGTGCAACCACTTGCAGTTTGCTTGTGGAAGGGTATATGTAATTGCACTCTCATGCTGGCTGGCTATCCAAGGCTGCCATCGCGCAGTTGTCGATGCTGGCTAGAACAGAGAGAACCAGCATGAAGGGAAGCATTGCTCCCTGCTAGTTCGCTGCCTACCAGGTATTCAGTTACCGTATCTAGATATACTCTGCTTCCATTAGTTCGTCAACTATTATACCTGAGGAGAGGGAAGAAAAAAGAAAAAGAAAAAAGAAAAGAAGATAGCGGCCAGGCCGACTACTCCCTTCATGCTCCTTCCATCCCCCTCCTTTGTCTTCCTCCGTGTGAAGTCTTCCCTTTTTGTTTTTTTTCCCTTCTGTTGCGTCTCTCTCTGGCGGCGCCGGCTTGTTGTCCTCTGGTTCCCCGCCATCCCCCCCTTGTGATAATCTGACTAGTTGGTTTTATCTCTCTCTCTCTCACTCACTCACACACACGCACACAAGAGTCTTTATTCATTTTTTTTTTTTTTTTTGCTTTTCGCATGTTTTAATTTTTTTTATCTTGGTCTTTTCTCTCTCTCTTCCCCCTCTCTCCCTATTCTTCCTTCCTTTTCTTTTCAGAGTCGCTCAACCTGTCCTGTTGCGCTCGTTCTTTACTAGATGAGATATCGGTATTAACTACTACATACTGTACTCGGCATATTTCCTCCCTTCTTCTAGCTGCGCCATCGTTGCGCGCCCTTTTTTAATCCTGTGAAGCTTTACTGCCTCCAGCTTGAGGTCTCTTTTCTGCTCCTTTCTGAAGCATTCTTAGTATCCTTCATATCCGCAAGCTCTTCTCGATCTCAACTTCACGATGGCCCCTCCAAAACTGTTCATTGGGTTTGTTTGTCTAGTTATTTGCTTTTTTTTTCTTCTCCCCCCCCCGACTCATTGCTCCACCTGCTAATAGCTTCTTCGATGGACAGTGGCCTTGCATGGCATACAACTGATGATACCTTGCGTGATGGATTTTCTAAGTTTGGCACCATCGAGGAAGCCGTGCGTTGATATCTATCATCTGTCATGATGTTTTTTAATGTTTTTTCTTTAGCTGACCCCATTTATAGATTGTTGTCAAAGACCGTGATACCAACCGCAGCCGTGGTTTTGGCTTCGTCCGGTTTTCTAATGAGAGTGAAGCTGATGCCGCTTTGAACGCCATGAACAACCAGGAGTAAGCTATCAACCATCACTCATGCCCCCTCTATAACTTGCTGATGTTGAATAAACAGGTTCGATGGCCGTGTCATCCGTGTCGACAAGGCTACCGAACGCTCGAGCGGTGGAGGCTACGGCCAACGCCAGGGAGGCTATAACCGCTTTGAAAATTCTGACCGTGGTGGTGGGTACAACCGCGGTGGCTATGGTAATTATTAAATGCAAGCCGCTATTCGAATGCTCTGTTCTCTGTTTTTCTGATTTATCTTGGAATTAGGTGGTGGCTATGAATCTCGCTCAGGCGGAGGTAAGGCTCTCTTTTTTTTTACACCAACAATACAAACTTTTCTCAGGTACATATTTGCCCTTACTGACATGCAAACTGCAGGGTGGGGTGGACACCAGCAACAGCCATACCCTGGGCAAAACCAAGGAGGCAGCGGAATGTAGATCTTCCTCCCCTCCACCGGACTTAGCTCTAGGATGATGCCAGCATTTCCGCCATCCCTTCGCCTCCAACCTTACCGGATCTCTCTCTTTTTCTCTTTTTATCAAGTTTCCAACCGATTCTCGACAGCGAAGTACGATAGTTCACTAAGAAGGGCCATGATGTTACGAATAACGAGTGAGACAGATATGTATTGGATAATCGGACCTACAGCCATGATCATTCAGCGTCTATTTCATTCACGCAAAAAATTATCTTACTGCTTTCGAGGATAGAAGGGCCTCTCCATCTTTCACCGCTGTTTCCTCAATTTCTTATGTAATTTCTTTAATCGCCCCTCTGTTTGTCTGCTCATTCTTCATAGCTTTGGCTGCAAAGCTCGCTTACTACTTTATCCAACAGACCGGGGATCAGCTCAACTTCCTCTTGCACTATTTTTTATGAAAACATTTCCCAGCCTCAAGTGTAGTTTTACTACAAGAAAAAAATTCATCCTTTTGCTAGCTTCTTATGAAATGCCTTTCTTTTCGGATGTTCTGGAATGACTGGCCATTCTTCTCTATCCCCCGATTTTGTATGATGAGCTTTGCTACTTTGATTCTCTGAGTTTTATTTAAAAAAAAAAAGCCCATCATGTTTCCGAATTTTAAATTGCACTCAACAATCAGTCAAATATTGAATATCCCGCTCATGCATCCGACCGGAATTGCTGGTGTTGAGTTATCTCTTTTATTTTATAGGATGGAGTAACGGTCTATCTAGTGGTGATCTAGAGCGGCTAAACAAAATTGAAGTTCTAAGGAGGAAAAGAAATGTATACCCTCTGTCGCCCCACCAGCCCGCTTCGTCTTGAAGAATATATAGATCAGGGGCAAGCTCAAGTGTCAACGTTCAATCATTGCAGAAGAAATGTGAACTTCAGTAGGACTTGTCAGCCTCTCTCCATATCCTTTACCCGCCGTACCAAATCCGTGACGTGAACATCCGAAGAGCCCAGACCAAGGCCCTCGAGTGCAGTCTCAAGGGAATAGAGATAATCCTTGTTCTCTCCACTTTGGCCTCGGCTTGCGTAAATCACCTTCGCAACAGCGTCAGGCTCACGCAGGGCTGGTTCGCGAAGAAACTGTGTATTGGTCGGCAAACCAATGTAGACCAGGCACTTCATTGGCTGAGGACTAGTGGTTGACTCAGCTGTAGGTCCTCGGGGGGAGGAGTTTATGTGGACCTCGTTCTTTGAGCATGGGTGGAAGGGTGTGTAATGTACGCTATAGCCATCTATTTCCCGGTCGTCCAGGTATGCACTCACTTCTTCGGCGTGTGAAGCTGGGATGTGGTATGCTGCCCCCCAGACCAGAGACCCCTCGGTGGTCTGTTCAAGATCGCGTTGCTGAGGCCAGTTTAGTCTGTAGTACATATGCTTCATTGGCGACTATACCTCCTTCCAGGAGTAGGTATAGATATATGTCTTCAGGGGGGAGGTTGACTAACCGGGTCAGATAAGGACTCCCAGAATGAACGCTCAATAACGGTAACCACGCGACCGGGTGCATCTGGGGTTCCACGGTGGTCCGTACTGGATGATGAGTTTCCAGATCAGTATGTGGTAAAAGTGCTCAAGTGAAATTTGGGCAACCGCACCTTGCCTATATTATACTCCCGTTTGAATTATTACCAGTCAGCCCGGCATCAAGCCCATTTTATTAATTGATAAAAAAAAGCATGTGCGCGTTGCAAGATGATACGCCAGGTGTGGCACCTTCATGCTCGGAACAAGCTTACCTGCCAGAATCGACGAACATAGCCCTTGATGTACCCGGCAATTCTTTGATCTGGAGGGCCATTAGCAAAACCCTTCCCCGGAGAATCGATGTCAAGGGGTTATCAAGAATAACGGCGATGACCGTATACCGTAGTGTGGCGGTGGTTTCCATATCAGACTCCTAGAACGGTTTCAAACCATCAGCAGAGGCTTCGAGGTAAATCAATTCAACTTCTTTGACGAACCCATAACCAAACACCCAAAGATCTCCGGCCGGGAAATGGCTCTTCCACGACTCCAATTCCGTAGATGGCATCGCGATCGAAATATCACCGCCCGATGAAAACCCCGAGAAAGGTATTACCCTGGTGGACTAGTTATACTGTGGCTTGCATCATGACGTTGATAACTAGCGGATAACTACCAGGAGTGGACCTGAAGACACGGACGTTGGAACATCGTTCTTCCATCTCGCTGAGCCGCAACTTTGAGCATTCTCGAGGGGGAAAACAGGGCAGAAAAAGGCTCGCAATCAGGCCATCCAATAGACGAGTTGGTTCAGGCGAGGAAGAAGCCCGGCTGATCGAAAGGAAGACCGGGCACTGCTGGCCAACAGAGACATGCGCCCTGCCCTGTTCCAGGAGTCGTTTCTCAGCCAGTATCCCTAGGACCATAACTCGTTATCTAAGCACGCAACGGCGGTAGGTCAGTTGGTTCAACAGTTCCAAATGGGTTAAAAAGATCACATGGGGAACTGACTTCAAATATAAAACTTCTCTGGATATTTTCAAGTTTTCTTCTTTTTTCACTCTCTTCGCTCCAGATACAAAACCTCGGAGTTTGCTCCAGATCCTTGCTTCCTAGTTAAAGGCGTTGTGCGCAAGCCTCTTTTTACCTCTTTTTACCATTATATCAATATCTCCGGCAACACTCCGTATTTCTGTCAACTACGGTTGGTCGGAAGACAGGGCCATCGCATGAGTAGGTCAAGGAATATATAGCAATGGCTTATAGGGGAGCGTACAATCCAGATGCGCTGCCAGCGTGAGTTACTTCACATCCCTCCTCGCCAAATATCAACCAAACGCGTCGGTTTGGCTAACATATATTCCATATCACTTTGAGATTAGACACGCTGAGCCCGAGCAGGTTTGTCTAGGCTATTAAATAACTCCAACGGAGACCGAATATGGGCTAAAGGAAACTTCTTCTCCCCCTCCCCCGCATTAGGTGGCTCAAATGCTCGGTGCGATGCAACCATCACAATCTCACCAAGCCGCTCAGAGCCAGCGGCCTCAAGGCATCCCCGAACAACATTCTCAGCGTCGTACCTCTGCCACCCAATCATTCCAACCTTCGCGGCCACTAGGTGGGGGACGATATGACTATCCAGCATCATCGAACGGTCCTCCCCGAGTCGATCCATATTACAACCAAAATCCGAACCACTCGATAGCGAATCGTCTTCACTCGCCTCCACCCCAGCACTATGGCTTCGGTCCGCGCCCTGCTCATCCGGCTCAAAATCGACCACCGCCCTCGTCATACCCTCCACGTACACCCTTACCCCAAAGTGCCGGCGGAGCTGCCCTGCCAGCCTCAAACGAACCACACGACCTTTTCCCCCTCTTTCGTGCCGCCAACGCATCTAATTCGGGGTCCCTCAGCGCATCGGAGCTAGGTTCTGCACTCGTAAATGGAGATTACACCTCGTTCAATCGAGACACCGTCACCATGATGATTCGTATGTTTGACCGGGATGGCAACGGTACAGTAGGGTTCGACGAGTTCGTTGCGCTCTGGAGATTCTTAGCTGCATGGAGAGGGCTATTTGACCGCTTCGATGAAGATATGAGTGGCCGTATCAGTTTCCAGGAATTCAGCAAAGCTCTGGTGGCATTCGGCTATAAGCTAAGCCACACGTTTGTTCAGACATTATTCACAACATTCGAAAGTAAGGGGCAACGGAGTACAGCATTGGTTCCTACTCGGAACGATGGAATGAGCTTTGATCTTTTTGTACAGGCTTGCATTACCCTGAAGCGAATGACTGATGTTTTTAAGCGATACGACGATGATCGGGATGGATATATAACACTAAGTTTTGAAGAATTTTTAACAGGTATGTACTTTTGTGACTTCTTAATAGACATACACATCTTGCAGAAACTAACTGGAGCTCAAGAAATTTTGCCACTGCGAGAATAATGGTCCAGAGAACTATGAAATAACAGGGTCCTTGGGCGTTGTGCAGCCATCAGCATTATTATTTTGTCCCCCCGGCTATGCAATGTCTCTGCATGGCCAACAAAGAGCATATATGTTAGTCTTTATAATGAATTACTAGATAGATATATAAGCTGCTTGTCGCAATATAAAAATTATAGGGGTTGAGTTATAACCATAAGATTGAGAGGGAGAAGACATTGCCCATAGCAGAAGTTCTAGGACATAGTATCATAGCCTATAAGGGAAATCACAAAAGTCAACTAATGGATAGTTAGTCGGTAGAGATAGTTAACAAGATAGAAAATAAAATAACCGAGATGGAAAAGATTTACAGAGAGCATGCGTCAAACCATTCATAAATAACCCTGATATAGCAGTAGATAAAAGGGACATGATTTTATTTCCATTATACACCCACTTTATTTATGGGGAGGTTTTTCGTGAACAACTGGAGTAAAAAAAAAAAAACAAGAACAAATATCGTTCCCTGGAAACCTAACTTGGTTACAGGCGGTTAGGCGTTGCGGTTAGTGGCCATTGATAACCAGCAGCATCACTGAATTTATACCCGAAAGATGACGTGAAGTCATCGAGAACGGCGGGTCCCCGAGAGCCTGTAGTGACGCAGGTTAGAAAAGCCAGGTAAAAAAAAAAAAAGGATCGCCTCCTGAAGTGCGCAGTCGCTTACCGTAAGGGTACTCCATTGGGACAATATCTTTGTTGTCGTCAAGGTAATGCAGCAACGGTGTAAAGATTCTCCAGCTGGCATCGAGCTCGTCATCACGAACAAAGTTTGAGTGATCTCCCTTGAGTGCATCCAGGATGAGTGATTCGTAAGCTTCCGGGATTTTCAAGTCCGAGAAGCGTCGGCGGTAGGTGAGATCAAGCTCAGTGACAACTGTTTGCATTGAGAGGCCGGGGAGTTTTGAGTTCATTTTGATATATACCGACTCGTTTGGCTGCACCCGTATGACCAGCTCATTTCTGGGGATATCTTTGAATATACCAGACGTAACGTCGCGGAATTGAATGCGGATCTCAGTCTTTTGTTCATTGAGGGCTGCGGAAATAGGGTAAGCATGGACTGTCACGATAATTGGTATCAACAAAACAAACCTTTGCCAGCCTTCAAAATGAATGGCACGCCGTCCCAACGCTCATTCTTGATGTACGCGACCATCGCACAGAAGGTAGCACACCTGGAATCTTTGGGAACGGTTTCATCCTCCTTGTATGCAGGTTTAGTGCCATCTAGCGACTTGCCATATTGTCCGATGATGACGTTCTTGGGCTCGATCGCACTTATGCCCCTCAGCACCCTTACTTTCTCATCACGGATATCCTCTGCGGAGAAGGATATGGGTCGTTCCATTGCCAGCAGTGTAAGAACCTGGAGAAGATCTAGTGTTTTGAGATTAGTGGATTACCCATTGCAGCGGTTACGAAGGCTACGCATACGGTTCTGCATGACATCTCTGACGATTCCAAACTCGTCGAAGTAGCCCCCACGGCCTTCTGTGCCAAAAGGCTCCTTGAACGTGATCTATGCGGTAGATGGTGGGTCAGCAAAAACATATACGGTATGCCGTACTTTGAAAACGTACTTGGACATTATCTATGTGGTTCCGATTCCAAGTTGCACCGAAGAACTCATTTCCGAAGCGTAGAATGAGTATGTTTTTCACCATTTCTTTTCCAAGATAATGATCGATACGGAATATCTCATCCTCTCGCCAGTTAGGCTCAAGGGCCCTCTGTAGCTCTCGCGAGCTGCCTAGGTCTTTGCCAAACGGCTTCTCGACCTGTGTGCTCCAACACGTATTAGCGAATGCTCCATCTAGCCAATCCTGCGGGGCGGAGGGGGCACAAACTATTATTCTTGTGATTCCATTTTCCGGGTAGCAGTTCTTTTTCAAGTGCTGGGAGACGGTGATAAACACGCTTGGCGGCAGGGCCATATAGAAGACTCTGTTTTGCTCCTTTCGACCCTGCTCTAGCTCCTCTAGATGCTTTCTGAGAGTGATGAACGAGTCATCCTGGTCGTACTGTCCGGATACATAGGAGCAAAGCTCGCAGAATCCGTTTAATTGTTCTTCGAGCTCCTTTGTAGGGACCTTGATGTAAGACCGAATTCGTCGGACATATTCATCGTGGTCCATCTTGGTGCGAGCATATCCCACGATCTTGATGTCTTTCGGCAGGAACTTATTCCGGTACTGCGATCGAGGATGGCCATGAGCCTATGGCACCGCAGATAGAAGGGGGGGGGGGGGGGGGGGGATCACCTACCAGGCCAAAGAGAGCCGGAAACTGCAAGTCCACAGTTTGTTAGCACTGATTATAATAGTAACCGTTAACCCGTGGGCAGCAGAGAGGAGGAGGCAGTTACAGTCTTCTTCTTCGCTAAGTCTCCTGAAGCCCCCAGGACGACGATGACCGTATCGTCCTTGAGCTCCATCGAACTACAGAGAGAAGACGTCATCAGCACACAGCCTACATCTCTTTCTCAGGCGAAAACGAGGCTGGCTCGGGTTGCAGTCAGCGAACGACTTACCCCGGGGCACTGTCGTTATGTGTCATCGAGCTTGCCATCATATATGGGAAAAAGAGAGAGAGAGAGACCAAACACCGCGCGCGTTGATAAGAAACTACTACTTAGGGTATCGAGCTGGGGCGGGGTGGTGGTGTTCGAATGGAACGACCGGCAGGATCAGCGGAAGCAGCAATTGCCCCACCAAGCGCAGCGGGCGGCAGTAAAAGACTCGACCAGAGAGCAGCGAGGCCGGAGTGCAGAGCACAAGTTCCTCAGGCGGCAGGACGGGGGGAACAATTGGGGTCTAAAGGGACGCTGAGAAGGGCACGAAGGGTGGAAGCAGAAGAGGGCTGGGCGGGCATCGTTGTTTTTTTTTTTTTTTTTTTTTGGTGACGGCGGAGGCGCAAGTTCCCGGCCTCGCTCGGTGGGGCGCGGCGGCCTTCGGTCGAAGATCTATGGCTATGTACGAACAGTGATAGCTATGCATACATGATGGATCTATCTTATGATACGGCTTGCTTCACAGACATAGCATACGACCGGCCCTGGATGGCTTGGACAAAGCGAGGCATCGCATGATGGCTGCTGAATAGTAGGCAACGTACTGACTATAGCACAGTTATAGTCTCCAGCTTCTATGGATCTCACACTCCGCTCTACGTAATACATACTTAAAGTTGGAATCCTGCCAGGTTGTCGCTCCGGACATCGAGCAGAGCGGAAAGAGTCCATAGTGTGCGTGAGCGTACGAGATGCGCGAACCTCCACGTGGGAAGAAGACTAGCTGGAAGGCCGCGCTGAACCCGGCAGGAAATACGAGCCGAGATGGCGCTGGCGTCGCAGGACGAAGAAATAAATGCCGACCAGACATGGAGAGCGAGATCTACTGTTATCGGGCCCGGACGTTGGCTCGCATCCATCAGCAGCGAAGGCTTCTTCGTTCATCCTCTTACCCGGTCGACTGTAGGTCACTATCTTTGGGCTTGCACTGGCAGGTTGGCCTTTTTTACTATCCGGTAGGAGTAGGGCTGATACCAGCCCAGCGCGTTTGCAGAAAAGTCTCCGTTTCTTCAGCCCATCCGGCGCGTTGGCTGACTGGCTGTGGCTCTCCCTCACGCCAACCCAGGCGAGAGCAACGATCGGTGGGCGCAGTTTGACTAGCTACCCACGTTGCGTCTTCTTCTTTTCTTCTTCTCCTCGGCAGGAAATACCATCTCCAGGCTTCTCCGCCAGCCGTTCACGCGTATGGAGCGGAAAATATCTGATTGCCCGTCCTTGGGGTCTTCTCTCTATAACACGAACAGTTCGACTGTGCCATGGAGCAGCCAGAGGCCAGCCTGCGTCGATGAGCCAGAGCATTGCAACCTGATGCCGTAGTGCGGTGAAAGTGAACAGTCTATATGCCCAATACAGCAGACGTTGCCTGGCCATCCAAAAAAAGGATTTCTCTCCTTGTCATGATTGTTCCTTGTCCTTCGCGTCAAGTAGCTTTCTCGGCTGGCCTGCAGAGATATCTGCTGGGACAGGGAAGAAAATGCTCCGTCAAGGCACCTGGCTTTCTTCCACCGCGGCGAAACATGAGCTCATGTTCTGGATTCTGATCGTATATCTTTTAAAGGAAGCGCCATATTGTCTAGGAGCTTCTTCCCTTTCGCCTTCTCCGCACACGCACATAAATATATATATACCCGCCCACCTAGTATTCGGGTTTACATCTCGCGCTATTTAGCCAATGCTGCTCTTCTGCTTCAAATTCGACTGATTCGCTGCTGGTCAGAGACCTATCCCTACATATAATTTTAATCACACCCGGCCCATTTGCTCGAGTCCTTCGGCCGTCCATAATACTCACAGCTGTCTGTTCAGCCGTGACCTTCTATTCAGCCCATCATGACTCGCGCGGTCGATGGGAGACGGCTTCGGCCAGTCAGCGTAGGATCCAGACCTCCACGCCCGATGAGCTTCACTTTTCCAGAATTCCCCTTCAATCCAGAGAGTGATGTCTTTCCGTATGCGGACCCGAACAAACGGTTGTCATACTTCAAATACCCAGATGTAGACCCGGTATCACCCCTTCCGGTCCTCACAGCATCACGAAACGGCAGTCAAGACACAATTGTTCCGCCCCCGTACGATGGCCGTGACGCAGAAAAGGCAGACACAACTCCGGAAGCCCCTCCTCCGAGCAGGATGAGCAGACAGGAAATTATCATCATCATGACAGCTCTATGTGTAAGACCCCAGTGGAATTCGGAATGCATTGTGTTCATACCTTCTTTCTTGTTCTAACCCTTATTCTTTTCGGTGTAGCTGGCCCTGTTTCTCGCGGCCCTGGATATGGTTAGTTTCTTCCTCTTCCCCGGGCACGTTGACTTTCAGTATCCTGATGATGTCTTCTAGACTATTATTTCCACCTCTCTTCCTACAATATCGAAAGTGTTCAATGCCAACGAGAGCGGATACACCTGGATGGCCTCATCTTACCTTCTCGCAAATGCATCATGTGTGCCCCTTTGGGGAAAGCTCAGTGACATATGGGGTCGCAAGGTTCTCATTCTAGCAGCCAATGTACTCTTCCTTGTTGGAAGCTTACTCTGCGGAATTGCCCCCGGACTCGCCATTTTCCTCGTCGGACGAGGCGTTCAAGGTATTGGTGGAGGCGGTCTGATCATTCTCGGACAAATCTGTGTCAGCGATTTGTTTAGTGCAAGGTATGACTATACCCTCCTCACACTAATTACAATATAGATTTTGCTAAGTAATGCAATCAAAGAGAGCGTCCCGTGTACTATGCATTATTCGGAGCTACCTGGGCTGTTGCTGGAGCACTTGGGCCGGTAATAGGCGGACTGTTGACACAGAATACCTCCTGGCGCTGGTGTTTTTACATTAACCGTGAGTATCACACTTTAATCCTTTACCAAAATGAATATGGGTTTGATATTACTCCATACTTGCTGCTCTGACGCTAACATAATTACCCGCTTTAGTGCCCGTTGGCGGTATATGTTTTGTGATCCTCTTCTTTTTCCTGAAGATTGAGTCCCCTAAAACACCTCTCCTGGCCGGGCTGCGTGTTATTGACTGGCTGGGCACCATCACTATCGTCGGAGGAACCGTCATGCTGTTGTTTGGCCTGGAATTCGGCGGTGTCAGCTTCCCGTGGAACTCTCCGACCACCATCGGCTTAATTATCGGCGGCATTATTATTTTAGGAATATTTGGTGCTGTTGAGAGATATTACGCGAAATACCCGATCATGCCTCCTGCCGTCTTCGGTAGTATAAACAATATTCTGATCCTAGCGGTTAACTGGGTCCACGCATCTCTTTTCATTTCCGGGGCATACTTCCTTCCGATATATTTCCAGATTGTCCTAGGTGTCGGCCCAACGCTCAGTGGGGTTTACATTCTGCCACAAGTAATGGGGCTCTCAGTTGTCGCCATGTTGACGGGAATGTTTATTCGAAACACTGGCAAATATGTTTGGATTATGCGTATTAGCATGCTGGTTACAACCCTAGGATACGGGCTGTTTTTGGATTTTAAACCCTACACCTCCTGGCCACGGCTTATCTTATACCAGCTCCTATCTGGCATTGGCATCGGTCCCAACTTCCAAGCTCCCTTGATTGCCATCCAGAATAATATGCCTGCTGGCGATGTCTCGGGTGCTACCTCGACCTTCGGTTTTATGCGCCAGCTCGCTACCTCATCATCCATTGTGCTTGGCAGTGTGGTATATCAGAATATTATCAATGGTAAAGAGGCACTACTTGTCCAGGTTTTGGGCCCGGAATTAGCACCTAAATTCCTCGGAAGCATAGCCGGAGCAAATATCGATTTAATCGGCCAATTGACACAGTCTCAGAAAGACATTGTACTGAATGAGTACACCACTGCTCTCAAGCGTGCGTGGCTATTCTATACCGCGCTGGGCGCCCTGGGTTGCATATTCAGCTTCTTCGTCCGAGAAAAGGTTCTGAATCAGAACCATGAGGTAACAAAAACAGGACTGGAAGAGCAAGAGCGTGCTCGATTAGCACGCATTGCAGCTGCAAAGAAACCTGCAGAAGAACAGACCGAATGGCCCGGTGGCGGGTCAAGATAATCCGCCCTGGAGAAGCAGATGGAACTCCCAAAAATGATCCCTTTTCGATTTTACTTTCTGCGTTGGGTTGGTTAGATTTCATTGAACTGTATATACATTGGTTTGACTTTTTGTTTTACTTTGACATCCTGCGATACGCCCATGCTACCTACGAATGTTGATAATGACACACCCCTCTTATATATATAATATCAATGCTCTCAAGGTGTTTCTAGCGTCTTCACATTTACCATATATAAATGTCTCACTCACTTTTATAACATTTAAGTTTACTAACTAGTTAGCTGTATAACTAATCACTGTCCACCTGGCACTCAACAATCGCATTGCATATATCTATTGGGTGATTGTGGTCTGCTAGGTAACCTATCCCCAGGTGCCTGTGGCCATTGGCTGGCTGGCTCTTGAAGAAATACCAGCTTTATATCTGGGTTTCGAAACAGCTCCCTTTATTGGGTAAAATACTTTTCAGACATAACAATATTTAGGCTCGTGATATATATTGTTGAAAACCCCTTTCTATAGCCCCCTATATCGTCACTGGCTCATGCCACATTTACAACTTGTACTAGTTGATTACAGTCAGCACTGGATATGCGGCTAACTACTGCTTATGATGAATATGCTTCAAAGCTCGTTGTCTAAGGGCTCTTTAACACTCTATACAGGAAATTGAGGAGCTAGTAGCTACCATACAATTAAGGGTATAATTTTACAGGTAGAAATGGCTATCAGTTACAATTAGGCAGGTCGTCTTTTGACAAACTGCTCCAAATCTTCCCTAGTAGCAACACCCAGAACGAATTTACGGCTAGCATCAGTAACCACTGCAAAGTCCTGTTTTTGTCTGTTTTCACCCATTCCCAAAGACGGATATAGCCTTCCATCAAAGAACATCTCTAGATCCTCTAGAGGGGTATCCATCGTTATTACTTGGTAAACACGGCCTTTCCGCCGAAATTTCAACATCGCCTTCTCAACAGGGTCAGACTCAGACACTGTGCCCGCCTTTAAGAGTGATTTTAGCCGTGGTATGGAGAGGTAGCCAAGAAGAGAGCGGGAATCTGACGATATGACTGTCAAATGGGTGTAATCGCGCTCATAGGCTGAAAGCAGAGCAGTAGATATTAGAGCATGAGGGGATGTAGAGAGCGCCAGTGGAGGATCAAGGTCTTCGACGGTAGCCTATAGTATAGTTAATATTAATAGTCAGACCGGGAGATGAAAAGTAAGCAGGAGGTGCAGTGCAGTAGATGAAAATAGCACATACCCCTCTATATTTATCAGACCACCCACTCGGAGGAGTAGTGGAGTAAGGAGCACTGTGGGTAGGGATCCTTTCGCGCTCATACGCTTGACTCGCAGAGGTGTACGATGTCATCTTTACTGTAAGATGCGAATATTGCAGCTGTCCACCAGGTTAAAGAACTTCAATTGAATGCACAGGGGGGAATGTAGGTAGGGAAGTAATATCGGAGGCAGTTAGAAAGGTAAAATTGCAGTTACTTGTGCCTAACGCCAGTGAGTATTGGGCTTTAAAATGATTCTGGAAGCCGAAATCCCGACCCATAGCGGAATTGTCCAGGTGGATGCCCGGGGTTGTTCGGAGCACCTGTATTTCCGTGCCGATAGCGTCCGGGTCCACGGCCACTCTGGAACCCTCCCGAGGCCCCGAAGTCTCTGTGGGTCGGTCATGTGCCAACACGGTAAACATGTTTCCGGCGATGCACCATCATCCACTCTCAACTACCAGACGACATGGCTGATTTTGGCTTCTCCTAGCCAAAGGGAAAAAATAAAAATAACTGTTAAATAAAAGAGGTGATTTCGCGCCTACAGTGTTCGCTTAGCTAAATAGTGTTAGTGCAGATTGATCAATCGTTGCCCTGTGCCAACAAGGACAAAACTGCGGAATTTATATTATTAGAGTGGGAACAGGATGTGGTTGTCTGGGAATGGTACAATAGATGATCTCTTCTGCTGCATGATACTGTCAATGCCTAGCGGACCTGATCCCCAACTTAAGTCAATATGATCGCCAATAAAGAGCACCACCCTTCAAGCGTGGTCTTAAAGGCCTGTGACTAAATCCTTTTGGAACGCCTTCCACCCAAACATCGATATGGAGGTCCATGCTGCCGGCCTTAACCCCATAGCCCACAAATCAATGTGTCTTTGGCTGCCATCTCTTCAACCAGTTTGGATCCATAGCCCAACATGTGCTGCTCGCTACCGAATACCCTACTCCAGTGCCGGCAGGCATTGAGCCTGGTGTTGGTGCTGTTGTTTCCCTCGCTTTCTAAATGGTATTCCGGTCAATTGAGCCGTCTGTGGAACCAAACAAAAATGAAAACAGTGTCAACGGGGGCTCTAGTGTGTGCGGTATCTTTTGCCATCCAAGTCGCGAAGTAATATGATGTCACCGCCATATTCGACTCGTAATGTGGAATTCTGCCGCAGCCCCAATGCTGATGAAGTTATTGATTATACTACTATTGATGATATGTCTTCTGCTCTCCGCAATAAAGGAGTTCGGCTCGACCGTATCGTCATGCCTATCGGGATTTCCGCTTTAATGCATCCCAGTCGTATTATTATTAAAGCCAGACGGTGTGTATTTGCAAGTTAGTGCCGAGCCGCCATCTATATTTCTAGATCGATAACACCGTCCCCAGGTGCTAGGCTGAGGTCAGAGGGAGTATCATATTTCCTATTGTTAGAGTAATCCAGAACAGCTTACCACAGCTGGAGAATGGATTAATCAAGGGGAAATGAACGGTTATATCGATCAAGTGCTCGGGTTTGGTGAGGTTATGGAAGCGTTTGGGATGATGCAATGTGATAAAGGAACTAGTTAAGTGAAAAAATTATCGTTCGCAAATACCTCCGCATATAGAGCCGTGAGAGGTCTCCTAGGATATGCGAATCCTTGATCAACAACACAGTTGTACTCTATCAGAGCAAAAGGCCAGATCTGTAGGCACTGGGAATAATCACTATATTACCTCATTTATCCGTTTGATATTTATCAGTGTTCTTTTATACATTCTTATTACTATCAATAACATATTTATATTTAGTCCCTTCCAGCAGGTTGATTTTTAACCCATTAATTCAAGCGTCTCAAACTTATAGTAATCTTTATATATTCTATTATTAAATAGGTAACTTCGAAATATAAAAAGCGGCTGAAAATTCTATCTGTATCCAGCCATTGGGCATTTCGGTGTACTCGCTTCGCGATTAAATCCTTCATTGTTTATCCCCGTACCACTCCGCGGAGTAATTACCATTTCTCCATTTTTGTCGATCTGCCGGAACATTTCCATGGGGTCTTGCCATACCTCAATTGATTGAATCTGGAGCTTGTCATTCACTCTCGCAACAACCAATCCCTCAATATCGATGACGCCGTTATGTGCTCGAACAGTTACTGTATCCCCTTTTCTTTATTGTTCCACCATCATATTAGTTGACTTTCTGTAGGAAAAACCGGAGTTGCCTTTAATTACTATAGAAAACTTACTCGTTTTCCGCAGAATAATCATGGGCCATCCGTCCCCAATGCCTCCATTTGAATACCACGACTGGTGGTCCGCTATACACCTCTAACACTTCCCACGCAAATGTCGGCATCATCCTTTTGAAGGTTTTGTGGCTCTTTGCAAAGTCCGATTGCTTAGGATCATAATATGCGTTTGGCGATATAATAGCGTTATACGTGCCAACCGCAAGCATATGACTTGGAGGTTGCTTTGGTCCACCATTCACTGAGAAAACGTAAGATTTTTGGTCAACCGTTCGCCAATCAGCAAAATCCGGTTTAAAAGATGCTTCAATTTCCCAGTTCTTCACAAGATTTTCGACTAAATTGGGGAGACTGCCAGCTTCGTGATTCATTTTCTTCCCTGCAGTAATGTTGCTTATTAATACTTTTCTTCAAGTTTAAGGATAATTTGTTGAGCATAAATAATGTACACATACCTGCCTCGTATGCTTTGCGTGTTTTCGAGTAATCTGGGGCTCGCCCGTACCTCCATTTGATATCATCTTTAAGAACGGCATTAGGGTCTAGGACATAGTCAGGGAGTGCCCTAGCGGCGTCTTCTGGTCTGGACATATTGACCGGTAATAGCACGAAGTGGTTGTATAGCCGGACACACTTGAAGTGGGTATGAAAATACATGTAATCCGGAAGGGAACGTAGGGTATTTATACCAGTAGTGGGTTGGTCACAAGCTCGGAGGATCCGTCTCTCTGTCCCTTCGTCATATCTGTCAAATTTCGGAGCCAACATATTACTGCAACCTGGGAGGAAAATTATGGGCCCCGGGAACGGTACCCTGCACCTATAAACAGCATGGGGACAAGCCCCTCACCAAAAACGTGTCGCTGGGATGGATAAGGGTCGACCCATCCCGCCTGTCCGCGGCTTCGAAGGAACAAATCCCTTGCGTTCAATGTAAATTGGGGGCTCCGCTTTCCGTACTCCGTAACTTGTCCGTGGTGCCTCGTAATCGATCCTTGTGACTATATTCCGAACCATAAGGAATGCCTTCAATGGAAACAGTTTTGTATGGCTCACAACTATTTTTTACCGGAGATGGCGAATTATAGGGGATTTATGGCTCTTTGCAATCTCCTCTCAATTGAGATTATTAATTGGTGCCCAGCTCCTCCAAGCCATGCTTGCGGGCGGCTAGGGTAATAGTATGTGGCCCCGTGTTAAGATATAACTGGACCCAGAACTGAAAGGCCAAGACCAAAATGGTTCAGTCGAAGCACAATCATATATATCTCATATTCGGGGACATGGAACCAGGGCCATATATATATATGCACACACATACACAAACTGGATAAAATATAAGGCAGAGAGTAGTTAGTCTGTATATAAGCTTCCAAACTGCTGGCTGCTGCCCCGCTACGTGGTCAAACAATTACAAAGTCGTTATTGGAATTAACAATAAGATTACACCAGGACCCACAAATCACATTCTGGAAAAACTATATATAACTACTAAATTTAAAGTAAACCTGAGCTGGTGGCAATAGTTATAGAACACCTCGCTATTGGGACGCGGGTTATAAGCTCAGAGTTGAGTGCGATCACAATAGCAAGAGCTATTATGATTTCTACCACTGTTTATAAAGCTATTTGACGGGTGTTGGACCACCCGTAGTCGGCAGACCCATAATAATCTTGAACGAGTCGTAGCTGTATAACAAAATATTGTTAGTATTCTGTGTATCAGACCTTGGTATATTTCTTTTTTGAACTTACATCATCCATTGAAGGCCAGTCTAGTGTGTAGAAGGCTATTTTAGCGAACATTCAAACCACCAATCACTCTAGGTGGGGGGATACATACCAGAGTTCCAACCATTACAATCCTGACGGGGAGTCCATTCCATAACCCCATGAATCCAATTTGTTTATAGATGCGCCCCGTAGCTATGCCGAAGGCTTCACCAGGTAAACGGCTGGCATTAAGTTTACTAACCATCACATCTGCTGGGTGGGATACGACTGCGCAGAGAATGCCAGCCACATAACCCCCAGCAAATGCGACAGCTGTTTGCGCCCCTTTGTTATAGTCTGATTTTTGACCAGGAAGGTAGTTGTATATCATCTCCACTACCTTCTCAAAGGAGGCAAACTTCATCATCGTGTATGGAATTTGTCTACCCCAAAGAGGGTAGAGTCCTTTGTATAGCCTATAAAAGTTGTCATTCGCATTAGCTAGTACAATTACCTCCTATGGTAGAGCCTGGTTTAAATAAACCTACCCAGATACACCCTCCTTTGCAGTAACATGCGAGATGGCGGGAAATGTCCCTCTTGCGAATGGTGGGATAGTAGTCTGCATTCGGACCTTTACTGCTTCAAAGGGGCAGAGGGCGATATCCGCAATAAATTCTGCCGTCGCACTTGCTGCAAGGTAAATTGGGGTCTTCCAACGGCTAGCAATGTCCTCCCCTAGAATGTCGGAGTAGTATTTCTTAAAGAACTCATATCCGCCATATTTGAACGCTCCTTGAGCCTAAAAGTTGAATTAAAACCTTGGGCCATGACGAAATTTTCGTAGAATCACGTATGCAGCATACCGAATAGCCAAAGAATGTTGGCCCCCAGCCTGTATAAATTCCACGAATACCTTCAGCACGACCAATTTTACTCCAAGCATCAATGATACCTTTGTACATTGTGGAGTCGACCTGGAGTCGGCATTTTGCTAGATCCATGGGTGTTACAGCAGCATGCGTTAAACCCTAGGGTAAATAGTTGCAATAGTTAGCTCTCATATCCAAAGTAAATGCTGGGCTTTTCGAGAAAGAATGGGATTGATAATTTATTATGCATAACAAATCGGAAATAAACCAGAATCTAGACTTAGTCGATGAGTGTTTACGTACGCAGGCAAGCATGCCGCCTGTTATACAAGAGGCATAATATTTTCCAGAATAAAGCTCAATTCTGCCAGCAGGCCCTGGACCTTTTGGAACACCTTGTTGGGAAGACTCAGCTCGTCGCTTGATATCTTCTGCAACACTCCATGCAGGGAACGGTCCCTGATAATTTGTTATAACTCTGGAGGTCTCATAGCTCCCTCCCTTCGAAACAGCGTCCTGTAGAGCATTGCTGCCTACAAGTAAGCCGGCAGGGAATATAGAAGGCATGCTGTGGGATCAGAGCGCTAGATAAATTACCCCAAGATTGTTAACAGTTTGACCATAATAATTACTTATACTATACGGACAGAAAGTAAATATATAGAACTCACCCTATAGAGATGAAACACAGCTAATGGTGAAAAAAACATCAATTGAACTCGAAGATGCCTTGTGAATTAGTTATAAATATATTGAATTATATAGATGAAGATAATCCATAATCTATACACTCGGAAGCAACGGAAAGAAGTATTTGATCAAACGATAAGTATGACGTACTTGTGTAACGTGATTCAGTAGTTAGTGGCTAGTTATCTGCACGTGATATATATAGAGAGATAATTAACAGTTATTAACTAATTAATTTATATCATTCTTTTCTACTCTTCAAGGAGACCAGTTTAGCATGGCGTCTTGTAAGGTAGAAATATTACATCTTGCAGACCTCACGCCCGCACCGCAAGAGCGACTATGGCATTCTTCCCCCCACCCGCAGCTCCCAATTATTGCGACCTGTGGTGCGGATAAAATCATTCGCATTTACTCACTCCTAAACTTCACATTAATTTCTTCGATATCCGGTGGCCATAAGCGGAGCGTCCGCAGTTCAGCATGGAAGCCCAATTCTCGGGAAGAAATTGTACTAGCGACTGCAAGTTTTGATGCAACTGTCGGCATATGGAAACGATGGGATCGTTTACTAGATAACTCAACTGGTATACCACATATTCCTGGCGCAGTCGATAGTGGAATGGATAAAATATTTGCTACAGGGGATGAAAATGAGGAAAGCGATGACTGGACATTTGCTGTCCTTCTTGATGGACATGATAGCGAGGTTAAATCCGTTTCATGGTCATCCTCCGGCTCCCTTTTGGCAACATGCTCTCGTGATAAATCGATATGGATATGGGAAGATCTAGAGGATGGCGAGAGCAATTTTGAAACCATCGCCGTGCTACAGGACCACCAGGGCGACGTGAAATGTGTTTCCTGGCATCCAGAGGATGATTGTCTCGCAAGTGGAGGCTACGACAATACTATTCGACTATGGAGAGAAGATATAGATGACTGGAGCCAAGTCGCCTGTCTAAATGGCCATGAAGGCACTGTGTGGTCTGTTGACTGGGAGGCACCAGCGTGCTCCCGGGTGGTTTCCGACAGTAATAAGGAAAATAACGCCCTTGACACATCTGACATACTTCGCACTGAAGGGGAACTATCACCAATGATAGACACTAACCTACGTGCGCCACGGCTAGCATCTTGCTCAGATGACAAAACCGTTCGTATTTGGAGAAAATTGTCAGCACCGTCAACATTCCCAATACCACAGGACTCTATACCAGGTACTATCCGAACACGCTCTATTGAAGAGACATGGGTCCAGGAGAGTGTTCTGCCAGGTGAGCACGACTTATCTATATATTCAGTTTCTTGGAGTAAGAGATCTGGCCTTCTAGCCTCTACCGGTGCGGATGGGAAGATAGTGATATATGGCGAGCGACCAAAGCTGAGCCACCTTCATGGTGACTCGGGTGAGCTCCCGGTCCCTTCTAATAAAGGAGCTATTTCAATTGAGAATATACAAGTCACGAACACTCTTGCAATTGAGACGGAGTGGCATATACTGTCAACAATCGAGGCAGCTCATGGTATCCACGAAGTCAACCATGTATGCTGGGCAAAAAGAGGCAATCCAGATTCGAGGCTAGACGGACGTCTAAACCAGCAGGAAGAAATCCTTCTAAGCACGGGTGATAACGGGATAGTTAGAGCCTGGGAGGTAGTGAAAAGATAATGTCCACAGTGAGGAATGGCTAGTTTCCCTGTTGGCAGATATACCTCTTTCATAATATTGCAGTTAGCAGAATAAATTTTAGGAAGTGATGAAGAAGCCGAATGAAGTCTCATGCTTCACCACATTAGTGGTTTAATTTCCCAATCTTTCCGCTTATATGAATAACCCTGTTGACTTCGAGTATATATTATAGTAAAAGGTGTCTAGAGTCCTATTAGAGCGATACCATTACATTATTACCCTCCAAAGATCTGTTAGACTAATCTTAGAAGTACTGGCTGATGAGGCATCTGGAACTCAGCCTGCCTTTAGAGATCCATTACATATAATAATTTAAATGAAGGGAATGCTATTAATATTAATATTACAGCTGGGTAGCATTTGATAGAGCTGGAAGCTTAACGGCCCGGATCAACGACATGAATCCTTCTGCTAAAATTGGAAATAGGTAGAATCCGCTTTACACATACTGCCAAAACTAGCATATAGAGACAAGTTAAAAATATAACTACGGACTTGAACAACATCTGCTACTCGCGCATTTGCTAATCTCGCTGAGAACTCAACTAGCTTAACTATCCTGTACAATTAATACTCATTAACCTTCCACACCCTCACCGACTGTAAAATGAAAAGGAAAAGAAAACTAAATAACAATCATCTCTCGGTGGTCTTAATTATCTGTATCCTCCTCCTTATCTTCTATATCAAGTTTGCACCCATCAAGGCAACCTTTCCGAAATAGACCATATGGGTTATGCTCCCTGCTTACTTACTCTCTGAATTACCTTCAAATTTCCTCCACATATCCTTCAAACAGTTTTCCCCACAGTAACTCAAGTACCGATACCGATGATTTGTTCCATTCTTAATGTCAAAAGTGTCGATCTCTTTGGTCTCGCGTGTTAATTTCTCACAGATCTCATGATGTCTGAATTGATAAGAGGCTCCGTAGCACCCAAGCCAAAAGGAGTTTCACCCTCATGGTGGCCTTATATCGGTAGCATAGGCTGAAGGACAAGTGACTAGAACATACCCTTGATATTGGTGGCCTTAGAAGTAATAGTTTCTTTATAGCTATCATATACGACGTTAAGTGTGGTTAGGTTGTTCTTGATGGCCATAGTGCCAAAGTTCTGACGTTTATTCTTGATGCTGGCTTTCATCACACGCATCTTTAAGCGTACGAACTTCGCAGGTGTTCCAGAAAGCTCAGATGGGCTTGAAGGAAGACCAACGCTGGAGCCATTTTGTCTTGTTTCCCGGAGCCTTTGCGTAAACAAGGCGGACACGGATAACCTCTACTCAGAGTTGATGGGTATAGGTAAAACAAGTAATGGGGCCAGCAGCATTTATATCGTCGTATGCCATACC